TCCAATGTTTCGTGTCGCTTTTTTATTTATTTTTTTTTCAATTATTCGATATTTCAGTGTTTCAATTTTATAATTTTCTGATTATCGAATTTCAATTTTTCGTTTATTCAATTTTTTGATTTGCAATTTTTTATTTTTTTGTTTCTATGCATTTCTGCAAAGTTTTCATTTTTATATTTTTCCATTTTCCAGTTTTCCAACTAATTTCATTCAATGTTTCAGTTTTTAGAATTTGCAGTTTTTCGATTTAATTTCATGAGTTTTCAATTTTTAGACTTTTTAATTTTTCATTTCTTCAATTTTTCGGTTAGCAACGTTACGTTTCGGTTTTTTTTTTCTTTATTTTTTCAGTTATTTGATTTTTCAGTGTTTCGATTTTATAATTTTTCGTTTTTCTAATTTCAATTTTTCGTTTATTCAATTTTTCGATTTGCAATTCTTCGGTTTTTTTTGTTTCTTTTTTTATCATATGCATCTCTGCAAGTTTTCATTTTAAAATTTTTCTTTTGCCCGATTTTTCAACTTGTTTCACTCAATGTTTCAATTTTTAGAATTTGCAGTTTTTTTATTTAATTTCACGAGTTTTCAATTTTTTGATTTTTAATTTTTCATTTTTTCAATTTTCGGATTTGCAATAGCTTGTTTCGGTTTTTTATTTTCTTTATTTTTCTAATTATTCGATTTTTCAGTGTTTGGATTTTATAATTTTTTGTTTTTCCAATTTCAATTTATCATGTATTCAGTTTTTCGGTTTACAATTTTTCATTTTTTTGTTTCTTTTTTTCCATATGCATCTCTGCAAGTTTTCATTTTTAAATTTTTCCGTTTTCCGATTTTCCAACTTGTTCAATTCAATGTTTCAATTTTTAAAATTTGCAATTTTTTTATTCAATTTCACGAGTTTTAAATTTTTTATTTTCTTAATTTTTTTGATTGTTCGATTTTTCACTGTTTCGATTTTATAATTTTTTGTTTTTCCAATTTCAATTTTTCCTTTGAGTTTTTCGATTTGCAATTTTTCATTTTTTTTGTTTCTTTTTTCCATTTGCATCTCTTCAAGTTGCCATTTTAAAATTTTTCCGTTTTCCGATTTTTCAACTTGTTCCATTCAATGTTTCAATTTTCAGATTTTTTAATTTTTCATTTCTTCAATTTTTTAATTTTCAATGTTTTGTGTCGCTTTTTTATTTTATTTTCTTTTTCAATTACGTGATTTTTCAGTGTTTTTTCGTTTATTCGATTGTTCGATACGCAATTTTTTATTTTTTTACCTCTTTTTTTTCCATATGCATCTCTGAGTTTTCATTTTAAAATTTTTCCGTTTTCCGATTTTCCAACTTATTTCATTGAAAATTTAAATTTTTAGAATTTGCAGTTTTTTTATTTAATTTCAAGAGGTTTCAATATTTAAATTTTTTAATTATTCATTTCTTCAATTTTTCGATTTGCAATGTTTCGTTTCGGTTTTTTGTTTGCTTCATTTTTTCTATTATTCGGTTTTTGAATGTTTCGATTTTATAATTTTCTGTTTTCCCAATTTCAATTTTTCGTTTATTCAATTGTTCGATATGCAATTTTTTATTTTTATACTTCTTTTTTTCCATTTACTTCTCTGCGAGTTTTCATTTTTAAATTTTTCCGTTTTCCGATTTTCCAACTTATTTCATTCACAATTTAGATTTTTGAATGTTCGATTTTATAATTTTTTATTTTTAGAATTTGTAATTTTTCGATTTAATTTTACAAGTTTCCAGTTTTCAGGTTTTTTCATTTCTTCAATTTTTCGATTTGCAATGTTTTATTTCCATTTTTTATTTTCTTCATTTTTTCAATTATGCGATTTTTGAATGTTTTGATTTTATAATTTTTTATTTTTAAAATTTGTAATTTTTCGATTTAATTTCACGAGTTTCCAGTTTTCAGGTTTTTTCATTTCTTCAGTTTTTCGATTTGCAATGTTTTATTTCCATCTTTTATTTTCTTCATTTGTTCAATTATTCGATTTTTGAATGTTTCGATTTTATAATTTTTTATTTTTAAAATTTGTAATTTTTCGATTTAATTTCACGAGTTTCCAGTTTTCAGGTTTTTTCATTTCTTCAGTTTTTCAATTTGCAATGTTTTATTTCCATTTTTTATTTTCTTCATTTTTTCAATTATTCGATTTTTGAACGTTCCGATTTTTAATTTTTTGTTTTTCCATTTCAATTTTTCGGTTTGCAATTGTTCATTTTTAAACTTCTTTTTTTTCCATACGCATCTGTGCGAGTTTTCATTTTTAAATTTTTCCGTTTTCCGATTTTCCAACTTGTTTCATTCAATGTTTCAATTTTTAGAATTTGCAATTTTTCGATTTAATTTCACGAGTTTCCAGTTTTCAGGTTTTTCATTTCTTCAATTTTTTGAGTTTGCAATGTTTTATTTCCATTTTTTATTTTCTTCATTTTTTCAATTATTCGATTTCTGAATGTTTCGATTTTATAATTTTTTATTTTTAGAATTTTTAATTTTTCTATTTAATTTCACGAGTTTCAAGTTTTCAGGTTTTTCATTTCTTCAATTTTTCTTGTTGCAATGTTTTATTTCCATTTTTTATTTTCTTCATTTTTTCAATTACTCGATTTTTTAATGTTTCGATTTTATAATTTTTTGTTTTTCCATTTTCAATTTTTCGATTTACAATTGTTCATTTTTTACTTCTTTTTTACCATATGCATCTCTGCAAGTTTTCATTTTTAATTTTTTTCGTTTTCCGATTTTCCAACTTAGTTTCAATTTTTAGAATTTACAATTTTTCGATTTAATTTCACGAGTTTTCCACTTCTTCGATTTGTAATGTTTCGGTTTGGTTTTTTATTTTCTTTACTTTTTCAATTTTTCCATTTGCAGTTTTTCTTTTTTTTTGCTTCTTTTTTTACCATATACATCTCTGCAAGTTTTCATTTTTAAGTTTTTCCGTTTTCCGATTTTCCAACATATTTCATTCAATGTTTCAATTTTTAGAATTTGCAATTTTTCGATTAAATTTCACGAATTTTCAATTTCTTTATTTTTTAATTTTTCATTTCTTCCATTTTTTTATTTGTAATATTTCGTTTCGATTCGTTATTTTCTTATTTTTTTTATTATTCGATTTTTCAGTGTTTCGATTTTATAATTTTTTGTTTTTCCAATTTCAATTTTTCGTTTATTGAGTTTTTCGATTTGCAATTTTTCATTTTTTTTTTGTTTCTTTTTTCCGTTTGCATCTCTTCAAGTTTCCATTTTAAAATCTTTCCATTTTCCGATTTTCCAACTTGTTCCATTCAATGGTTCAATTTTTAGATTTTTTTATTTTTCATTGCTTCAATTTTTTGATTTTCAATGTTTCGTGTCGCTTTTTTATTTTCTTTTCATTTTCAATTACCTAAGTGATTTTTCAGTGTTTTTTCGTTTATTCAATTGTTCGATACGCGATTTTTTATTTTTTTTTACTTCTTTTTTTTCCATATGCATCTCTGAGTTTTCATTTTAAAATTTTTCCGTTTTCCGATTTTCCAACTTATTTCATTCAAAATTGAAATTGTTAGAATTTGTAATTTTTCGACTTAATTTCACGAGTTTCCAGTTTTCAGATTTTTCATTTCTTCAATTTTTCGATTTGCAATGTTTTATTTCCTTTTTTTTATTTTCTTCATTTTTTCAATTATTCGATTTTGAATGTTTGGATTTTATAAATTTTTATTTTTAGAATTTGTTTTTCCATTTTCAATTTTTCGATTAACAATTGTTCATTTTTTTAGTTCTTTTTTACCATATGCATCTCTGCAAGTTTTCATTTTTTATTTTTTTCGTTCTCCGATTTTCCAACTTAGTTTCAATTTTTAGAATTTGCAATTTTTCGATTAAATTTCACGAATTTTCAATTTTTTGATTTTTTAATTTTTCATTTCTTTCATTTTTGGATTTGCAATGTTTCGTTTCGATTCGTTATTTTCTTAATTTTTTTAATTATTCGATTTTTCAGTGTTTCGACTTTATCATTTTTTGTTTTTCTAATTTCCATTTTTTGTTTATTCAGTTTTTCGATTTGCAGTTTTTCATTTTTTTGGTTCGTTTTTTCATATGGATATCTACTTCCATTCAATGTTTCAATTTTTAGAATTTGCAATTTTAATCGAAAATTTACAATTTTTCGATTTAAATTCACGAGTTTTCAATTTTTACATTTTTTGATTTTTCATTTCTTCAATTTTTCGATTTGCAATGTTTCGTTTCGGTTTTTTATTTTCTTTTATTTTTTTTTTAATTATTGGATTTTTCAATGTTTCCATTTTATAATTTTTTGATTTTCCAATTTCCATTTTTCGATTTGCAATTTTTCATTTTTTGCTCCCTTTTTTACCATATGCATCTCTGCAAGTTTTCATTTTAACATTTTTCTGTTTTCCGATTTTCCAACTTATTGCATTCAATGTTTCAATTTTTAGAATTTGCAGTTTTTCGGTTTTTAATAATTTCACGAGTTTTCAATATTTACTTTTTTTAATTTTTCTTTTCGTCAATTTCCCGTTTCGGTTTTTTAGTTTCTTTATTTTTTCAATGTGACGATTCTACAATTTTCCTTTTTTTCTTTATGAATTTTTTCATTTTTTGACTTTTCAGTTTTTCAAATTTTCATTTTAAATATGTGTCTAATAATTATTTTTAAAATTTTGCAATGTTTACTGGACTTTAAAACTCGATATTTAATTTGACAATTTGTCGATCTTTCAATATTACAGTTGTTCGACTTTACAATTTTGAATTTTTTTGATGTCACAATTTTTGGGTTTTCTAATTTTCCGAGTCAGTCCATTTTTCTTCATTCCACTTTTTCGATTCATCGATTTTTCGTTTCTCCAGTTCTTTGATTTGACGGCGCAATGGTGACGTGAACACAGTATTGACAACATTGTTGCTAGGCAAGCACATGTAGTTCAAACGTGTTTCTTTTGTGAGGGTATTCAATAAAAGACAGCTTCTTTCAGAGTTGACGCTTTATTTACAAATTAAAAAAAGGCATTGTTACATACTTTTTTGCAAAATGATTTGAAAATTTACAGTTCTTAAAAAATTGAATTAGTATAAATAAACATTTGCACCATAAAACTTTTAAAGTTTAATACTTAACAAGAACAGTTACTCCTACACAGTAGAAAACAAAATAATCGCTCATCCCTAATAATTAACCTGAAAAATCACTATGATCAAACAGAGTCTGGTCATAAAGTGACGCTTGAACCATTCTTCCTCCAAAATATCTTCCATTGAGTGCATCTCGCGCCTTCTCCGCTTCTGCAAACCAAGACGTCATTAGTTCCTAGTTCCCCCTCCACAACAACTTAAGCATGTTACTTAGCTTAGTTGCGCGCGCACTCACCTGGCGTTTCCGAAAACTCAACAAAAATCTTGACGACGACGTCCGCGTCCTCGTCGTCCTCCGACTGCTTCTCGTTATAAATGATCACCCTCTCCACCGCCCCGAACTTGCTGCACTCCTCCTGAATCTCCTCCTGCAGCGTCTCGTCCACGTCCTCCGGCCCCACCATGTTCCTCAAGATCACCACCCTCGAGTCCACCTTCCTCATCAGCTTCTGCATGACAAAGTGCCTCGCGTTCTGGCCCTTGATCGACATGTTCTCCTGCTGCTGCAGCGTCTGCGGCTCGTTTTGGTCCATCAGCTTCTTCTGCAGCTCCTCCTGCTGCTTCATCTGCGCCTCCTGCGCCCGCTTCATCGCCTCCTGCGCCGAGTTGTTGGGCGTCGGCGCCGGCGCGACGATCGTCGGCGCGACGATCGTGGGCGGGACGATGACCGTCGCCTGCGGCACCGTGCTGGCGACGGGCGTGACGATCGTCGGCTGGATCGTGTTGTTCGGAAGCACTTGCGGGATGGCCAGGCCCGGCGGCGGGATCACGGCCGGGATGACGGCGGGGGGCGGCGCCGGCGCCACCACCGGCTGGCTCAGCTTGGAGAAGCCGAGCGCGACGGCGTTGTTCGCCACGGCGTCCATGGCCTGGATCTGGGCGGTTGCGGCGGCGGCGGCCACGGCCGCCGCCGGGGGCATCACGCTGGAGCCGGACGACGGGCCGAGGAGGGCGTTCGGGGGCGTGATGGCGCGGCCCACGCGCAGGTACTGCCCGCCCAGATCGAAGAGGTTCATGCTGGCGATGGCCTCATTGGCTGCCTGGGCCGTCTCGTATTCGATAAAGCCGTAGCCTTTGTGTTTGTGGCCGGAGCTTCCCTGCGCAAGTTTACAGTATATGATGGGACCGAATGCCTCAAATACGCTGCAAACATAAGTGCGTTAGATGTGTTCGGGGCAGGAGGAGGGCGATCGAGCTCAAGAAACAGGTTTTGGAATAGGCGGAAGCCCGTGGGTATTGAGGGCAGTCCACGTCTAATTTTTAAAAATCGTAATAGTAGGTACAGTTTTGCCATTAGGACCGATTGGACACAACATTTTCTTTTTAACACAGAAGCCTAATCAAAGTCAACAACTCAAAGTCTCTCAAGTCAGGTTAGATCAGGTCAGATCACACCAAGTCAAATCAAGCTAGGCCACCCCCGGTCAAGTCAGATCAGATCAAGTCAGGTCAAGCTAGGCCGGGTCAGATCAAGTCAAGTCAAACTAGGTCTAGTCAGGCTAAGTCAGGTCAGGATAAGTCGGGTCGGGTCAGGTTAATTCAAGTCAGGATAAGTCTGGTCAAGCCAAGTCAGGTCAAAATAAATCAGGGTAAGTCAGGTTAGGATAAGCCGAGCTGGACCAAGTCAGTCAAATCAAGTCAGGTCAAACTAGGCCACCCCGGGTCAGGCTAAGCCGGGTCAGATCATTTCAAGTCAGGTCAGGATAAGTCAAGCCAGGTCAAGCTAGGCCGGGTCAGGCCAAGTCACATCAGGATAGGTTTGGTCAGGCCAAGTCAGTCGGGTCAGATCAAGTCAAGTCAAGTCAAGTCAAGCCAAGCTAGGCCTAGTCAGGCCAAGTCAGGTCAGGATATGCCGGGCTGGGCCAACTCAGATCAGAATAGGACGGATCAGATCAAGTCAGGTCAAGCTAGGTCTGGTCAGGCCAAGTCAGGTCAGGATAGGCCGGGTCAGACGAAGTTAGGTCAGGAAAGACTGGGTCAGATCAAGTTAGGTCAAGCTAGGCCGCATCAGGCCAAGTTAGGTTAGGATAGATCGAGTCAGATCAAGTCAGGTTAAGTCAAATCAGGTGAAGTCAGGTCAGTTAATTCTTCAACACTGGAGATTAATATTTTCAAAATTTTTTTATACAATTTTGCAATTTTTACATTTTTTTGTTTCGAAAACTTGAAAAATTGAAAAATTTTAAAATCGAAAAACTAAATATCAAAATTAAAAACTAAAAAAACGGAAAAAACTGTTTCGAAAAGTTGAAAAATCGGAAAAATGAAAAACTGAAAAAACGAAAAATTGCAAAATCAAAAAGTGAAAAATCGGAAAATTGGAGATCGAAAAACTGAAGAAACGAAAATTGATACACTGAAAAACAGTCAAGAATTTTAAAAATTATAATTATCCTTAGAAACATATTTAAAATGGAACTAGAAAAACTGCAAATCAAAAACTTGAAAACCGAAAAGTGGCAAACTGAAGAACCCAAAAACCGAAAATTGAAGAAAAGAAAAAATAATAAAATAAAACCAATGAAAAACCGAAAAATTGAAGAAATTAAAATAAAAAATTAAAACGAAAAATTGAAAAATTTAAACCTCGAAAATTATTCTTTTTTTGCAATTTAACTCATGAAATTGCAAAGCCAAAAATTGCAAAATCTAAAAAATTTAACCTTGGAAATTTGGAAAATCGAAAACTTGAAATATTTAAAAATGAAAACTCGTAAAATTGAAGAAACAAAAAAATTAAAAATTAAAAGATTGTAAATAGAAAAATTGAAGAAAAAAAAATTGTAAAAATAAAGAAAATAAAAAACTGAAAACCAAATCGAAAATTTGAAGAAATGAAAAAATAAAGAATCGAAACATTCGAAAATGAAATTTTGAATCGAAAAAATGAAGAAACGAAAAATTATGAACCCGAAATATTGCAAACCGAAAAATTCAAAAATTAAAAATTGAAAATTCGATAAACTCAAATCCAAAGATTTGCAAAATCCAGAATCTGTAAAATTTCACACTCAAGAAAAACGATAAAATCAGAATATTGAAAAACCGAAAAATTGAAGAAATAACGAAAATAAAAAATCGAGGCAGAAAATTGTAATTTGAAAATTTGAGAAATTTAAACACCCAAAAAATAAAAATTGTCCAAATGAAAAATTGGAAACTCGTGAAATTTTAAATGGAAAAATTGCAGAATCTAAAAATTGAACAAACAAAAAATAAAACATCGAAAAATTGTAAATCGAAAAATTGAAAAACCTGGAAGTCGAGAATTTGAAAAATGAAAAACTGAAAAAACGAAAATTGCAAAATCTAAAAAGTGAAAAATCGGAAAATTGCAGATCGAAAAACTAAAGAAACGAAAATCGATACCTATACTGAAAAACGGTCAAAAATTTTAAAATTATAATTATCCTTATAGAAACATATTTAAAATGAAACTAGAAAAACTGCAAATCAAAAACTTGAAAACCGAAAAGTGGCAAACTGAAAAATCCAAAAATCCAAAAATTGTAAAATTTCACGTTGAAGAAAAGAAAAAATGATAAAATCAGAACATTGAAAAACCGAAAAATTGAAGAAATAAGGAAAATAAAAAATCGAAACGAAAAATTGGAAAATTTAAATCCCGAAAATTATTTTTTTTGCAATTTAACTCATGAAATTGCAAAACCAAAACTTGCAAAATCTAAAAAATGAAACGTTCAAAATTTGGAAAACCGAAAACTTGAAAAAATTTAAAAATGAAAACTCAAGGGGTTGTATATCGTAAAATTGAATAAAACAAAAAAAGGAAAAATTAAAAAATTGTAAATAGGAAAATTGAAAAAACCGAAAATTGTAAAAATGAAAAAACAAAAAATTATGAAACCGAAATATTGCAAATCGAAAAATTAAAAAATTAAAAATTGAAAACTTGATAAACTCAAATCCAAAGATTGTAAAATTTCACGTTGAAGAAAAGAAAAAAATTATAAAATCAGAACACTGAAAAACCGAAAAATTGAAGAAATAAAGAAAATAAAAAATTGAAACGAAAAATTGTTTAACAAAAAATTGAAAAATTTAAACCCCGAAAATTACTTTTTTTTTGTAATTTAACTCATGAAATTGCAAACCAAAAATTGCAAAATCTAAAAAATGAAACATTCAAAATTTGGAAAATCGAAAACTTGGACAATTTAAAAATGAAAACTCGTAAAATTGAAGAAAAAAAATGAAAAATTAAGATTGTATATAGAAAAATTAAGGAAACCAAAAATTATAAAAATAAAGAAAAAAACAACCGAAACGAAAAATTGCAAATCGAAAATTTGAAGAAGGAAAAAATAAAGAATCGAAACATTCAAAAATGAACATGAAATTTTGAATCGAAAAAATGAAGAAACAAAAAATTATGAAACCGAAATATTGCAGATCGAAAAATTCAAAAATTAAAAATTGGCAACCCGATAAACTCAAATCCAAAGATTTGTAAAATCCAGAAACTGTAAAATTTCACATTAAAGAAAAGAAAAATGTAATAATATAAAATATAAAATAAAAAATCGAAACAAAAAATTGGAATTCGAAAAATTGAGAAATTTAAACACCGAAAAAATAATTTTTATTTCGTGAAATTGCTAATTGAAAAATTAAAAAATCTAAAAAATGAAACATTCAAAATTTGGAAAATCAAAAAATTATAAATTGAAAAATTGTAAATCGGAAAATTCGAAAATGAAAAATTGGAAACTTGTGAAATTTTAAATCAAAAATTGCAGAAACAAAAAATAAAACATGGAAAAATTGCTAACCGAAAAATTGAAGACACAAAAAATTGAAAAATCTGGAAGTCGAGAATTTGAAAAATTGCAAAAATTAAAGTTGAAAAAACGAAAAATTATGAAACGGAAAAATTGAAAAATTTAACATTGAAAACTCGACAAATTCAAACCGAAAAATTGAAAAATTAAAACACCGAAAAATTAATTTTTATCTCATGAAATTGCAAAACGAAAAACTGTCAAATCTAAAAAATGAAAAGTCCAAAATCTGGAAAATCGAAAAATTAAAGAATTTAAAAAGAAAACTCGTAAAATTGAAGAAATAAAAAATGAAAAATTAAAAAATTGTAAATAGAAAAATTGAAGAAACCAAAAATTGTAAAAATAAAGAAAATAAAAACCGAAACGAGAAATTGGAAATCGAAAATATGAAGAAATGAAAAAATAAAGAATCGAAACAATCAAAAATGAAAATGAAATTTTGAATCGAAAAAATGAAGAAACAAAAAATTATGAAACCGAAATATTGCAAATCAAAAATTGAAAATTGAAAACTCGATAAACTCAAATGCAAAGATTTGGCAAAATCCAGAAGTTGTAAAATTTCACATTAAAGAAAAGAAAAATTATAAAATCAACATTGAAAAACCTAAAAGTTGAAGGAGTAAATAAAATAAAAATCGAAACAAAAAAATTGTAAATCGAAAAATTGAAAAATTACAAAATCAAAAAAATGAAACATCCAAAATTTGGAAAACCGAAAAATTAAACAATTATAAATTGAAAAATTGTAAATCGAGAATTTGAAGGAATGAAAAAATAAAGAATTGAAAAATTCGAAAATGAAAAATTGGAAACTCGTGAAATTTTAAATCGAAAAATTGAACAAACAAAAAATAAAATATGGAAAAATCGCACACAAAAAATTGAAAAATCTCAAAGTCGAGAATTTGAAAAATTGGAAAAATTAAAGTTGAAGAACCTACAAATTATGGAACCGAAATATTGCAAAACGAAAAATTCAAAAATTAAACATTGAAAACTCGAGAAATTCAAATCGAAAAATTGCAAAATCCAAAAACTGTAAAATTTCAAATTGAAGAAAAGAAAAATTATAAAATCAGAACATTGAAAAACCAAAAAATTGAACGAATAAAGAAAATAAAAAATCGAAACAAAAAATTTTAAATCGAAAAATTGCAAACTGAAAAATTACAAAATCAAAAAAATGAAACATCCAAAATTTAGAAAACCGAAAAATTAAAAAATTATAAATTGAAAAATTGTAAATCGAGAATTTGAAGGAATGAAAAAATAAAGAATTGAAAAATTCGAAAATGAAAAATTGGAAACTCGTGAAATTTTAAATCGAAAAATTGAACAAACAAAAAATAAAATATGGAAAAATCGCAAACAAAAAATTCTCAAAGTCGAGAATTTGAAAAATTGGAAAAATTAAAGTTGAAGAACCGAAAAATTATGAAACTGAAATATTGCAAAACGAAAAATTCAAAAATTAAACATTGAAAACTCTAGAAATTCTAATCAAAAAATTGCAAAATCCAAAAACTGTAAAATTTCAAATTGAAGGAATAAAGAAAATAAAAAATCGAAACAAAAAATTGTACATCGAAAAATTGCAAAATTAAAACACCGAAAAAATAATTTTCATCTCATGAAATTGCAAATTGAAAGATCACAAAATCTAAAAAATGAAATATCCAAAATTTGGAAAATTGAAAAATTAAAAAATTATAAACTGAAAAATTGCAAATCGAAAAACTGAAGAAATGAAACTCGTGAAATTTTAAATCCAAAAATTGCAATTCGAAAAATTGAAAATACAAAAAATTGAAGATCTGGAAGTCGAGAATTTGAAAAATTGGAAAAATTAAAGTTGAAAAAACGAAAAATTATGGAACCAAAATATTGCAAATCGAACAATTCAAAAATTAAACATTGAAAACTCGAAAAATTGCAAAATCCAAAAACTGCAAAATTTCACATTAAAGAAAAGAGAAATTATAAAATCAGTACATTAAAAAAATGGAAACAAAAAATTGTAAATCGAAAAAATGAAACGTTCAAAATTTGGAAAATCGAAAACTTGAAGAAACAAAAAATTGTAAAATAAAGAAAATAAAAAAACCGAAACGAAAAATTTCAAATCGAAAATTTGAAGAAATGAAATAATAAAAATCGCAACATTCAAAAATGAAATTTCTAATCGAAAAATTCAATGTCGTAATAAAAAAAAATCAACACTGAAGTTTATGACTTTCGCAGTTATGAAAAATTTATCAATTTCAATAAATAATTGTGAGAAAAACAACTGACGTGTCACACCGCTCAAAAAAATGTTTTCTTATTTTATTATTCATTTTGTAAATTGTGATTTGTAAATTTCCATTTTTCCAGTTCATTTTTAATTCCAGAAATTTTGAATTTTTCCACTGATTGTGTCGTAATAACAAAGGATCAATAATGAAGGCTACGACTTTCGCAGTTATGAAAAATTAATCAATTTCAATAAAAACCGTGTCCTTACTTATTTATTCTGGAAATTTTGAAATGTCAATTTTCGACATGGACCGCCCTCCCCCGAACCTTTCTTGAACCCTTTCAGTTAACTCGCTATGAACATCAACAACGAACAATCGACAAACAAGAATCAAGACGCTACCTTTTGATGTCGTCCTCCGTCAGGTCCGGGTGTATCGATGCAACGTAGATCCTATTGTACTGTTTCGCCTCCTCCTGAATCTCGTCGATGACGGCTTGAGCTTGCGGCATATTGCTAGGCCTTCCGACGACCTTAATGTTACGTCCGCCTATCATAACTCCGTTCATTTGTTCTAAAGCTAACTGAGCCGCCTCCGGTATCTCGTACTCGACAAAAGCGAATCCTTTGTGTTTTTGTGTGACAGGGTCCCACGACATATTGATGGATTTTATTGGTCCGAACGGTAGAAACGATTGCCTAATTGTATCCTCCTTCAGTTCAAAACTGATGCTCCCAACGTACACCCTAAACCCAGTACCGTGTCACCCATTTGTTCGTCTCAGAATTTATCATTAGTTTATACATCGGAGTTAAATGGAATGGTTAAGAGAATTTTGTGTTAAGATCAAGGAACAATTTCTGTTCTCGATCCACAATTATCACTATTATTATTATTATTAGTTTTAGTGTGACTTTATTTTAGTTGACAGAAATTATTCCCTCTTAAATTAAAAGTAAATGAGTGGGGTCGAGCAAAAGAAAGTCGTTACATTTACTTTTAACACGGTAATCAGATCTTATCAGCAAAAACTCATGAGTTGGAGAAAAGTGGATTTCTCGACAACTTCGACTGAAAAATGATCATCATTTTTACAAAATTATGATTAAGCGAGTCATGCAAGCTAGTAATGAGTGAAATTACATTGTTGCTCTTCACGCAACTACGAAAACGAAATAAAATCGTGAAAATTATAAAGAACACTACGGGATGAAGGCAACAATGTAAAAGTATGGACGATGAAGCGTGCTAACCTGCACATAAGGGCGAGAGCCTGCTGACGCTGGACCTGAGTCCTCTGACTAGCCATTTGCTGCAACAGAGGACAAGTGGCATGTCACAACTAGTAAACGCAAGCTTGGGGGCGAGCTCTCGCCCCCTGAGCGGGCGCGTGCGACAAGCTACGCACTAACCTGCACATTAAAACTAACACTTGATGTCTCTGGAAGGTCTTATTTTTCTGTGAAGCAAACTCTCATTAGTAAACATCTTAATATACACACATTTGACAAAAAAGGAACTAAAATGCTGTCACAAAAACCAAAGAAAATCGACGGAAATTCGTTAACATCTTCCAGTAAAACAATTTTGAATTTGGGTCTGATTTACGAAAAAATATCAAGCTCGGAGAGTCGGGAGTCGCGATGGCACGAACAGGGATTTTCATTCACATTAATTGGAGACCCTGTTTATACCATCGCTGATTTCGTCAAAATATGTACCTGCTGCTGGTGTGCTAACGTCTGTTTCATAAGTACCATCCTAATGCTCTGTTCCATGGCGTATTTTTTCGCTTTGCTGACGCGGTCGCTTTGGTCGGAAGTTAGTTTTGGAAGGGCTCCGCCAAGGATGCCAGCTATCGTGTTACTGCGGGCTCCAGGACCTTATTTTGGTTCCAAGCTAGATTAATACGATTTTTACGTCGCGATAGACTCACCTGTGATAACTTCTCCAGTCTGTTTAAGATCATATGTTAAGCTATTTCTTTGTGATCCATCTACAACAAAATCGGATGTGAATAGAGTTGAAAGTGAAAAATTTAAATCGTGGTCGAAACTGTTAGATTAATCCTTCATTTACTTACAAATCTGACTAAATTGCTTTTTTTTTTTTAATCGGGATAATCAAGTTTAATAATCTACAAAACAATTAGAATTTTACTATTACTACTGGTCGTTTCCAGGAAAAAAATCGAATTAAAATTTTGTCTTACAACGAATCTAAGTAATACACTGATGAGAACATATTATGAACATCAACATTGTCGCCATAAGTTTCTAAGGAAAGTTATGTACATGTTCTAATTCCACGCTTCGTAAAACCGTAACGAAATCGCAACAGCCAAGACTTTGGTAAGATTAAACTTAGGCAAAAATGTTTTTCCGACACCTCGATCACACTCGTTTGATTTTTCTCTAGGTTGATCAAAATGGCACAAAAACATTTTTTCTCAAAAAATAATTTCTACCAATTCGATTACTTTAAAATACACTTAAAAAAGATAACATTTTGATAATTTCAAAAAAGAAAAAATAAATGGGCAAGGAGAACACAGAAATAAAATGTCCAATCACAAGTCATTTCATACAACTACACAATTCCACTATGACATGCACAGCAACCTTAAAATAAACATATTTTTGTCACTTTGTGTCATTTTGTCAAAACCGGAACTACAGGGTGACTATGAAAGACGGTACATCGAGAATCTACATAAACAATTAGATATTTCTGCAAGTCCATTTAAAAAAGTTAGGTTATGGTTGTTTTGTGACAGCCGACTTGACGTACAATTTTTCATAGCCACCTGGTATATTTTTCAATTGCTAGTCCCGGAACAAAATTGAAAATCTATTAGCCACATCTCTGCGAAAAAACAACTTTTCCGTGTCAAATTAATTTCGATTGCTTACTTTACATGTTCTCCACCACCCAGAAATTAATTAATCATTGAAATTGACTTAGAAAAATGACAACTTCGCACTTCAGTCGTGAGTGCGTTAAAACTGTGCAGGATGTATACTTATGGGTAAAAAAAAATGTGCAAAGAGGGCTTGCTTTGAGCAAGTTGCGCAATCGCTTCGCCACCCTGCCACAAAGTAACATAATTATCTCTTAAAAAATATGTACATTTTGTAGTTCTTGCACGTAGTTTGCGGTCGGCGGTCAAGTCAAGCCTCTAGTAACGCAACAACTCGAATCTGGTTGCACCTAACTGTATCTGGAAACACAAAGAGAAAATAGATATGTCTAAAACAACCCGATTGACCTGGCGATTATCAAACGAACATGTTGAATGAGTATGTGTTTGGAACTGACTCAGCAAAACCCAAACAACCAAACTCATACTCAAACACACATAAATTAGTCTTTGGTTTTCCTACCATGTAACCGTGTAGGCTACGGTTACAGCATTTCGTTCAACTCCACGTGAGGCTACGTTCTGGCAGATCTCATTTCTGGAACATCTCAAGCAGACATCGCACATTAGTATGGGTGTCCCGTACTTGAGGCTCTATACCTTACTTAAAGCAACGATAGAAATAGATACTTACTGTCGAGTTTCGGGATTTTCGGCGGCGGGTCCTCGGTGCCGGGAGCAGGCGGCTCGGCTTCCTCCTGCGTGCTCATCTGTTCGGGCTTCAACAACTTTTAGAAAAAACCACAAACGACTGAACCCACTCACCATATTCGTTCCTCCGTTGAGCACCAACCGCTCCTGCTGGTACGTAGTCATCATGATTGAGGAGTGCGTGCCTTCCCCGAGACGAAACACCCAAAAAGCGCGCTTTTTACCATAAAAATAACAATTTTCTGCTTACAACAAAATGGCGTAAATGCTTTACGTCAACCGGATCAATAAAAATGATGGATGGGACGCGGCCGGTAACGCCGCTACCTACACCCAAAATCTCTCGTCACAGTCGGTAACAATGACATTTGACAAGTGAGGTTATAACAAAATTCAACTTTATTACATATATTTCACGAAAAAATTATGGATATCGCGCTACTGATCGCGCTAGCCGCAGTCGTCTTCTTACTCATAATAAGCATCGCACTGTTTTTCAAACACTCAGAGAAACCTAAGCCAGGTTTGCGTTATCAAACATATGTTACTAAGTTAACTTTTTGAATGAAAAAATCGTAGATGAGAGGCCGCGACCAGTCCCCCGCGCGAGGGAAGGCGTGCCGCGCAGAGCCCAAATGGCGAGGAACAGAGGGGCGAGATTGAGAGCCAACGGTACGACCACAACCCCCATAATCAGTATCATCGTTGAATTGTTGCAGCTGCCCAAGAACCGCCGCCTTCCGACGACGAGAACAACCGCAACGAGCGCGACAATGACGTAGAAATCCCAGACGGCGCCAAAATCGGCGCTAAAAAGAAAGCCAAGCTCGAAGCTAAAGCCGAGAAGAAGGCGCAAAGAGAAGCCGAGGAGCAACAACGCGCTGAAAAACGAAAGAAAGATCAGTTGGCTGAAGAAGAGCGCAAGAAAGCTGAAGCGAAAGTGGAAGCTGAAGAGAAGCGCAAGGAAGAGGAAGAGAAAAAAGCCAAAGAGGAACTGGAGAAACGCGAGTATGAAGAATATTTAAAAATGAAAGAAGCGTTTTCTGTGGAAGAGGAAGGCTTTGAAGAGGGGGAGGACGAAAATCAGATGAATTTGCTACAAGAGTTCGTGCGCTATATTAAAAATAACAAGGTCGTGGTTATTGAGGATTTGGCGGCCCATTTTAAACTGAAAACGCAGGCGGCTATTGACAGGATCAAGGATTTGCAAAAGGACGATATCCTTACGGGGGTTATAGACGACCGAGGGAAGTTTATTTTCGTTGCGCCGGAGGAGATGGAGGCGGTGGCTAAGTTTATAAGGCAGAGGGGGCGGGTCTCCATCGCCGAACTAGCTGAAAATAGCAATAAGTTGATTAATTTGACGCCTGTAGGTGCTGGCGCTAATTAAATTTGTCACGATTTATCACAGTTTAATATCGTCAGGTTGGTACTAATGAAAGCAGCCATGTTCTCGATCAACCAATCACGGAACGTCTGCACCGTCACGTGATTTTGACGTATCAAAGGTGATTCAAACGTCATTTCGAGTGATCGAACAAAAAATAAAATATTTTATTCGTTAAAGTCACAATTAAATCCACGATTAGAGGGTCCTAGCTACCTGAAAGTTTTAGAATGTATTGATTTCAACTTATCCTATTTTAGTCGCTCATTTCGTCATCATCCTCTTCGCTTGTGACGTCAGGGTCACAGGCTTGTTCTTCACATTTGCGGCAATTACAGGCGAAAAGATAATTTTCCATTAGTTGTTTCCGCCTGGAATGGCGTGACCTCTGCACACTACATTCGTCCAAATAACTGATACAAATTTCCTCTCCTTCCTGGATATCTCTCATGGCCACCAAAGACAGCCTGTTGTTATTATGGAGATACGTGGGTTCAGCGTTTGGGACGCAACTGTGGTTGCACGCACTTTGTAACGTGAAAAGAGCAACCCCTTCATTGTTTAGAAAATTCCCGGAATGGGAATCCATATCTTCATATAGTTTGTCAATGAACTTGTCCAATACAGCCCTTTCTTCGTCCGTTATCGCCAAGTCTGAGGTTCTAGTAACCCACTGGCTAATCGCACTCGTTCCCACCCCTTGTCCGTTGGTCCCAATCAAAGCCAGCAGTCCTTGGAAACCCACGGGGGTCAAAAACTGTTCGATTCCGTCATGAGGGATACATTGCAGGAGTAAATTGTGTAAAAGAGCCTGCTGACTGGCGAATTTCTCCCCTAAGAGCTTATGTGCAAGCTCGGCATCTTCGTTCACCGTGCGATGACAAAACTGCAAAGTTTGTTCAATCGCGACGTCGCGATTTGGGGATTGGATGATTCGAGCCAAAAGACGGATTATTAGCATTACAGTATTAGTTTCAGGCGGATAATGCACAGATTTCCACGCCTCATTCAACTGTTCCAAGGGATGAGAATTGTTTCTTTGCATTGTTTGCAGACAGAGAGTTCTGTGGTACTGGTTATAGGCCATAGTTTGACACTCCACTGAACAATATTCGACCCCGCAGAGGCTACAAATCGTGAATTTCGACTTATCGGTGGTGCAACACTCCAGAAACGGGAGCTCCAGCTCCGCTTTGCCGCTAAGCCGACGAGCATTCTCCTGAGCCGTCTCTAACGGTCTAAAAAAGTGGGGTTAAACACGACTTAAAACCAATCCTACTCACTTCAAACAGTGATCACAAGCTGAATATTGGTAAGCCGCGTTCCACGAAAACTGGCACGACACCAGAGGGTCCTCCTCGAAGATGATAGAGCCGCTTTTGAACGACTTTTTCGCGAAGAGCCCCTTGCCCTAAAACGATGCTAATTTCATATTTTTTTAATAAAACGGGGGGACGCACTTTTGAGTTGTCTATGACGCGCACTTCCACATCCATATCACACCGTTTTCGTATCACTTATCACAAAATTGGATGTTACATGTGGGGACGAATTTGAGGTTATGTTTACGCTTGCGGAATGTGAGGTTAGTGATAAGAGTTTTGTTATTATGGCCGGTAAAAAAGTCTTTGTGACTGTGGGGACCACCAAATTCGAACGACTGGTTGAGGAAGTGTCCAAAGATGGGGTTTTGGAAGTTTTGTTTTCGTTGGGGTACACGGTCGTGCAGTTTCAAGTGGGTACAGGCGCCTTCAAACAAAAATCTCATGAGAAAGTCGAGCTAAAGTACGACTCTTATTTTGAAAATTTCTCTGAAGTAGTAGAGGCGTCAGACTTGGTGATTAGTCACGCGGGGGCTGGTACGTGTTTGGAGGTGTTAAAGAAGCGAAAACCCCTGATTGTTGTTATCAATGAGGACTTAATGGATAACCACCAGACGGAACTGGCGCACCAATTAGCTAAAGATGGGTATCTCCAGTGTTGCACACCATCCACTTTAAAAAATGTTTTGCTTGATAATAAAACAAATTTCAAGCCATACCCTAAACCAAACGCAGCCACTTTCAGCCACTATTTAGACAAATGCATGGGTTTTGAAACAACACAATGTACATAGATCTTTATTACAAACAATAAATTACACTAGTTTTTTCGCTTCAAAGAAGCTCTTTAAGTGTTTCATTTGCCAGGCCCCCATGGCTAGCAAAACCGCGGTTTGAGTGACAGACCACCACAAGACTCGCGAGTTCGTACTTTCGCTAGTTTGTCTGAAACGCTCTTCTCGATACTACAATAAACCCAATTAGACAATTAAATAATTGTGTTATTTAAATACCCTCTGGTAGTTCTGTTCTTTGGTGATCTGATCCACCTGATCCAACAACTGGCGCACCCTCAGTTGCAACTCCGATAACTTCTCCTTTTGCACCACTTCTCCGTAGTTGACGGCGTGCTCCCCCACTTGAATGTCCAGATGGACGCGCAGCTGCGACCCGCTGAACCACGCCGAGCTATTCGAGTACATGCAAATTACGTGCTCGCCGGGGGTGTGCGACGTGAACGACATTTTTCCTTCGGAGCTGTACACCCGAGACAGGAGGGTCTTGTCGTCGGGGTCCCTCACTTCCACGTGCATGCCGATGCCGGGCGACGACGGCATGAAGCCGCCGCTTCGGGGGTCGTACAACTCCACTTTGTAGTTGACTGGAAGACAGAGTTAGACGCGGTTTAGTCAAAAAAATTTAATACCTATGACATTGGTTTCATCCGGGATTTCTTCGATGAAACACTTTCGTTCGGTTTCACCGATGTGGAAGTACAACGAGTGTCCGTAGGTGAAGAGTGTGCTCACAAAAAGGAACGTTATCAGTTGTGTGTTTAACATTTTTGCTTCAGTTTTGCGTTTTTGGACCGTGTTTAGTTACACGTCACTGTGGTATTTTTTGGAAAGTGACAAGTGACATGTGTCAAAACTGTCAAACCGGAGCGCTAAATTTAAACTGGGTTCTTTATTTACAAGAAATGCGTTATTTATTGTTTTTGGTGAATGGATGTGTGCTGAGACTGTTTTATAGCAAGGTGTTCCAGGTTTTACTTACGGGGTTTAAGGGGACTCGCTGGACGAGGTATAACATTTTTTTGGTTTTTTGTATGAAAAAATGATATTAATATAGATGTATCATACATCAAACTGCAGCTTTTTTCATATTCTAGAGCGCAGAGACCAGTTCAATCAACTAAAAAAATATGTATATATATTTTCAAGTTTTTTGAGTCATAACCAACATAGAATCGCTTGAAAATTCGCACATGGATAGAACATCACTTTTTACAGGGCGCAGAGTCATTAATAAATGTTTGTTAGTGGTACAATTTGTTTAAATAATAATCTGTTTATTAAAATCAAAATATACCACAAATTAATGCAAAATACGTCGAATAATTTTAACAGGAATATCAGAGGAAAATTAATGATCTATTGGTTGGCAGCGTTTTTAACAAAAACGAACAATTATTGAAAAAAATAGGTATCAATTCGACAGAATTTGAGCAGTTAGTTCAGTACTTTGCCGATAGGAGCGCCACTAAAATTTACGGAAGCGATTTTCCAGGTAAAACCCTTATCGCCTGCTTTACCATAAGCTGATTGTTACTGCCCATTCACAATGGACATAAGGCATAACAAGTACATAAAGCTTACATAAATACATAAAGTTGAAACGATGGAAAACGTATACCCCTGTTCACAGTGGACCAACGTAATTCTTATGCTTATGAACGTTTTATGTAATCCTTGTGTGCGTACACAAAGTTGAAATAAGTTCAACTTTGTGCACGAATTATGTCAAAATTATGTTAAAATCTAGGGACTTTTGAATGCTGCTATTGAATTCCCTTTGACAGTTGGCACTTGGCACTTTACACCTTTAATTATATTATATATATTATAATCAAAGTTTCTAAATGCGAGTCTGTTCTGTACTGCTAGTTGTCAAGTTCGAATATCGTACGAAATTGTAGGTTAGATATTTTGATTGACTCAGTTTGAGGTTAGCCGTTTCTATGTTTAGCCGGGAGTCATTCCGTTCTGCGTTTGCGCAGTTTAACAATTCTTACAGAGTTCACTCTGTCCACTGTGAACGTAGATAAGCATAAGCCAGACACAAACCAAAAACATAAATTATGTTATGCGCTCGTTCTTATGTCTTATGTCCATTGTGAATGGGCAGTTAAGAGTTCTCGGCTGATTTTTCTAATTTATGGCAAGGAACTCAGTTTTATAACAAGCCGCCAGGACCGGCCGTGGTAATCTATTGTTAAGGAAATTAACTTTTACGCAATGAGGTACTATCATAAAACCGAATTAAAACTAGGGAACTATAATATTTTTACTCCACTCAGGATCTTGAATTCAATACACATGATTACTAAAAATTCATTGTAATATTATTGTTAATATATAAGTACATAAAAAAATAGAAACAAATTTTATTTATTTAAAAAAAATCTCTCGCAAAGGCAGGTTCCTCTTTCTTCTTGAATCAATTATTTCGGGCAATAAAGCGCCAAAGCAAAATCTGCCAAGTTTATCTGCCATCTTTTTACATATATTTCTTCGTCTTTATAAATTTTTTCTATATTTATTCCATTGGGTGTCCCTACAACAAAATAAACTTGTGAAATACCCGTAACAAGCATTTGTCCCTTGACTTGAAAGTAGTAGGGGAAAGGTGCCTAAAATGATCCCCCTAAGGGAGAAATTCTTTAAAAAATACAAATTATTATTATTCATGTAAAACTGTAGCATTATTTGTAAGAACATTGATTTATCTAGGTAACAGTATAAGCCAATTGGTGATTCGATAATTATAAAAAAAGTTATTAACGTTTTTCCAGGACCTTACAAAAGGATCATTTTAGGCATCCCCATAGGTAAAATGATCCCTCGGCATAGGCATAATGATCCCTTTGAATTTTGACCATAAGGGGACAGCATCAACAAGAAAAATCAAATCATGACATAACTGATAAATATTTTATTTCAAAAATAAACAAAAAAATCAATTCTTAAAAAAAAGTAAACAAAAATGTTTGAAAAGCACCGAAAATACGGGGTGTATAATTTCTGGAAGAGTTTGAGACAATACTTCAGTCATCAGTACGTGCTAAGATAAGACTGAATTTGGCAAATGATATAGCCTTTAAGAAAAGAGAGGGCGGGTGGGCGGGTCTACTAACTGCTAAGATAAAACTGAATTTGGCAAATGATATACCCTCTAAGAAAAGAGAGGGAGGGTGGGTGGGGCTAATACTTGCTAATGTAAAACTGATTTTGGCAAATGAGATACCCTTTAAGAAAAGTGACGGCGGGTGACTGGGATTAGTACCTCTTAAGACTGAAAATTTCCCAAAAATAGAACACGAAAATCCCTAAAATTCTTTTAAATTATTTAAATTTCCCCGTCTTAAGAGGTACTAACTCCACCCACCCTCCCTTTCCTCTCTTAGAGGGTATTTCATTTGCGAAAATCAGTTTTATTTTAGCAGGTAGTAGGTGGGTGGGGCTAGTAAATGCTAAGATAAAACTGGTATTGGCAAATGGTATTCCCTCGAAGAAACTATAGGGTGGGTGGGCGGGGTTAGAGGATATGTCATCTGCAAAAATCAGTCTTATCTTAGCAGGTAGTAGCCCCGCCCACCCACCCTCTCTTTTCTTGGAGGACATGTCATTTCCGAAAATCAGTCTTTTCTTATTAGGTACTAGTCCTCTAACAAGATAAAGGGCGGATGGGCCGAGCTAGTGCTTGGCAAGATGAGGCTGATATTGGCAAATAACATACATTCTAAGAAAATAACGGGCGGGTGGGTGGGGTTAGTAGTTGCTAAGATAGAACTGATATTGGCAAATGGTATTCCCTCAAAGAAAATAAAGAGTAGGTGGGCGGGGTTAGAGCATATGTTATCTGCAAAAATCAGTCTTATCTTAACAGGTACTAGCCCCGCCCAATGATCCGGGATCATTTTGCCTCAAGAAAAAGGGATCATTTCGCCTTAGGTAGCATATCCGCATTCAAAAATTGTAAACTAATCTTCAATTTTTACATGCGGTAAAAAGATCATAATCATAAAGGTACGTGTCCACTGGAGAGTGACTTGGCGAGAATTCGCGAGAGTTACTTTCAAGGGCTTGTCGATTTGAGAGGATATTTTGGCAAATTTTGCTCGCCGATAGATGTCGATCAGACAAAGCTCTCAAAACCCTGTCCACTACACAGTTGCACTTGCGAGGAAAATGGACCCTCTTTACTCGAACCGACAAAGAATTTATGATTTTACGAGCCTTTTGTTAATTTATTTTTCACGAAATACGGTAAAATATTGCAGCTGTGAAAACAGGTAGTAAGAGGACATAAATTATTATCTGGACCTAAAATTGTGCTAAGAAATACGCAAATGCACGATGCTATTTCTATTCATGAAAGAGTAATAGTAACATTACGATTTTTTTGTATCAGGTACATATGTAAAAGTATTATGTAAATCATTGAACAAAATAAGGTGTTCTCCATAGGTTATGTCACGTACATTTTGGGGTTTTTGGACCTTTCTTTTCTGTGTCACAGGTTGTCACATTCATATGATCCCACCCTCTATTATAATGTCATATAATTTTAATGTAGAGTTGATTTTGATTAAATCAACATTGCAATTATTACTCTTATTTAATATTATGTAAAATCTTCTTTCCACATATCTCTTAAAAATGTAAAAAATTGGTCGAAAGTTGTTTCGACAGAACTTCCCTCGCACCGAAAGAACTATGAAACATATCTAACATTTTCGAGTTGAGTTTTTTCTTTACACAATTTTGTGATGACGTCATCAACATTTTTGCAAGGTCACGTATATCAACTTGGATTGGTGCAGTATAATACTAAAAATAACAGTAGATGAATATGAATGCAGTGATAAATCACAATTAAAAACTCAACATATTTTGCACACTTTGGATAGAATTTATTCTGAAAAATTTTGAGATGACGTCATCAAGTTTTTGTTGGGAATAAACATATATGTTTTGATTAACAATTTACCACGCTTACAATAACCTTAAAACGTCTGGAAGATTTCAAAGTACCTATTCAGTTTTGCAATTCTTGTGTTATTCAGGAAACTAAAATCACGCATTCACAATAATAAATTACAAGTATTATACTGATCATATATATTTTGCACATTTCGGGTGGAAATTATTCGGCAAAATTTTGAACTGACGTTATCAATTTTTTGGAGGGGATAAGCAAATATATTTTGATTAAAAGTTTATTATGCTTATCAAACTTTAAAACAGCTGTAAGAATCAAAATTAAATTGTAAAATGTTGTTTTATGTTTTCTTTTCCAAAAATCTGGAATCGACCCAGTACTTTTGGAGATTATCTGTCTAATAAAAATCGGGACGGCAGACAGACGGACAGACAGACAGACGGAAACTAGAGACTTATTTTTTCGTACTCTAGGGGTCATGAAAGGTCGAGAAAACGTAAAAGTAGAGAATGGGCTGACGGAAATAACGATGTTTGAAAATTGTTAATATTTTAGTTTTGTTTTTATAAACACTCAGCATATTAGAAATTAATTTAATTGATACCATAGCAAATCACGTACTTTTGTTTACCTCCCCATAAAATATTATAACACAGATCTTAAAATTAATACGATTGCGATTTTTTTGTGAACCGCTTCATTACAAAAATTTTTTAGAAAATTAGAATTAGGCATTCTATTTAAAAAAGTACGTTGAATATTACGCCTCAAAAACAGAACACTCTGTATAGTTGAAAATAATTTTAGTGTATGCTACGCGATTTCTATAGTCCTTTTTTTCCATATCGTGCAATTAGTTCTGCAGTTTGGTCTTTTGACCATCCAAATTTGGCCATGGCAAAGCTCACCACTCGCGGACAGAACTGTAGGAATTCGAAACGTGTTCGTATTGTGAAAGTACCTCCAGAGAGGCACAGCTTTGGTTTCCAACTAGAGCCCAAGTTCTAGCAAATTTGCTACCCTGTCCACTGCTCGGGTACACTAGCGAGAGAAACGAGCGATTTGTACTCGACCGACAAATAATTTATGATTTTATGGGCTTTTTGTTAATCCTCTTTCAAGAAATTCAACTGAAATGTAAATGCTGGGAAAACAGGTAGCAAAAAGGGTATAGGTAAATTGTCTCCCGGGTTAGATTGGTAAGAGCGCTTAATACGACCGGCACCTGAAGATTATCATCCCGGCAGGTTATGATTCATCAAAGGACAATTACATGCAATGTTGTAGTGTGTAAAAACATCTATAAAATTATTGTCCGTCCCTAATAATTATATTTTCAGGTGAGGCAGGTATCAATTTATAAAAGCACTTGTGGATAAACACTGAAAATAAATATAAATATTAATTTTTGAATACTCATGCTACTTAACAATACATTTGTAGTACCTAATATGTAAATTATTATTAAAAATTCATTTAAAAACGTTATTTGAATAATAAAAAATGAATTTACTTCGTTGTGCATAGTTTAATCTCGTACTACAACAAAATAATAATAATAATAATGAAGTATATTCAGAATCACTTATACAAACTATGATGTTTAATTATAAATTAAAAAAGTTAATCTAGTCTACTTTTCACATTACTTGCTTCAGATTTACGACAAATGAGCATAATTTAGTCATTTATTTTCGTTTTACATTTTTTTTAGTATTTAATAATTTCATAAAAATGTGTTACCTATCTCAAAACGCTGTATAAATGTTGAAGTCAGGTAAACGATCAGATTTGGCCGAATTGCGTAGTCCTTTTCACGACTGTTTGCATAGAATCATAAACGTGTAAAATAAGTCGGCTTTACTCGAGAAATAATTTATGATGAACTGCTTACTCTCGGGGAATACTTCCCCAATTCGAAGCTTCTTCACACGGACAGTATCTCTCGCAAGTAAACGCAGTTTGGCTTGTCCACTGGAGAGAATATCGTTCGCGGCGAGATCAGCCGATCAGTGTTTCGTCTTTACTCGACTGGACTCGGAGATCTCCAGGGCTGATTTTGAGGCGATTTCTCGCAAGTGGACACTTACCTTAACTAACATACGACTGAAATGTATCTAATTCTGTCAAAACAACTATCACCGCTATAAGACCTTTCAAATGGAAGTAATGGACTTTTAAAATATATCTTACCTTAGATCAGAGGTGCTTATTTTACATATTTTGGCACAAAACTGTGCAGAATACACAGAACGCCATCAAACTTTCAGAAGGTACTAATTACAGAGCGTTTAATCAAATGACAGTTATGTTTGGTAGATGGAGCCACAAATTTTCTTACAATTGATGGGGATCATTTGACCTGAGGGGATCATTTTAGGCACTTTTCCCCTAATCATGATTCTTTTTTTAGTTTCAATTCTGTCTGTCAATGTACAAAATTTGATTATTTTTTTTCTAACCGCTTCTTCAGGAGACAAATCTTGCAATTTTGAAGGGCATTTAATTTCGACTAATGCACTCCTATCCTCTAGAACCCTGTCTGGACTAGCAGCCAAGTAAGGAAATTGTTTCGATTCTTTAATTTTCTTCCATTTTTAGGTTTTTCAATATTTCAGCTTTGGAATTTTGCAATATTTCGTTTCTTGAATTTTTCAAATTTTTGATATTGTGTTTTCTCGGTTTTTAAATTTTTCGATATTTTAATTTTACACTTTTTAAAGTTTTAGGTTTTTAGATTTCTCAGTATCTCGACTTTTCGATTTTTCAGTTCCATGATTTTTCAATTTGTCGAATTTTTAAATTTTAGATTTTTTGTTCTCGATCATTCAATTTTCTGAGTTTTCAGGCTTAGATTTTTTTGTTGTTCAATTCCTGGATTTTTAAAATTTTTGTTTTTTAAATTTTCCTATTTATCAACTTACTGGGATTTCAATGTTTTGATTTTTTGATTGTTCAATTTCTCGATTTTTTGAATTTTTAGTTTTTGATACGATTTTTTTTTTTCAAAAATTTTCAGTTTTTCAATATATTAACTTTACGATATTTCAGTTTTACGATTTTAAAATTTTTTTATTTTTCAGTTTTCAATTTTCGACGTTTCTAAATTTTTCGATTTTTCAGTTTTTCGATTAACTGATTTTTTGATTTTCCCATTTCGATTTTTCAATTCTTTCTTCAATTGTGATTTTTCAATTTTTCGATTTCTGGATTTTTCAATGTTTCAGTTTTGGATTTTTTCACTTTTCCGATTCTTCAATTTTCTTTCCATTTTTCAGTATTTCAGTTCTGAGATTTTGCAATGTTTCGGTTCTTCAATTTTTCCATTTTTTGATGTTTCGATTTTTCGGTTTTTCAATTTTTCGATAGGTATTTTAATTTTCCAATTTTTAAGTTCTAGATTTTCCGTTAATTTTTTTGTTTTCCTTGATGTTTTAAGTTCTCGATTATTCGATTTTTCAAGTTCTCGGTTTAGATTTTTTGGTTTTCCAATTCTTCGATTTTAAATTGTTTCATTTTTAGATTGTTCAATTTCTCGATTTATAGATTTTTCAATTTTTCGGTTTACCGATTTTTTTCATTTAAAATGTTTCAATTTTTCAATTATTAAGCTTTCGATTTTTCAATTTTGGTGTAATTTGAAAACGGTATTAAAGAATTGCTGGTTGCATTTAAGGCAACAAATGGCGCCCAATTCCAACTTGTCTCTCGTCTAGCGTTCCCCCTTAAGTGAGTTTCACTTTGTTTTGGAAAAGTTTGTGCTGCCAACGTGAGCGCGCTCAAGTTACTAACCAGTTATTGACAAATCGGATAACCTGTACTTGTCATTGTGATGGCTGTGGTTGTTTGATAGTTTCTAGTGTCAAATTTAGGGCGTAGCGTTGGGAAAATAGTAAGTCGGCCCTTTGTGAGTGGTGAGTGTGTTCAATGAAGGAAGCTTCACCTCCCGTGTCAGCAATGGCCACACCGACGAATGGTAGTGGCAATTTGGTCGACGAATTCGAGGAAGCGTTTCAGGTAGGTAACGATTTTGTGTCCCTTTCTCCCTTTGGTGATGAAAATATCATGCCAACTATGTCCAAATTTTAATTCGTTGATTTTTATGGGTTCAATTGACATTGAAAGTACGACGCGCTAGCCAATCAAATTTGTGGATTTATTGGATCGAACTAGTCGAACCAATGACCTTCTATTTTTTTGTGGTTGTAGCCAATCGGAGCTCAAAGTCGTGTCACCTGGCTCTCTCAAAATGGCACGGAAAAACATTATTAATAATTTATTTTGCACAAAGTATGCATTTTCTTTCATTCATATCAAAGGTAATTGATAAACGAGTGTCACTGAACTATGAAATAAATAAATAAATTTATTGATTAAATATCGACCGAAAAAAAAAGACGTCTGGCTAGCTCTGGAATTAATGTTAAAAAAATTACAGCAAGTCTTTTTTTGTTCCAGCACTGCCTCAACGTCCTCACCAAAGAAGAGGCAGTCCCCAACTCCGACAAAGACGAAATGAAAGTGGAAGTCGAGCAAACAACGCTCCGATTCATAGATCTAGCGCGCCAAATGGAGGCTTTCTTCCTCCAGAAGCGCTTCCTCCTCTCGGCTTTGAAGCCCGAGATGATCGTGAAAGAGGACATCAACGAGTACCGACTCGAGCTGGCCCGAAAAGACGAACTCTTGAAGCGCCACTACGAGAAAATCGCGGTTTGGCAGAACTTGTTGGCCGATTTGCAGGGGTATGCGAAGAGTCCGGCTCAAGGTAGCGCGACGCCGACGTTGAACAACGGGGGGTCCGTGCCGCCGTCGCCCATGGGTTCCATGTCCGGCAGCCAGACGCCCAATCCCATGATGGTGTCCGGGATGCCCAGCGCCATGCAGCAGCAACTCCAGCAACAGCAGCTCCAGCAAATGCAGCAACAGCAACAGATGCAACAAATGCAACAGCAACAAATCCAACAGCTTCAACAACAGATGCAGGTAGACCGACGTTGATCTCATCAAGAGCATGATTGTTGTAGATATTTATTTGTAGTCTTCTGCATTTTTTTAATTTTAAGTTTTAAGCGATTTGAGTTAACTAAAGCTTCGTCTAATGTGTGTTTCCAGAGATGTATAAAGATCGATTTCTGTAGATGCAGTTATAGTACTCCTGCCCGTATTATATGTATATTTGTATACTAACTCTCAGGGTTTTTAGAAGTGGCAATACTTTATAAAGATCAAATGAATGTGATATGTACAATGTAGGATATGTTGTACGAAAAAGTAGTATACGTTGTCAACTTGCTCAAATGTGCCTTTACTAGAAATTTTGTTTACATAAATGTTCATTTACCTTCTCAAGTTTGTATAACAAAATTTATAGTTTGTTGCGAAGTATATAATGTAATTTCGATCTTCTGGTATGTAAGATTTGTAAGACTGTTTAATACAATAAATGTTTCAAAAGCATCACGTCTTTTTCTATTCCAAATTTTGCTCTAAAAATAGAGGGTTGGTATGCACATATCATGCTCAGAGCCTCCACAACCATAAATTTTCCCGCCACGTAACACGGGTTCAAATTATCGCGCCAAAAAAAATTAGAGACCTGAAGTGTACATTTCAACTTTCCCGCAGGTGCCCCCCGGGATGACCGGCGGCGGCGTGGGTCCGGGCATGGTGTCGCCGCAGCAAGCCATGTTCATGCAGCAGCAGGCCATGGGCCCCCGCGGCCCTTTTTCCCAGCAAGGCCCCGGTGGGGTTCTCCAGGGTCCTCTGGCGTACCTTGAGAAAACTACGAGTAATATAGGTACGTCCGCTTTTAAAATCTGCATAAGTATTTATGTCTGATTGCAGGCATGACGGATGGGCGAAGGTGACGCGGGCGCGGGAGGGGGCGAGGTAGAGGCAGGGGCAGAGGTAGAGGTCGTGGCCGCGGGTCTTTGCCAGATTATGTATCCCCGTAATGATCCCCCTCCCGAAGTCAGGATATGACGTCGGTGGTATCCTGACGCGGCTTGGCATTCCAGCAGGGGACGTCCTAGCGGATTTCTTTATGTGTATGTAGTTAGTGGTACACCTAGATTAGATTTTGAGCAACTTCTTCATAAGCAATGGTTAAAGACATGTAGTGTCATTTTTTCAGCCACTAAGTGGGCACTGTAAAAGTACATTAAGGCTTGGAGTTTACGTGCACCAGGTTTTTGGTGGTCAAGGGGGTCGGCGCATGCGTGTTGCGTTTGCATAAAAGTCGAAGAGAAAGCAACCGGTGAACGGCGTTTTGAGCTGTCTGACTTTACTTGACCATCAAGAAAAAAGAGCAATACACGGTATGAGTTTTTATTAGAATAATAAGGTTTTTCAAATGCCAAATGAAAGTTCCAAATCGAAAAAAGTGTACGTGGCAACGCTACAAAAATAGAACCACTGACACTATAAAGTTAGGTTAAGTTGTTTTTTCTCCGCATTTTTACTATTAGCAGCTGTGAAACCGAAACAGTCACAACGTAACCAGTAGAAAACCCAAGAATTGCATTTTTTACAACTATAAAGCCACTTTATTTGACAAAATTACCCAAACCAACGACATAAAAAATATAGACGGAACCACAAACCTATAAAACATAGAGCGTGAAAAACCGTATTATTCCAATGAACATCTCACGAATTCTACATCGTAATTTTGAGCATCTCATGCATCACCTTAAGCAATAAACAAGCTGTTTTTAAATGTAACGTTGTGTCTAATGTTCCGACACCGGTAGCAAACTTTTTTAGTTAGCTGCCGGTACTGACTGTTTACACACAACGAAAAGAGAATCATTTGAAATAGTGCCTCCAATGTTTTCGATTTGAAAATGTATAAGAACCAAATCAGAATTACTGTGGATGAGATAATCAAAATTTACTCGCTGCACTGATATTTATCAACAGGGCATTCGATATTTTCGTTTCGTAATTTAATATTGATAGTTATTGATAACTTGCAAAGAGCGATAGAGCGCCATCTTTAACCGGTCGGTCTATATATTTGCTGAGTCGGTGTGACTCGAAGGAATTGAAAGAATAAAATTGATATTTACTTGTCGCTAATCTGTTGAATTTCAATGGAGTTAAGTGTTGCACTGCGCTTGTTGCTTTTGCACGTTTTCAGTAATTTAAAGTAATTTTAAGAGCAAAGTAAAAATAAAATTACCATGTTGACCAAAGACGGAGCTATTGTGTTGCAATTGGTTTAAGTTTTTGAATGGAAAATCCCGCGTAACTATGGCGTTTTCCATCGTCACACCTTAGTGTAATAATACAAGATATCTAGTCTTTGAGCTACGAAATTGCACCTTCCTATGCGTATTTCGATGTCTGTGATGATCCGTTTCTAACCTCACTAGCAATATGTATTTTTAATCGTCGGTTTGTACTTAATCGGTCTAAGTAAGTGCAATAACTTTTTGGTCTACATGGAATTAACCAACTGCTAACTTATAACCAAGCAACCAACACACCTAGCGAATTTTGAAGCAAACTTGAGAAGAGTTGTGTATCATTTTCTTTTTCGTAATGTGCTATCTTGAGTTGTTTAATATGTAACGTTACCGAATTTCAAAATTGTGATATAAATTATTAATAATAAAACAAATTATACTCAAATACTTGTATTGTTATATTACTTTGTAGATTGAGCTTCTATAAAATCGATCAAGGTCCTGGTGGGTCTTCCAGACATTCCTTTCCCCAAATAGGTGAAGTACTCGTCTTGACCCATAACCCCGGCCATATCAATGTGCACCCAGTCCGTCTTCTCTGGAATAAACTCCTTCAAAAACGCCGCCGCCGTACACGACCCACCTCTTCCCTTCCCTTTCCCCAGATTGTTAACATCATAGGCCGTATTCTCCGCCACCATCTTCGTATAGTACTTCCACAGCGGCATCCTCCACATCCTGTCTCCAGTCCTCGACCCCGCCTCTTCCAACCCCTCATACAACGCATTCGAATTACTAAAAACCCCGCACGCCGCCCCACCCAACGCCACCCTGATCGCGCCCGTCAAAGTCGCTATATCCAGAACCCACCTCGGCTTAAAAACCCCACTGTACGACAACGCATCTGCCAAAATCAACCTTCCTTCCGCATCCGTGTTGTCCACACAGACCGTCTTCCCGCTCCTCGTCGTAATCACATCCCCCGGCTTGATGGCGCCCCCTGAAGGCATGTTCTCCACCAGCGGCACCAACACCTTCACGTGCGTCGCCACCCCCAAGCGCGCCAAGCCGTACACCGCCGCCACCACGCTGGCGGCGCCCCCCATGTCGCCCCTCATCTCGTCCATGCCAGCAGACGGCTTGATGCTGATGCCCCCCGAGTCGAAAGTCACCCCCTTCCCTACCAAAACGAAGGGGTCGGAGTCGCTCTTCTTGTACGATAGTTCGAGGAAGCGTAAAGGCTCGTTCGAGCCCTGCGCTACTGCCAGAACGCCGCCCATTTTCTCTCGCTCCGCCCACTGCTTGTCGCGGATTTGCACGGAGATGTCGAGGGGCGTGGCGAGTTGGAGGACGGTTTCGGCGAAGATGGTGGGCGTCATTAGGTTGGAGGGCGTGTCTTTAAGTTTGCGGGCGAGGTTTTGAGCGGAGGCTGTGATAGTGCCGCGCTCCCATTGGGTGGGTTCTTCGGGGGCTGAAGTGAAGAGGGAGACTTGAGGGAGGGCGGATTTTTTGGTTTTGTATTCTTGGAATTTGTAGGTGCTGAGGGTGCTGCCTTCAGCGGAGGCGGCGGCGTCGCCGAAGCTTTCGACGTGGATGGTTTTGATGTCGGAGGCGGAGAGAACTCGGCAACCGGCTGGAAGAGAGATTATTTATGTCAAATTTTTGGATTTTTTTTAGTAAGAGTTTAAAGCGGTCAAAGCTGGTAAGTATACGAGAAATTGACTGAGTACACCAATTAGGGCCGAGTTATCCATAAATGTTGGACGTCGAGTACAATTCTCGTCTTGTAAGTACTTTGTTCTTTTAAAACAACTAAAACTTTATATAAAAAAAATCTAAAAATCGAAAAACTGAAAAATTCGCTTACGGTCGGGAAGTATAAATCGAAGAATTGAAAAATTCCCAAAATTGAAATGTTGAAAAATTGGGAAATCGACAAATCTCAGAATCAAAAAATCGAACAATTTTAAAAATTCAAAAACTACAGTAGCGGTCATTTCTACGGAACCACTCGATAAAAAGTCAAGTTGGTAGCCCTGTCACCTAGTACTTTACGCCGAACGCGGTTGGTAGCGGTAGTTGACATGGCAATCGAAACTAGCACAACACGAATGTTTCGGTTGCCCTCAGCTATGCCGCACTGTATCCCGTGCAGACTGTATTCTGTTCACCTATTTATTAAAATAAAATATCTACATTGACAATGGGGCCATCTAACCTGTCAAATTTTTGGCACATATGTTTTCCCCCAGAAACCCGTCAAGGTCACTTACACCAAACAAATTTTGAAAATTTACACTAGGGAGTGGTTCTATAGAAAAGATCGCGACTTTATAAAAAAAATCAAAAAATTGAAAAAACTGAAAATTCGAAAATTTAAAAATAGAAATATCGAAAAACTGAGAAATGAAAAAGTGGAAAAATTGAAGAATTGAAAACTGAAAAATCGAGAAATCGGAAAACAAAAAATAGATTAATCAGAAATTGAGAAATCGAAAAATTCCAACACTGAAATATCGAAAAATTTAGAAATCGAAAATTGAAGAATTAAAAAAATTGAAAAACCTAGATGTCAATAGAATCAACATCAAAAAATCGAGGAATCGAAAAACAAATTTTAAAAAAATTGAAGAATTAAAATATCAAAAAAATTAAAAATCGAGAAATCGAAACATTTAAAAAGTCGAAAAATTGAAAATCTAAAATTTAAAAATCGAAAACATCGAAAAATTCCAGAATTGAAAAACTGCCAAATCCAGAAATTGAAAAATTGGAACATCGATAAATTAAGAATTCGAAATTCCCCAAAATCGAAAAATCCAAAAATTTTACATTGAAAAATTTAAAAATTAAAAAAAAAACGAAAAAGATTTAATGCTCTATGATAAAATTTTTATTTTCTATAATTTTTAAGATTCGTTTTATCTTTTTTTGTATTTTTGAAAAAATGAAACATCGAAATCTCGAGCAATCGAAAAATTGAAAAATCAAAAAATTTAAAAACTGAAAAATGGAAAATTCGAGAAACCAAAAATTTTTCAAATCGAAAAATTAAAACCGACAAAGTCGAAAATTTGAAGCATCAAAAAAACTAAAAAATCTAAATTTTAAAAATTGAAAAACAGAAATATCGAAAAATTGGAAAATCAAAATATTTTCAATTTTAAAAATTGAAAAATAAAAATTTGGAAAGATTGAAAAATCAAAAAATGGAAAAATTGAATAATCGAGACGTCCAAAAGTGGGAAAATTAAAAAATTTAAAAATTGGAAAATCGAAAAATTGGAAAATCAAAACCTGAAAAATCAAAAAATTGTAAACTGAAAGAAAAATCGTGACGTCGAAAAGTCGGAAAATTAAAAAATTAAAACTTGGAAAAGCGTAAAACTGAAGTATCGGAAAATTGAGAAATCGAAAAATGAAAAGAAAATGGATAAATCGAAAATTTTAAGAATAAAAAAATTAAGAACGAAAAACCTGGAAAGTTCCAGAACTGAAATATTGAAAAATTGACAAATCGGAAGTTGAAAAATTTTGAAAATTGAAAAACCAAGACATCAAGAAATTGAATAAAAAAATAGAAAAACTGAAAAATCAAAAATTTAAACATTCGAAAAATTTTAAAATATGTAAAAATATCGAAAAATTGAAAAATCAAAAAATTTAAAAACTGAAAAATGGAAAATTCGAGAAACCAAAAATTTTTCAAATCGAAAACTTAAAACCGACAAAGTCGAAAATTTGAAGCATCAAAAAAACTAAAAAATCTAAATTTTAAAAACTGAAAAACAGAAATATCGAAAAATTGAGAAATCAAAATATTTTAAATTTTAAAAATTGAAAAATAAAAATTTGGAAAAATTGAAAAATCAAAAAATGGAAAAATTGAATAATCGAGACGTCCAAAAGTGGGAAAATTAAAAAATTAAAAAATTGGAAAACCTGAAACGTCGAAAAATGGCAAAATTAAGAAATTGGAAAATCGAAAAATTGGAAAATCAAAACCTGTAAAATCAAAAAATTGTAAACTGAAAAATCGTGACGTCGAAAAGTCGGAAAATTAAAAAATTAAAACTTGGAAAAACGTAAAACTGAAGTATCGGAAAATTGAGAAATCGAAAAATGAAAAGAAAATGGATAAATCGAAAATTTTAAGAATAAAAAAATTAAAAACGATAAGCCTGGAAAGTTCCAGAACTGAAATATTGAAAAAGTGACCAATCGGAAGTTAAAAAATTTTGAAAATTGAAAAACCAAGACATCAAGAAATTGAATAAAAAAATAGAAAAACTGAAAAATCAAAAATTTAAACATTCGAAAAATTTTAAAATCAAAATCAAAAATCGTAAAACTAAAACATCGAAAAATGAAGAAATCGAAAATTTGAAGAATCGAAAAGCTGAAAAATCCCAACACTGAAATATCGAAAAACTGAAGAACAAGAAATTGAAAATCAAAAAATTGAAAAATCGAAAAACTGAGGAATAAAAAACCTGGAAAATTCCAAAACTGAAATATCGAAAAAATAAAAAATCGAAAGTTGAAAAATCTTTAAAATCGAAAAACCGAGACATCAAGAAATCGAATAAAAAAATAGAAAAACTGAATAATAAAAATTTAAACATTCGAAAAATTTTAAAATACGCAGAAATATAGAAGAACAAAAAATCGAAAAATCGAAAATTTAAAAATCGAAAAATTGAAATATTAAGAAATCGAACAATCGAAAAATTGAAATATCGGAACATCCAGAAATTGAGAAATTAAAATATCGAAAAGTTGAAGAAAAATCCTCAAAACTGAAATTTTGAAAAATTGAGATGTCGAAAACTTGAAAAATCGAGAAATCGAAAAGTCGAAAAATTAAAAAATCGAAAAACCTACATGTCAATCGAATCAAAAAACGAATTTAAAAAAATTAAAAATTAAATATCAAAAAATTGAAGAATCGAGAAATCGAAACATCAAAAAGTCGAAAAATTCCAGAAAATCAAGAAACTGCAAAATTCCAAAACTGAAATGACGTAAAACTGGAACATCGGAAAAAAGAAAAGTCGAAAAGAGAATTCGAAATTGCCCAACTTCGAAAAATCCAAAAGCTAAACATTGAAAAATTTAAAACAAAAAAAAAATCGGGACATCGAGAAATTGAACAATTGAAAGGTTTAATGTTTTATGATAAAATTGTTATGATTCCTTCATCTTTTTTTTTTAATTTTTGATTAAAAAATTCTCGAGAAATCGAAAAACTAAAAAATAAAAAAAAATTTAAATCCAGAAATCAAAAATTTTTAAAATCCAAAAATCTAAAACTGAGAAGTCGGGAAATCAAAAAATCCAAACATCAAAAAATTGAAAAATCTAAAATTTAAAAAATTGAAAAATAGAAATTGCCAAGAACTGAGAAATCGAAAAATCTAAAATTTTAAGAATTGAAAAATTAGAATATCGAAAAATTGAGAAATCAAGAAATCGAAACATTAAAAAATCGAATAATCAAAAATTTAAAAATCGAAAACTGAAGAATCGAAATATTGAAAAATCCTAAACTGAAAAGTCCAAAAACTGAAAAAAGAGAAATCGGAAAATTGAAAAATTTAAAAATTGGAAAAACGTATAAGTAACCGAAAAATCGAAAAATGAAAAAAAGAGAAATTGAAAATTTGAAGAAGCCAAAAATTGAGCATTCGAAAAACTGAAGTCAAGAAATTGACAAATCAACAAGTTGAAGAATAAAAACCTTGGAAAATTCCAAAAATTGACATATCGGAAGTTGAAAAATCAAGAAATCGAAAATTGAGAAATAAAAAAATTATTATATGGATGTACCATTTTTTTCAAAAAAAAATCAGGACAATGTTACTTTTTTACATTTATTATAATTTTGATTAACGGTTTACCATTTCAATTTAATTCATAGTTAAATTGCAAAATGTTGTTATACAATTTTGATTTTTTTTTCAAAAATCTAGATGTCTATGGTAAAAACTCGACACGGATTCATAAACAATAAATCGAGATTTTACGATTGTAAAATTTAGAGATGACGTCATTCCATTGTTGATGGGGACGAACAGACAAACTTTGGTTAGCGTTTTACCATTTATATGACATTCCTAACAAACACAAAATCTGGCAACAATCGGTCCGGTAGTTTCGGAGATTATCCGCCAATAAAACTGCGGATGGACGGCAGACAGACAGACGGAAAGGAAGACCTATTTTTTCGTACTCTAGGGGTCATAAAACGTCGAGAAACATGAAAATAGCCGATAAATTCGATTATAAGATGCTTCTATGTAATTAAAATTATGTAAGGTGATTATCGGTACTAAAAAAATACTTTGTCAGCTCCTTTACTATTTTCATCCGAACTGAAAAACTAAATCCCCTAACACTAGATCTTTTGATCATCTTTCTACTAAACATATTAATTCAGTTTAGTTAGACAATTTTTGACTTTCCTGAAATGCATTTGATTGGAACCTCGAGGCTACTCAGGACGCGTTGTACGCTTAGCTCGGGTTAGACAACCTGACGCGCATCAAGCAATTTTTACAAGCGCCGGGAAAGTTAGGTTAGGATATCATTTTCAACTTTGTTAGTGATTTTTATTACCATACCTGCAGCGGCTATTCGAGCGGTTTCTTTTTCTTCGCATATCAACTCTAAATCGTCCCTTTGTTTCGACTTTTTTCCTAACCCTACGACTACAACAGATTGAAAGTCCTCGCACAGTCCCCAAAATTGGAAAGTCTTGCCTTCCTTAACCTTATTTCCCGTTCTATAAAACAAAAAAACGGGGCGAATGAGTGAAAATCTGGGCAATGGGAAACTTTATTGCTATTATAATACAACTACTTACAACAATAAAAACATTTACTTAAATAACGGATCACAAATGAATGTAACAGCGTTTTTAGAGAGAAAGACTATAGTATTGTGAAATCTAAGTCATGATCACAATAAACATTGACTCTTTCCGACGACACATACAACAGTGCAATGTATTACAGTAACCGCAACGGAAATCAACGAAGAATCACATTCTGTTCAAAAAATATAAAAGGGTATATTTTTTCTAGGCAGTAATTTGCCGGTTTTTATATATCTCTATGCACATATATACACAAAATATTCCAAACTTATATCGTCTCGCTTTGAAGCTCGAAAAAATTCTACAAAAAATATATGGGTGTATACTTCTCAAATTCAACATTCGAAGTAAACAAGAACAACACTTACTACGTCACCGAACGAAAACTCTAAAGGAATCCATTAACCGATCTGCCTACGGACCGACACTACATGATAACATGGTTACAACACAAGATTGGCACATATATTGCTATAAATACTTACGCTAATCATGAGCAATATTTACTTTTTCCACTTGTGAAGTCTTGTGTACATCGAACTACAACTTTTCACACGAATTATTCTATTCTAATTGTGCGTTTTAATTTTAAAATTTGGCACAATCGGGTCGTCACTTTGGGAATGATAGAACATGGCTACGAAACGGAAACTCTAACTCAAACAAACACCAGGAAACACCGGGAGTCGGATCACGGTACATCGAACAGAAAACACTACAGCAAACGACGAAAAATCACACCGACACACCTGGATCTCGTTTTTAGAATATCGGTTGCTCAAGGTCGAGTCTGACCTGACCTGAGGCTAGTTGGAAATGCAGCTGGGAACACCAATTACGATCAAAAAGGGACGTTTTTTGTCATTTGCCATATTCTGACAGTGTTGCGCCACGTACTGGTGGCGAACGAGTGGGTACACGTACTCAAATTGGAACTACTAGCACAGCCGAACGTGCATTTTGGGTATGTAACGTTAGCGAATTTCAAAATTGTGATATAAATTATTAATAATAAAACAAATTATACTCAAATATTTATATTGTTATATTACTTTGTAGATTGAGCTTCTATAAAATCGATCAAGGTCCTAGTGGGTCTTCCAGACATCCCTTTCCCCAAATAGGTGAAGTACTCGTCTTGACCCATAACCCCGGCCATATCAATATGCAGCCAGTCGGTCTTCTCGGGAATAAACTCCTTCAAAAACGCCGCCGCCGTACACGACCCACCTCTTCCCTTCCCTTTCCCCAGATTGTTAACATCGTAGGCCGTATTCTCCGCCACCATCTTCGTATAGTACTTCCACAGCGGCATCCTCCACATCCTGTCCCCAGTCCTCGACCCCGCTTCTTCCAACCCCTCGTACAACGCATTCGAATTACTAAAAACCCCGCACGCCGCCCCACCCAACGCCACCCTGATCGCGCCCGTCAAAGTCGCTATATCCAGAACCCACCTCGGCTTAAAAACCCCACTGTACGACAACGCATCCGCCAAAATCAACCTTCCTTCCGCATCCGTGTTGTCCACACACACCGTCTTCCCGCTCCTCGTCGTAATCACATCCCCCGGCTTGATGGCGCCCCCTGAAGGCATGTTCTCCACCAGCGGCACCAACACCTTCACGTGCGTCGCCACCCCCAAGCGCGCCAAGCCGTACACCGCCGCCACCACGCTAGCGGCGCCCCCCATGTCGCCCCTCATCTCGTCCATTCCGGCAGACGGCTTGATGCTGATGCCCCCCGAGTCGAAAGTCACCCCCTTCCCCACTAAAACGAAGGGGTCGGAGTCGCTCTTCTTGTACGACAGTTCGAGGAAACGCAAAGGCTCGTTGGAGCCCTGCGCTACTGCCAGAACGCCGCCCATTTTCTCGCGCTCCGCCCACTGCTTGTCGCGGATTTGCACGGAGATGTCGAGGGGCGTGGCGAGCTGGAGGACGGTTTCGGCGAAGATGGTGGGCGTCATTAGGTTGGAGGGCGTGTCTTTGAGTTTGCGGGCGAGGTTTTGGGCGGAGGCTGTGATGGTGCCGCGCTCCCATTGGGTGGGTTCTTCGGGGGTTGAAGTGAAGAGGGAGACTTGAGGGAGGGGGGATTTTTTTGGTTTTGTATTCTTGGAATTTGTAGGTGCTGAGGGCGCTGCCTTCAGCGGAGGCGGCGGCGTCGCCGAAGCTTTCGACGTGGATGGTTTTGATGTCGGAGGCGGAGAGAACTCTGCAACCGGCTGGAAGAGAGATTATTTATGTCAAATTTTTGTTTGTTTTTTTTTAGTGGGAGTTTAAAGCGGTCAAAGCTGGTAAGTATACGAGAAATTGACGGTGAGTAGACCAATTAGGGCCGAGTTGTCCATAAATGTTGGACATCGAGTACAATTCTCGTCTTGTAAGAACAAAGTATTCTTTTAAAACAATGATTAAAGTTTCATAAAAAAATAGAAAAATCGAAAAACTGAAAAATCAAAAAAAAAATGGAAAAGCAAAAATCGAAAGATCGAGCAATCGAAATATTAAAAAAATCGAAGAATTGAAAAATTCCCACAATTGAAATGTTGAAAAATTGAGAAATCGATAAATCTCAGGATCAAAAAGTCGAACAATTTTAAAAGTTCAAAAACTGAGATATCAAAAAATTAAATAAAAAAATCTAAAAATTGAAAATCAACTGAAAATTCGAAAATTAAAAAAATAAAAATATCCAAAAACTGAGAAATCAAAAAGTGGAAAAACTGAAGAATTGAAAACTGAAAAATCGAGAAATCGGAAAACAAAAAATGGATTAATCAGAAATTACGAAATCGAAAAATCAAAAATTGAAAAATCGTAAAACTGAAACATCAAAAATAAAAAATCCCAGCACTGAAATATCGAAAAATTGAGTATTCGAAAAACTGAATATCAAGAAATTGAGAATCATAAATTGAGAAATCGAAAAACTGAAGATAAAAACCTGGAAAACTCCAAAATGAAATATCGAAAAATTGAGAAATCGAAAATTGAAAAATGTAAAAAATTGAAAACCGAGACACCGAGAAATCGAATAAAAAAAATAGAAAAACTGAAAAATGGAAATATTGAGAAATCGTACAATGGAAAAATTAAAATACTTATCGAAACATCCGGAAGTTGAGAAAACAAAAAACTTTAATAATTGAAAAACTTAAAATTCGAAAGTTGAAAAATTGAAGAAAAATTCCCAAAACTGAAAATTTGAAAAATCGAGAAATCTAAAAATCGAAAAGTCGAAAAATTTTAAAAACCGAAAAATGAAAAATTTTAAGATAACATCAAAACATTTAAAAAGTTGAAAAATTGAAAATCTAAAATTTAAAAATTGAAAAATCCGAGATTTAAAACATCGAAAAATTCCAGAACTGAACAACTGCCAGATGGACAAATTGAAAAATGGAACTTCGAAAAATCGAGAAGCGGAAAAATCGAATCATCGAGAAATCGAAAAACTGAAAAATTGAAAATTCGAGAAATCAAAAATTTTTTAAATCGAAAAATTAAAATCGAGAAGTCGAAAATTTGAAACACCAAAAAACTGAAAAATCTAAAATTTAAAAATCGAAAAATTGAGAAATCGAATAATTTTAAATTTTAAAAACTGAAAAATAAAAATTTGGAAAAATTGAAAAATCAAAAAATGGAAAAATTGAAAAACCTGAAACGTCGAAAAATTGCAAAATCAAGAAACCTGAAAAATCAAAAAATTGAAAAGCGAAAAATCGAGACGTCGAAAAGTCGGAAAATTAAAAAACTGGAAAAACGTAAAACTGAAGCATCGGAAAATTGAGAAATCGAAAAATGAAAAATTTTAAGATTACATCAAAAAATCGAGAAATCGAAACATTTAAGAAGTTGAAAAATTGAAAATCTAAAATTTAAAAATCGAAAAATCCAAGATTCAAAACATTGAAAAATTCCAGAGCTGAAAAACTGCCAAATCGAAAACTTGAAAAATTGGAACTTCGAAAAATCGAAAAGCGGTATCGAAAAATCGAGAAAATGAACAATCGGAAGGTTCTATGACAATTTTTTTTTTATTTGTAAGATTCCTAAATTCTTTTTTTGTATTTTTGATTGAAAAATTGAAACATCGAAATCTGGAGCAATCGAAAAACTGAAAAATCAAAAAATTAAAAATTTTTCAAACCGAAAAATTAAAACCGAGAAGTCGAAAATTTGAAACATCAAAAAACTGAAAAATCTAAAATTGAAAAATTGAAATATCGAAAAATTGAGAAATCGAAAAATTTTAAATTTTAAAAACTGAAAAATAAAAATTTGGAAAAATTGAAAACTCAAAAAATGGAAAAATTAAAAAATCGGGACGTCGAAAAGTCGGAAAATTAAAATATTTAAAAATTGGAAAACCTGGAACGTCGAAAAATTGCAAAATCAAGAAATCGGAAAATCGAAAAATTGGGAAATCAAAATCTGAAAAATCAAAAAATTGGAAAGTGAAAAATCGTCGAAAAGTCGGAAAATTAAAAAGTTGGAAAAACGTAAAACTGAAGCATCGGAAAATTGAGAAATCGAAAAATGAAAAGAAAATCGAGAAATCGAGAAATTTAAGAATCAAAAAATTAAGAACGAAAAGCCTGGAAAGTTCCAAAACTGAAATATCGAAAAATTGACAAATCGGAACTTGAGAAAATTTAAAAATCGAAAAACCGAAACATCAAGAAATCGAATAAAAAAATAGAAAAACTGAAAAATCAAAAATTTAAACATTCGAAAAATTTTAAAATATGTGAAAATATCGAAGAAGTGAAAAATCGAAAAATCTAAAATTTAAAAAATGGAAAAAATTTTTGATATCGAAAAACTGAAAAATTCAAAAATCGTAAAACTAAAACATCGAAAAATGAAGAAATCGAAAATTTGAAGAATCGAAAAATTGAAAAATCCCAACACTGAAATATCGAAAAACTGAAGAACAAGAAATTGAAAATCAAAAAATTGAAAAATCGAAAAACTGAGGAATAAAAAACCTGGAAAATTCCAAAACTGAAATATCGAAAAAATGAGAAACCGAAAGTTGAAAACTCTTAAAAAAAAACGAGACACATTCGAAAAATTTTAAAATACGCAGAAATATCGAAGAACAAAAAATCGAAAAATCGAAAAACCGAAATATTGAGAAATCGAACAATCGAAAAATTTAAATATCGAAACATCCAGAAATTGAGAAATCAAAAACTTTAAAAAACGAAAAGTTTTTGAAACATCGAAACATCAAAAAATCGAAAAATTAAAATATCGAAAAGTTGAAGAAAAATCCTCAAAACTGAAATTTTGAAAAATTGAGATGTCGAAAACTTGAAAAATCGAAATCGAAAAGTCGAATTAAAAAATCGAAAAACCTACATTTCAATCGAATCAAAAAACTGTAAAATCGTAAGATTTTAAAATAGAAATATCAAAAAATGGAGGAATCGAAAAACGAATTAAAAAAAATTAAAAATTAAATATAAAAAAATTGAAGAATCGAGAAATCGAAACATCAAAAAGTCGAAAAATTGAAAATGTAAAATTTAAAAATTCAAAAATCGAAAAATTCCAGAAAATCAAGAAACTGCAAAATTCCAAAACTGAAATGACGTAAAACTGGAACATCGGAAAAAGAAAAACCGAAAAATCGAATCATAGAGAAATCGAAAATCGAAAAATGGAGAATTCGAAATTGCCCAACTTCGAAAAAGCCAAAAGCTAAACATTGAAAAATTGAAGAATTTAAAACAAAAAAAATCGGTACATCGAGAAATTGAACAATCGAAAGGTTTAATGTTTTATGATAAAATTTTTATGATTCCTTCATCTTCTTTCTTAATTTTTGATTAAAAAATTCAAGAGAAATCGAAAAACTAAAAAATAAAAAAATTTAAAATCGAGAAATCAAAAATTTTTAAAATCCAAAAACCTAAAACTGAGAAGTCGGGAAATCAAAAAATCCAAACATCAAAAAATTGAAAAATCTAAAATTTAAAAATTTGAAAAATAGAAATTGCTAAGAACTGGAAAATCGAAAAATTTAAAATTTTAGGAATTGAAAAATTAGAATATCGAAAAATTGAGAAATCAAGAAATCGAAACATCAAAAATTTAAAAATCGAAAACTGAAGAATCGAAATATTGAAAAATCCTAAACTGAAAAGTCCAAAAACTGAAAAAAGAGAAATCGGAAAACTAAAAAGTCGATTAATTGAGAAATCGAAAAATCAAAAATTGTAAAACTGAAAAATTTAAAAATTGGAAAAACGTATAAGTAACTGAAACATCGGAAAATTGAGAAATCAAAAATGAAAAAAAAAAAGAAATTGAAAATTTGAAGAATCGAGAAATTGAATCGAAAAATTGAGCATTCGAAAAACTGAAGTCAAGAAATCGAAAAATCAACAAGTTGAAGAATAAAAACCTTGGAAAATTCCAAAAATTGACATATCGGAAGTTGAAAAATCAAGAAATCGAAAATTGAGAAATAAAAAAAATATTATATGGATGTACCATTTTTTTTCCAAAAAAAAATCAGGACAATGTTACTTTTTAACATTTATTATAATTTTGATTAACGGTTTACCATTTCAATTCAATTCATAGTTAAATTGCAAAATGTTGTTATACAATTTTGATTTTTTTTACAAAAATCTAGATGCCTACGGTAAAAACTCGACACGGATTCATAAACAATAAATCGAGAAGTATGTGATTTTATAAAATTTAAATAACATTTACGATTGTAAAATTTGGAGATGTCATTCCATTGTTGGTGGGGACGAACAAATTTTGGTTGGCGTTTTACCATCTATATGACATTCCTAACACACATACAAAATCTGACAACAATCGGTCCGGTAGTTTCGGAGATTATCCGCTAATAAAACTGCGAACAGACGGCAGGCAGACAGACGGAAAGGAAGACCTATTTTTTCGTACTCTAGGGGTCATAAAACGTCGAGAAACATGAAAATAGCCGATAAATTCGATGCTTCTATGTAATTAAAATTACGTAAGGGGATTATCGGTACTAAAAAAATACTTCGTCAGTTCCTTTACTATTTTCATCCGAACTGAAAAACTAAATCCCCTAGCACTAGATCTTTTGATCATCTTTCTACTAAACATATTAATTTAGTTTACTTAGACAATTTTTTACTTTCTTGAAATGCATTTGATTGAAATCTCGAGGCTATTCAGGACGCCTTGCACGCTTAGCCTGGGTCGACAACTTGACGCGCATCAAGCAATTTTTACAAGCGCCGAGAAAGTTAGGTTAGGATATCGTTTTCAACTTTGTTAGTGATTTTTATTACCATACCTGCAGCGGCTATTCGAGCGGTTTCTTTTTCTTCGCATATCAACTCTAAATCGTCCCTTTGTTTCGACTTTTTTCCTAACCCTACGACTACAACAGATTGAAAGTCCTCGCACAGTCCCCAAAATTGGAAAGTCTTGCCTTCCTTAACCTTATTTCCCGTTCTATAAAACAAAAAAACGGGGCGAATGAGTGAAAATCTGGGCAATGGGAAACTTTATTGCTATTATAATACAACTACTTACAACAATAAAAACATTTACTTAAATAACGGATCACAAATGAATGTAACAGCGTTTTTAGAGAGAAAGACTATAGTATTGTGAAATCTAAGTCATGATCACAATAAACATTGACTCTTTCCGACGACACATACAACAGTGCAATGTATTACAGTAACCGCAACGGAAATCAACGAAGAATCACATTCTGTTCAAAAAATATAAAAGGGTATATTTTTTCTAGGCAGTAATTTGCCGGTTTTTATATATTCTCTATGCACATATATACACAAAATATTCCAAACTTATATCGTCTCGCTTTGAAGCTCGAAAAAATTCTACAAAAAATATATGGGTGTATACTTCTCAAATTCAACATTCGAAGTAAACAAGAACAACACTTACTACGTCACCGAACGAAAACTCTAAAGGAATCCATTAACCGATCTGCCTACGGACCGACACTACATGATAACATGGTTACAACACAAGATTGGCACATATATTGCTATAAATACTTACGCTAATCATGAGCAATATTTACTTTTTCCACTTGTGAAGTCTTGTGTACATCGAACTACAACTTTTCACACGAATTATTCTATTCTAATTGTGTGTTTTAATCTTAAAATTTGGCACAATCGGGTCGTCACTTTGGGAATGATAGAAGAACATCGCTACGAAACGGAAACTCTAACTCAAACAAACACCAGGAAACACCGGGAGTCGGATCACGGTACATCGAACAGAAAACACTACAGCAAACGACGAAAAATCACACCGACACACCTGGATCTCGTTTTTAGAATATCGGTTGCTCAAGGTAGAGTCTGACCTGACCTGAGGCTAGTTGGAAATGCGGCTGGGAACACCAATTACGATCAAAAAGGGACGTTTTTTGTCATTTGCCATATTCTGACTGTGTTGCGCCACGTACTGGTGGCGAACGAGTGGATACACGTACTCAAAATGGAACTACTAGCACAGCCGACCGTGCATTTTGGGTATGTAACGTTACCGAATTTCAAAATTGTGATATAAATTATTAATAATAAAACAAATTATACTCAAATATTTATATTGTTATATTACTTTGTAGATTGAGCTTCTATAAAATCGATCAAGGTCCTGGTGGGTCTTCCAGACATTCCTTTCCCCAAATAGGTGAAGTACTCGTCTTGACCCATAACCCCGGCCATATCAATATGCAGCCAGTCGGTCTTCTCGGGAATAAACTCCTTCAAAAACGCCGCCGCCGTACACGACCCACCTCTTCCCTTCCCTTTCCCCAGATTGTTAACATCATAGGCCGTATTCTCCGCCACCATCTTCGTATAGTACTTCCACAGCGGCATCCTCCACATCCTGTCTCCAGTCCTCGACCCCGCCTCTTCCAACCCCTCGTACAACGCATTCGAATTACTAAAAACCCCGCACGCCGCCCCACCCAAGGCCACCCTGATCGCGCCCGTCAAAGTCGCTATATCCAGAACCCACCTCGGCTTAAAAACCCCACTGTACGACAACGCATCCGCCAAAATCAACCTTCCTTCCGCATCCGTGTTGTCCACACACACCGTCTTCCCGCTCCTCGTCGTAATCACATCCCCCGGCTTGATGGCGCCCCCTGAAGGCATGTTCTCCACCAGCGGCACCAACACCTTCACGTGCGTCGCCACCCCCAAGCGCGCCAAGCCGTACACCGCCGCCACCACGCTAGCGGCGCCCCCCATGTCGCCCCTCATCTCGTCCATTCCGGCAGACGGCTTGATGCTGATGCCCCCCGAGTCGAAAGTCACCCCCTTCCCCACTAAAACGAAGGGGTCGGAGTCGCTCTTCTTGTACGACAGTTCGAGGAAACGCAAAGGCTCGTTGGAGCCCTGCGCTACTGCCAGAACGCCGCCCATTTTCTCGCGCTCCGCCCACTGCTTGTCGCGGATTTGCACGGAGATGTCGAGGGGCGTGGCGAGCTGGAGGACGGTTTCGGCGAAGATGGTGGGCGTCATTAGGTTGGAGGGCGTGTCTTTGAGTTTGCGGGCGAGGTTTTGGGCGGAGGCTGTGATGGTGCCGCGCTCCCATTGGGTGGGTTCTTCGGGGGTTGAAGTGAAGAGGGAGACGTGGGGGAGGGGGGATTTTTTGGTTTTGTATTCTTGGAATTTGTAGGTGCTGAGAGTGCTGCCTTCAGCGGAGGCGGCGGCGTCGCCGAAGCTTTCGACGTGGATGGTTTTGATGTCGGAGGCGGAGAGAACTCTGCAACCGGCTGGAAGAGAGATTATTTATGTCAAATTTTTGTTTGTTTTTTTTTAGTGGGAGTTTAAAGCGGTCAAAGCTGGTAAGTATACGAGAAATTGACGGTGAGTAGACCAATTAGGGCCGAGTTGTCCATAAATGTTGGACATCGAGTACAATTCTCGTCTTGTAAGAACAAAGTATTCTTTTAAAACAATGATTAAAGTTTCATAAAAAAATAGAAAAATCGAAAAACTGAAAAATCAAAAAAAAAATGGAAAAGCAAAAATCGAAAGATCGAGCAATCGAAATATTAAAAAAATCGAAGAATTGAAAAATTCCCACAATTGAAATGTTGAAAAATTGAGAAATCGATAAATCTCAGGATCAAAAAGTCGAACAATTTTAAAAGTTCAAAAACTGAGATATCAAAAAATTAAATAAAAAAATCGAAAAATTGAAAATCAACTGAAAATTCGAAAATTAAAAAAATAAAAATATCCAAAAACTGAGAAATCAAAAAGTGGAAAAACTGAAGAATTGAAAACTGAAAAATCGAGAAATCGGAAAACAAAAAATGGATTAATCAGAAATTACGAAATCGAAAAATCAAAAATTGAAAAATCGTAAAACTGAAACATCAAAAATAAAAAATCCCAGCACTGAAATATCGAAAAATTGAGTATTCGAAAAACTGAATATCAAGAAATTGAGAATCATAAATTGAGAAATCGAAAAACTGAAGAAAAAAACCTGGAAAACTCCAAAATGAAATATCGAAAAATTGAGAAATCGAAAATTGAAAAATGTAAAAAATTGAAAACCGAGACACCGAGAAATCGAATAAAAAAAATAGAAAAACTGAAAAATGGAAATATTGAGAAATCGTACAATGGAAAAATTAAAATACTTATCGAAACATCCGGAAGTTGAGAAAACAAAAAACTTTAATAATTGAAAAACTTAAAATTCGAAAGTTGAAAAATTGAAGAAAAATTCCCAAAACTGAAAATTTGAAAAATCGAGAAATCTAAAAATCGAAAAGTCGAAAAATTTTAAAAACCGAAAAATGAAAAATTTTAAGATAACATCAAAACATTTAAAAAGTTGAAAAATTGAAAATCTAAAATTTAAAAATTGAAAAATCCGAGATTTAAAACATCGAAAAATTCCAGAACTGAACAACTGCCAGATGGACAAATTGAAAAATGGAACTTCGAAAAATCGAGAAGCGGAAAAATCGAATCATCGAGAAATCGAAAAACTGAAAAATTGAAAATTCGAGAAATCAAAAATTTTTTAAATCGAAAAATTAAAATCGAGAAGTCGAAAATTTGAAACACCAAAAAACTGAAAAATCTAAAATTTAAAAATCGAAAAATTGAGAAATCGAATAATTTTAAATTTTAAAAACTGAAAAATAAAAATTTGGAAAAATTGAAAAATCAAAAAATGGAAAAATTGAAAAACCTGAAACGTCGAAAAATTGCAAAATCAAGAAACCTGAAAAATCAAAAAATTGAAAAGCGAAAAATCGAGACGTCGAAAAGTCGGAAAATTAAAAAACTGGAAAAACGTAAAACTGAAGCATCGGAAAATTGAGAAATCGAAAAATGAAAAATTTTAAGATTACATCAAAAAATCGAGAAATCGAAACATTTAAGAAGTTGAAAAATTGAAAATCTAAAATTTAAAAATCGAAAAATCCAAGATTCAAAACATTGAAAAATTCCAGAGCTGAAAAACTGCCAAATCGAAAACTTGAAAAATTGGAACTTCGAAAAATCGAAAAGCGGTATCGAAAAATCGAGAAAATGAACAATCGGAAGGTTCTATGACAATTTTTTTTTTATTTGTAAGATTCCTAAATTCTTTTTTTGTATTTTTGATTGAAAAATTGAAACATCGAAATCTGGAGCAATCGAAAAACTGAAAAATCAAAAAATTAAAAATTTTTCAAACCGAAAAATTAAAACCGAGAAGTCGAAAATTTGAAACATCAAAAAACTGAAAAATCTAAAATTGAAAAATTGAAATATCGAAAAATTGAGAAATCGAAAAATTTTAAATTTTAAAAACTGAAAAATAAAAATTTGGAAAAATTGAAAACTCAAAAAATGGAAAAATTAAAAAATCGGGACGTCGAAAAGTCGGAAAATTAAAATATTTAAAAATTGGAAAACCTGGAACGTCGAAAAATTGCAAAATCAAGAAATCGGAAAATCGAAAAATTGGGAAATCAAAATCTGAAAAATCAAAAAATTGGAAAGTGAAAAATCGTCGAAAAGTCGGAAAATTAAAAAGTTGGAAAAACGTAAAACTGAAGCATCGGAAAATTGAGAAATCGAAAAATGAAAAGAAAATCGAGAAATCGAGAAATTTAAGAATCAAAAAATTAAGAACGAAAAGCCTGGAAAGTTCCAAAACTGAAATATCGAAAAATTGACAAATCGGAACTTGAGAAAATTTAAAAATCGAAAAACCGAAACATCAAGAAATCGAATAAAAAAATAGAAAAACTGAAAAATCAAAAATTTAAACATTCGAAAAATTTTAAAATATGTAAAAATATCGAAGAACTGAAAAATCGAAAAATCGAAAATTTAAAAAATGGAAAAATTATAATATCGAAAAACTGAAAAAATCAAAAATCGTAAAACTAAAACATCGAAAAATGGAGAAATCGAAAATTTGAAGAATCGAAAAATTGAAAAATCCCGACACTGAAATATCGAAAAACTGAAGAACAAGAAATTGAAAATCAAAAAATTGAAAAATCGAAAAACTGAAGAATAAAAAACTTGGAAAATTCCAAAACTAAAATATCGAAAAAATGAGCAACCGAAAGTTGAAAAATCTTAAAAAAAAAACGAGACATCAAGAAATCGAATAAAAAATTGAAAAACCGAAAAATAAAAATTTAAACATTCGAAAAATTTTAAAATACGCAGAAATATCGAAGAACAAAAAATCGAAAAATTGAAAAACCGAAAAATCGAAATATTGAGAAATCGAACAATCGAAAAATTTAAATATCGAAACATCCAGAACTTGAGAAATCAAAAACTTTAAAAAACGAAAAGTTTTTGAACCATCGAAACATCAAAAAATCGAAAAATTAAAATATCGAAAAGTTGAAGAAAAATCCTCAAAACTGAAATTTTGAAAAATTAAAATATCGAAAAGTTGAAGAAAAATCCTCAAAACTGAAATTTTGAAAAATTGAGATGTCGAAAACTTGAAAAATCGAGAAATCGAAAAGTCGAAAAATTAAAAAATCGAAAAACCTACATGTCAATCGAATCAAAAAACTGTAAAATCGTAAGATTTTAAAATAGAAATATCAAAAAATTGAAGAATCGAGAAATCGAAAATTCAAAGTCGAAAAATTGAAAATCTAAAATTTAAAAATTCAAAAATCGAAAAATTCCAGAAAATCATGAAACTGCAAAATTCCAAAACTGAAATGACGTAAAACTGGAACATCGGAAAAAAAGAAAAGCCGAAAAATCGAATCATAGAGAAATCGAAAATCGAAAAATGGAGAATTCGAAATTGCCCAACTTCGAAAAATCCAAAAGCTACACATTGAAAAATTGAAAAATTGAAAACAAAAAAAATCGGTACATCGAGAAATTGAACAATCGAAAGGTTTAATGTTTTATGATAAAATTTTTATGATTCCTTCATCTTTTTTTTAATTTTTGATTAAAAAATTCTCGAGAAATCGAAAAACTAAAAAATAAAAAAAATTAAAATCGAGAAATCAAAAATTTTTAAAATCCAAAAACCTAAAACTGAGAAGCCGGGAAATCAAAAAATCCAAACATCAAAAATTGAAAAATCTAAAATTTAAAAATTTGAAAAATAGAAATTGCTAAGAACTGAAAAATCGAAAAATTTAAAATTTTAGGAATTGAAAAATTAGAATATCGAAAAATTGAGAAAATCAAGAAATCGAAACATCAAAAATTTAAAAATCGAAAACTGAAGAATCGAAATATTGAAAAATCCTAAACTGAAAAGTCCAAAAACTGAAAAAAGAGAAATCGGAAAACTAAAAAGTCGATTAATTGAGAAATCGAAAAATCAAAAATTGTAAAACTGAAAAATTTAAAAATTGGAAAAACGTATAAGTAACTGAAACATCGGAAAATTGAGAAATCAAAAATGAAAAAAAAAAGAAATTGAAAATTTGAAGAATCGAGAAATTGAATCGAAAAATTGAGCATTCGAAAAACTGAAGTCAAGAAATCGAAAAATCAACAAGTTGAAGAATAAAAACCTTGGAAAATTCCAAAAATTGACATATCGGAAGTTGAAAAATCAAGAAATCGAAAATTGAGAAATAAAAAAATTATTATATGGGTGTACCATTTTTTTCAAAAAAAAATCAGGACAATGTTACTTTTTTACATTTATTATAATTTTGATTAACGGTTTACCATTTCAATTTAATTCATAGTTAAATTGCAAAATGTTGTTATACAATTTTGATTTTTTTTTCAAAAATCTAGATGTCTATGGTAAAAACTCGACACGGATTCATAAACAATAAATCGAGATTTTACGATTGTAAAATTTAGAGATGACGTCATTCCATTGTTGATGGGGACGAACAGACAAACTTTGGTTAGCGTTTTACCATTTATATGACATTCCTAACAAACACAAAATCTGGCAACAATCGGTCCGGTAGTTTCGGAGATTATCCGCCAATAAAACTGCGGACGGACGGCAGACAGACAGACGGAAAGGAAGACCTATTTTTTCGTACCCTAGGGGTCATAAAACGTCGAGAAACATGAAAATAGCCGATAAATTCGATTATAAGATGCTTCTATGTAATTAAAATTATGTAAGGTGATTATCGGTACTAAAAAAATACTTCGTCAGCTCCTTTACTATTTTCATCCGAACTGAAAAACTAAATCCCCTAACACTAGATCTTTTGATCATCTTTCTACTAAACATATTAATTCAGTTTACTTAGACAATTTTTGACTTTCCTGAAATGCATTTGATTGGAACCTCGAGGCTACTCAGGACGCCTTGCACGCTTAGCCTGGGTTAGACAACTTGACGCGCATCAAGCAATTTTTACAAGCGCCGAAAAAGTTAGGTTAGGATATCATTTTCAACTTTGTTAGTGATTTTTATTACCATACCTGCAGCGGCTATTCGAGCGGTTTCTTTTTCTTCGCATATCAACTCTAAATCGTCCCTTTGTTTCGACTTTTTTCCTAACCCTACGACTACAACAGATTGAAAGTCCTCGCACAGTCCCCAAAATTGGAAAGTCTTGCCTTCCTTAACCTTATTTCCCGTTCTATAAAACAAAAAAACGGGGCGAATGAGTGAAAATCTGGGCAATGGGAAACTTTATTGCTATTATAATACAACTACTTACAACAATAAAAACATTTACTTAAATAACGGATCACAAATGAATGTAACAGCGTTTTTAGAGAGAAAGACTATAGTATTGTGAAATCTAAGTCATGATCACAATAAACATTGACTCTTTCCGACGACACATACAACAGTGCAATGTATTACAGTAACCGCAACGGAAATCAACGAAGAATCACATTCTGTTCAAAAAATATAAAAGGGTATATTTTTTCTAGGCAGTAATTTGCCGGTTTTTATATATCTCTATGCACATATATACACAAAATATTCCAAACTTATATCGTCTCGCTTTGAAGCTCGAAAAAATTCTACAAAAAATATATGGGTGTATACTTCTCAAATTCAACATTCGAAGTAAACAAGAACAACACTTACTACGTCACCGAACGAAAACTCTAAAGGAATCCATTAACCGATCTGCCTACGGACCGACACTACATGATAACATGGTTACAACACAAGATTGGCACATATATTGCTATAAATACTTACGCTAATCATGAGCAATATTTACTTTTTCCACTTGCGAAGTCTTGTGTACATCGAACTACAACTTTTCACACGAATTATTCTATTCTAATTGTGCGTTTTAATTTTAAAATTTGGCACAATCGGGTCGTCACTTTGGGAATGATAGAACATGGCTACGAAACGGAAACTCTAACTCAAACAAACACCAGGAAACACCGGGAGTCAAATCACGGTACATCGAACAGAAAACACTACAGCAAACGACGAAAAATCACACCGACACACCTGGATCTCGTTTTAGAATATCGGTTGCTCAAGGTCGAGTCTGACCTGACCTGAGGCTAGTTGGAAATGCGGCTGGGAACACCAATTACGATCAAAAGGGACGTTTTTTGTCATTTGCCATATTCTGACAGTGTTGCGCCACGTACTGGTGGCGAACGAGTGGGTATACGCACTCAAAATGGAACTACTAGCACAGCCGACCGTGCATTTTGGGTGAAATCGCGTTTTCGCAGAAGTGGCGGGCGTGGAATTGGACACCACCGTTCGTAAAATACGGATTATCTCCGCAACCGTACGTCCGACAAAAAATTGGTAAAGAGGGTTTTTGTAGACGATGCAATTCTCCACAAGTTTTTTTCTCTACGACTTTTCGGCGTAGCGTTACTAGAAAAAAAATAGGGACTGGTGCTAAACCCAAGATGCACGGTTGGTTACTGACCAACTCCCTTACGAAATGAAACAACTCAAGTTACATCTACCTGTTATACAATAACTACTAATAAACGTGACATTTACTTCCAACGGGAAAATACGAAGACACAAGAGAATCGAAATCAAACGAGTCTCTTAAACTAAACCACTGCGCTCTCTGGTTTGAATTTGGATACTCTATGTTCTTAAAATTCCAACACTTGTGAACGATTTATAAAATATATTCTTCTAGTAGCAATTCCGTCAACACTAATCTTTTTTGATTTTATGTACATAAAGGTGCCACGTGGGGACCTTTCGGCCCCCCGGCCATACAAACTAATTTTGAACGTGAACAGAACGAAGCCAAACAACGAAAACTCTCAAAGCAGTGTTGTTCCAGTTGGGGATATGCCAAGACTGCTGATTGTCCAATTTGCCTTATCACAACTACTCAGCTCCCCTCAACTAGACAAGTTCCAGGATGTTAATAATCCCTTGACTGTTCGCCGCCACCACCACGTTCGAGTTCTGCTTCCAGCAGACCGCCGACACGAACTCGTTCATGTCGTCCTCCCTCCTCTCCTGATCCAGCACCCCTTGGATCGCCTCGAACTTATAACTAAACAACTTCTTGCTCAAGCCCTTATAGTAAATGTACATCGCGTTGTTCTCCGAGCCGCAGGCCACATAATCGCCGTCCGTCGCCAACCCGATGAAGTTCTTCTCGTTGATGTGGCCCACGAACGACCTCAGACAGTACGGCGTGTTGATATTCCACATCTTCAGCTGCGAGTCCGTCGACGCCGACACGATATCTTCGCTGTTCAAGAACTTCACGTAACTCACGGCCTTCTTGTGGCCTTTGAAGACGGCCACGGCCTCCTTCATGTTCCTTAAATCGTAGTAATGAACACAATGATCCGCGCTACCGAACGCTAAGTGACAAGAACTCCGCGGGTTGAACTTGACACAACAAACGTTAGCTTTCGCTTCTAACGTCGCTATTGAATGTTCGCCGTTTAGGGAATAGAGCTTGACTCGGGCATCGTCGGACCCGGAGGCTATCAACCGCGTGTCCACCTCGTTGAAGTCGACGCTCCAACAGCGCTTCTCGTGCTCTTGGTACGTCTTGGTGCGCTGACCCGTAGAGGCGTCCCAGATGGTCACGGTACCTTCGTAGTCGCTGGACGCGAGAATGCTCTTATGGTAGGTGTTCCAGCTGACGCACGAAATCTTGGATTTGGACAGCATCTCGATGCAAGGGTAGTGGATGTCGACGGAGTCTTTGATCACGGCGCCGTAATCAAAAACCTTGATCTTCTTCGTGACTCCAGCGATCGCCAAGAACTCGTTATCTTTGTCGAATTCTATACTCGACACTATCGTGGAGTTGTTAAAGAGGTCGCTGGAGTAGTTCAAGGTTGCTAGAACCCTAAGTGAGTTGTAGCGCGAGAACTTGATTAAGTTTTCTCTGAATTCGTCGAGTCCGGTGTTCATCGAACTAGCCGCTTTGGTTTTATCGACGCCGTCTTTCCCGAAGAACAAGTCTTTGGAGCGTGCCGTGAAATAACAATCGACGAAATCGTCGAAATGGGCGTGCATTCTCCGCCTCCGTAACGCCAAAGAGGTGGAGCCTAAGCGTAGTGGGGCGTCCGAATTAGGATTCTCCTCCCTTCGACCCGTCGACGTACCAATCGTGTCAATCAAGTCGATCATTTCCTTTTTCATTGCGACCACTGCGGCGTCGTCAGCCGCTGATGCCACCGTCCGCTCCACATCCTCCAACGTCGGACATTTACTATGCACCTCCTTCAGCTTGTTGTGGACCTCGTCGATATCGTACTCTATGATCGTAATCTCCTTGATGATCTGCGCCTGCCGCTCCTTCTTCTGCTTCAACAAGTGCTTCAGAAACTCCAAGAGGAGGCGGTTCTGCGCGGCGCACGACTCCGCCTCCAGCAGCTGCTTGCGCTGCGTCAACACCTCCAGCATCACGTTGACGTCCGGCAGCGTCAAGTTCTGGCTCTCCGTGGCCACGAAGTCCCTCAAGCCGTCCGCCGACGTGCCGAACTCCCCCGAGCTGTCTCTGTTCAACCCCAGCGCCTCGAAGCTGTTCAGCCGCGTCTTGTGCTTCTTGATCAGCTCGTTGAGGAGGAAGTTCGGGAAGATCATGTCCTCTCCCGTGACCGGGGCGCTGCACTTGGGGCACCTCTTCTGCGCCTCGATCGACTTGACGATGCAGTTGTAGCAGAAGGTGTGGCCGCACTTGGTGATGTACGCCTCCTCGATCACGTTGAAGCAGACCGGGCAGGAGAAGTCGGTCGTTTTCTCCTCGAACGAGCCCGCGGGGGCGGGCCGGTGGCGCTTCGGGGTGCGGATCGAAGAGCGGTTCGTCGGTACGTTCGAACTACTGTGCGACGACGCGGAACTACTGCGACCGTCGCGGCTCGACGCCATTGCGAGAGTTAAGAGAAAAACACCGACCTGAAACAAGAAGTTTAGTGAGTGGGGCGACGCTGAGCTACAACAACCAAAACGGGAGCGAGTTTCAGGTCAGGTTTTTCGAAGCAGGGGTACAGTCAATCCGGGGTTTTTTTGCTCACACTCATTGACCCCCCCACAAAGGGAATCGCTGTCTGCACGGTTGCCTTTTTAACGCCGGATTGACTGCACCATGTAGCGGAACAAGGATTAACAAAAAAACAAGGGGAGCTTAGCCGGTTTTCGGTGGTCTGTAACAAAAAATACCCGTTTCGAGATGGCACGGTGACGCAATAAACAATAAATCTAAGTAGCTACAAGATTCACATTCACATAAAACAGAATAAGTCGCATTAGTAAGAGTATAACGTGATTTTTTAAATACAAATCTGACGAGTTGGTTAGGTTAGAAAAACGTGAATTAGATATATGCAGCACTGATGTATGTGTTCTATCCATTTTTTTAACATATTTGGTGATAAAAATATCAAATCTTCCATTACATGTTGAGACAGGCGAAAACCGATTTTTCTTTGTAAGTTCATCTTTGCGATTGTCTGAAGCCACGTTATTTAATTTTCAACTAAATTAAAACTGAAAATTTTTCTTCTCTGGACCCAAACAAACCCTAATCTGATGCAACAACAACACACAAAACCTGACATGAAATCGGCCTAAACCACAAAATCAAAACTCTGCTTACAGCTTAAGTTGCTCCAACAGTTTCCCTTGACTAATTTGGTTGTATTTCTGGGCAGCTGGGGTTAGCTCCAACCCTCCACACTCATCGTCGCTGTACACACCCAAAACCAGACCTTTCTGCAAAAACACAACACAATTACCAAAAACGGCACTATTGCACAGGACGTACTTTTTCGGGCAAAGTGGTGGAGCACGACCTCAGAAAGTGTCTGCTGGGGATGGATAACCTGAGAAGCCTCTTGCACCTCAAAGATAATGCCATCCTTACTTCCAACACGAGAATGCGGCAGACTTACGTATCAACGGGGACAGTTTCCGATTTGGGTGGTTTTTAGCACGCAAAAACGTGGAACTTTTCCGCATTCCAACGTCCAAGTCGCGAGATCAACAAATCACAAAATTGATTTTTGACAGGTCTGCCGGGCATCGGCGATCGACAGGAGTGACAGGGTAGGGGGCGCTGCGGGCGGCAAGGGTACACAGAAAAGGTGCGACCACCACTCTTACTTATTAATTTATATTTTTTTATACTAATTATAACAACAATCACATGATCTGCGTAGTATCGCGTTTTGTCGAAAAACACGCTAATTCGACAGTCAATTACAAAACTTGCCATTTTCGCAATGTGCTCACCTACACACGACCATCTTGCAAAACCACTTGGCGCCAATTTTAAAATCGGATATTTTTAGACCACCATCACCGACTAAAATATCCACAAATGCATTCCTTTTATCACTTTTGGGTGAAAGTGAAAGTCGCTTATCGCCCCAACGCGACACAGCTGGCCGTTTCGTAATTTCGTTACGTCTGCAGGCGAAAGTTGATTGAGGTTATGTTTGTTGTGGGGCACCTGGGACTCGATTTTGGGAACACAAAATCGGCTTTGTGGCGCGAAAATGACGACTCGCGAATTAGCTAGGTGGGTCTATTATTAAAAATCAATTCATAATAAACCGGATAAATACTATTAACCATTTTAGAAAAATAGGCGCCCTGGAAGTCATTCGCGTCTCAAAAACCAACTCCAGTAAACAACCCTTTGACTTTTTGTTTGTCATTGATTTTGAGGCGACGTGCTGGGAGAGCGCAGACCGCAAAACCAAATGTCCCGAAATTATCGAATTCCCGGCAGTTTTATATGACGTTAAAAACGGTGAAATTGTGGATGAATTCCAGGAGTATGTAATGCCTACAGAGAACCCCAAATTGAGCGACTTTTGCACCCAATTAACTGGTATAAAACACCCTTGTTAATTAAATTAGTTCAACAAAATCAAAATTTGTAGGAATTCAGCAAAATCAGGTCGACACTGGAGTGCCTTTATCCACTTGTTTGTTCCTATTTATGAAGTGGGTCAACGAAAAAAAGAAATTATATGGTATGGAGTTCCCCAATAGCGACGACAAGGCGGAAAAAACGTGTGCCTTTGCGACTTGGTCTGACTGGGATTTAGGAATATGTTTTAAGAACGAATGCAACAGAAAACGGCTCACTTATGCTAAAATTTTCCGCAAGTGGATTGACATTCGCCACTTATATAAAGTAACGTGTTTTAACATAGCAGTTATTTAACACAATTGTTTTAGTTCTATTTTAAGAAACCTTTCAACGGTCTCAGTGGCGCCCTCTCAGAATTGGGTCTTACGTTTGAGGGTAAGGAACACTGTGGTCTGCACGACGCTAGAAACACGGCGAAACTCGTAGGACGAATGATTGACAATGGCGCCATCTTACAGCTAACTAGGTGTTAATTCTATTAGTTTTCATATGTTACAAATTACTACATAAACTGGTTCATTGGATCCTCGTCGCGTCTCCTTTTCATATAATAAGCTTCCAGTTCTTCATCTGTGGGTTTCTTAACCTCAAACATGCTATTGTAGGGTCTTTTTCTTTCATCTATTGACAACAATCTGTCAGCTGCTTTCTGATTCATCTCCTCTGCGTCCAACGCTTCTTTCAGTTTATCCTTCTCCTGTTTCTTCTGTTTGCGCTTTTCTTTTTGTTTCTTCTTCTTGTTCTTCTTTTTCTTCTTTCTTTCGCTCTTGTTCTTTTCCTCTGCGTCTGAACTACTTTCAGATGAACTCTCGCTGCTTTCTTCCTTTTCGTTAGTTGCTTCAGGGGTGGTAACTGGGGGTGGTTGATTGTCATTGCTGCGGCCCGCTTCTCCCAAACAATACGAATTCTGAAATTTTTACAAAATTTTTTTTGTGTTACAACAAATGATAATCAAGCTACCTTGACGAACGAATGACAACATTTATAGCCCCACTGTCCCCCTCGCCAATAAGAACCCCAAACAGAAGTGTGATTATTGATATAAATATCTTCTTCATATTTGGACTTGATCACTTCTTTTTCTTGCCCTTTTATCACTTTGCCTGATCGAGAATACTCAACGTAGTCTTCGGTTTGTGCAAGAAGAAGGGTCTTAGGAGGTGCCTCCAGGTGCTCTTCGCCCCCATATTTCTCTAAAATGTTTCCTTGTACCTTTGACTTGAATTGTTCTTTCTTCTTTTCGTATTCTTTTTGTAAAAGCTCAAGTTTTGTGGGTTCTGCTAATAAATGAACATCAACGCCTCTCTCATAGGCTTCCCAAGCAAACAACTGAGCTGAGGCATGTTTGGTGGTGTCCCCGGTGAATCGCACGAAATTTTCACCGTGATACCTATTATAAAGAATTAATATCACTAAGTACAATGATTATTAAAAAGCTTACTGTTCATCCGTACTAGGATTCGGATTCTCCCTCATAGAGCGCGTTTTCGGGTCATAGTAGGCCGAATTCGGGTCCAAATTCCTCAAATACTTGGCAGTGTCCTCTCTTATCCTCAAATTTCTCACAGTAATTCGCTGCTTGCTGTCAACTTTGGTCCCCGGCATGTCCACTTCGTCCACATACTTGTCCTCGTCCTTCTCATCATCACTGTCTTCGTTGTTCGCGTTTAACCTATCCGCTTTCAACTGTCGTTTCGCCTCCTCCACCTTCTGGAACTCCTCGATCACCGCTTTGTGCTCCGATGGGTCATACCCGCTCCAGCGATCGCGCTTCCCGTCGTAACTCAAAGACAGCTTCTTCTGGATGAACTCGTCCGCCGCGATGTTCGCCCCCGAGAACTTGGCCCCCACTTTGCGGGGCCGCTCCATGCAGTCCTTGCGCTTGTGGGTCAAAGCGCCGCAGTTCTCGCACGCCCCTTTTCGGTATTTCGTGACGAGCTTTGTCTGGTCGACTCCGCGTTTGTACCACTCGTCCAACTGCGAAAACTTGTCCTGTTTGTCTTCCTGTGGCCGCTGGTGCTTGAGTGTGGGGCCCTGGGTGCCGTAGTACCATGGCGCTGAGGCTATGTATTGGGGGATGTGGGGGTTTATGTCCTTGCCTTCTTCGTCGACGGCTGCGGGGGCTGTGCCCGCTTTTCGCGCTTCTTCGAGCTCTTTGGCTTTGCGCCAGTCTTCGCGCGACTTTTTCTTCGGCTCATCTTCGATTTCGCTTTTTGATTTGAGGATCTGGGAAACGGGCAGGCTTTGGGTGCTGCTTGCCATTTCTTGTTTAATTTGCGCAGCACATAACAGGGTTTTGGTTATGTTTTTGTGTCACTTGTCACTTGTCATTCTTGTCAAATGCGGGGAGTCGAAATATACAGAGTGAGCTAAAAAGTCCAGCAACAAATTGTTTTTGCCGTTTCTATTGAAACACCACCAGTTTTAGCAATTGGTAACAACTTTCGATTGATTCTGAACGGCTTTTATTTAGATAATTGTCTGAATGTGAACGTCACCAAATTTAATTTTTATTTTTGTAAATACAGTTTTTCTTGTTCGTTCCATCTCTTTTCGCTTTTGAGAGAATAAAAGTATTCATTGCCTATTTTTTTGTCAAAATAATCTATTTTCTACAATATGATGTCTCGAACATACGAACTTTGCAGGTAAGCTCCGCCCTCTGTTATCATAACGAATAAAAAATTCGTCACAACTGAGATCGGGGCGGGTGGGTGGGGCTTATCTTTTGACTTTTTTTTCCTTAATATGTGTAGTTTTCTTTCAACAAGACTTAAAATATGTTTCATATGGTAATTTCTTGTTGAGAAATATAAACTTGGCACTTATGCTCCGCCCCCCGTCTTACGAGGAATAAAAAAATTAATCACAACAGAAGTATCCATTGACTTATTTTTTCGTAATATATGTACATCGTCTTCTTTCAATAATAAAATACTTAAAATATCAAATGGTTAATTTAAAGCTAGAATTATGTTTTCAGTTTCGTGTTGTTGAAAGACAACTATGTATATTAAGAAAAAGGAAGCCAATGATTAAGCCCCACCCCCCGCCGTCATCTCATTTCTGATGAATTTTTCATTTGCCAGATCGAAAGGCGGAGCTTAATTGAAAATCCATATTTGTCTACAAGATGAATTTATCATTTTAAATATGTTTAAGTATATGTTGTAAAAAGAAAATTCGTATATTAAGGAAAAAAAGACTAAACATAATGGCCACACTATTGTTTTCATAGCAGTTAGTCTTCTCCCTTAATCTTGAAACATCTTTCAAATTACAATGTTGTTAGACAATTATTTTCAAATAACAAATTTTTCCAAGTACGATTTATGTAATAAGGAACCAATTTATATTGAACATATTTTTTTGTATTAAATAAATTTGTACCTACATCTATTATTATAGGTATATAATTTTGTAAAATGTATATATTTTAATAACAAAATACTTAAAACGTATTTAAAATGATAAATTTTTGTAGACAAATATGGATTTTGCAGTTAAGCTCCGCCCCTCCATCTGACAACGAATGAAAAATTCATCCCAATTGAGATGAGGGCGGGTGGGTGGGACTTAATTTTTGACTTTATTGTCTTAATGGTATGTGTAGTTGTCTTTTAACAATACGATACTTAAAACATGTTTCACATGGTAATTTCTTGTTCAGAAATATGAACTTTGCAATTAAGCTCCGCCCCCCGATGTCATAACGAATAAAAATTCATCACAACTGAGATCGGGGCGTGTGGGTGGGGCTTAATCATTGGCCCATCCTTTGAATTTCTTTTCGTAATATACATAGTCTTCTTTCAATAATAAAATACTTAAAATATCAAATGGTTAATTTGAAGTTAGAATTATACAGATTTTAAGTACTGTGTCATGTGTTCTTGAAAGAAAACTCTTTATATTAAGAGAGAGAAGCAAAGTATTTAGCCTTTTTTTTTAATACACGTGGTTTTTGTTTAACAAAATACTTAAAACATACATATTTAAAATGATAAATTTTTGTAGACAAATGAGGATTTTGCAATTAAGTTCCTCTCTTCGAACTAACAAATGAAAAATTCATCACAAATGAGACGAGGGTGGGTGGGTGGGGCTTTATCATTGGCTTCTTTTTCTTGATACACAGAGTTTTCTTTGAACAACGCGATACTTAAAACATAATTATAACTTCAAATTACAGTTTCGACCACAAAATCTTGGGCAGTTCAGTCATTCCAGTGACATAAGCTCTAAAACAGGCTTTACGCACTTATAACCTCAACTTTACCATGTTTGTCATTTTGACGTAGACTGGAATTTGGACGATGACGTATGTCACAATTTATTTTTTTAAAATGTCAATCGTTATGACAATAAAGCATAGACTACATCGTGTTTTTTTTAAATGACAGAAAAATACTGCCCAAGATTTTCTGGCCGAAACTGTAACCATTTGATATTGTTACGAATAAACCCCTTCGCCGCCCCGGTACGACGCCTATGGACCGTCGAGAGCGTTCGAAAAGCCTGGAAGCGGAAGTCGCGATGGGTATTCGAGAAAAACCTCGATTGCAGAAGTATGGGTTTAAATAGAGGCCAGCGAGTGTCAAGAAAATTCATACAACTTGCGCCGGAACTATAGTGTACATAATCGCTCTGTAATTAGTCGTGTAAATTGCAATTACTGAGAAATAAAATTGTTGAGTTTTACCCACGCCGATTTTATTAACCCGTTTAACGTAACGATATTTTATTAGTGAAAGAAGACTATGTATATTGGATAAGACCCACCCACCCGCCCCACTTCCATTGTGATTGATTTTTTTTTCATCGTGAGACGGGGGGGGGGGGGGGGGGCGGAGCAGAAGTGGAAAGTTCGTATTTATCAACAAGAAATCACCATGTGACACATGTTTTAAGTATCGTATTTTTGAAAGAAAATTATACATATTAAGAAAAAAAGTCAAAAATTAAAAAAGAACAAGAAAAAGCTATACCAAAAATCAAAATTTTAGCATTGACAACTTGACTTTTGTGTATAACTTGGCTCACGATGAATAAAAAAAATCATCACAATTAAAGTCGGGTGGGTGGGCGGGGCTTACATGTTGCCTGTTTTTTAATATACGTAGTCATCTTTTCACAACAAAAACTTAAAACAGATGACTACGTATACTAGAAAAAAAAGGTCTGCCCCTCCCACCCACCCTATCTCAATCGTGCTATTTTTTTTTACCCGTTGTAAGTAGTGGGGCAAAGCTTAATTGCAAAATTCTTGTTTTTCTAGGAGAAATTGTCTTGGCTCACGACGAATCAAACAATCAAAAATATATGTCGCTTTTTTTCATATACGTAGTCATATTTTCACAACAAAAACTTAAAAGAGGCGACTACGTATATTAAGAAAAAAAAAGCCAGTACTTACTACGAGAAGTCTGATTTTGGCAATTAATCTACTCTTTAAGAAAATAGAGGGTGGGTGGGCGGGCTAGTATCTGCGCCAAGATAAGACTGATTTTGACAATTGATCTTTAATTTCTAGAAACGAAAAGCACGCAGAAGTGGAAAATCTCTATTATCTCTGAAAAATTGCTCACATAATGTAAATTAAATTTTGATAATTAAATTGTGTGAAGAGTGAATTAAAAAACTTGAAATGACGTCATCAACTTCTTGAAGGAACTAGACAGACAAATTCTGATGTTCCTGATAACTTTAAAATGAGCGCAAAATTCCAGAGTAACTGGATAATTATATAGTTTCTGACTTACAAATTAAATTTTGCTGCAAAATTTTTAATTGAGGTTCGAAGTTCTTAAAGTTGAAAATTAAAGTCTACTACTATGTTCTCAACAAATTCATTATTAAAAAAGTATTTTGTTAGTTTCATCCACACCATTCATCAACCTTTTTTCTTCATCAACAAACCAATTCTGCTTTCCTCTGGAAACGGATTTCCATTTTTTCACGTTAAATATAAACAGACCTATAATTAGTGCCAACACATTTTTACTGAAACACCACTTGTAGATCGTAAATTTGGCAACGTTCATATTCAGACAATTAAAAGGATCTAGGGGACATCTTTAGTTTTATTTGTGAATTAATTTGAAAAATCTTGGGGATTCCTTTTGTTTGGTTTTTGAAGTAGTTTCAAACAACCTGTTTTGTTTTGTTTTTGAAGTAGTTTGAAAGAATCTCGAAGTCTGATGATTCAGTAATGACTAGTTTAGTACAAAAGTAGGTATCAACTGTAACTGTTGTCTTGGATGTTGAAGGCGTTACTTCAACTTTTGTTCTAACTTAATACTTAAAAAATACGTTTATCAATATTGTTTGTGTTCCATTTTAAAAATATTTGAAACTTCACTTTGGTCATTTAAAGTCTCCAAATTCCCAGTTTCACATAAATCTAGCGGACTGTGCACAAAAAATTCAAGTGAAAGCCTGTAACCAATAAATAAGAAAAATAATATTTGTCTCTTCATTCCAAATTATTCTTGTAAAATGTATATATTTTAATAATGTCGGGTGCTACAGTATTTATCAGATCATTAAAGCCACGTGTACTCCATGCGTTAAAAATTCGAAACTTTTGTTCAGGTGAATCCGCTCCGGGAGGCGGCGAAGGAGGAGGAGAAAAGGTAAGACTGTCACTTTCCCCACGACCCCCTAACCCAGCCGTTCCAGAAAGGACTAATTTTAGGCGCGTATGAAGTAGACAATGATGTGGTATTGACAAAATCAGCACAAAAATATAATGACCACCTAGGAGGAAAATTAATGGAACTCATCAAAAAGTATAGAGGGTCTTCGCCGAAGACAATTACCACTAACCCCAATGTTCTAGAGCCGGAAGAACCGTGAAAAGAGGTAGCGCTAAAGTCTTCAACAATGTCGACAAGGATATTTGGGCGGTGGCCGTAGTGGGCCTGGGGCCCGAGAAGGCCGGCTACAACGAGATGGAGGCAATCGACGAGGGGATGGAGAACGTCCGCAAGGCGGCGGGAGCCGGGACGCAACAGCTGCGCCACCAAGGCGTTGACAGAATTCTAGTGGAGGGTCTAGGGTTCCCTGAACAGGCGGCTGAAGGCAGCGCCCTAGCCCTCTGGAGGTACGCCTTTGACAGCTCTGACATCCACATTGTGACAGCAGCGCTCTCTGATCTTTTCTCAGATACCAAGAGAACAAAATGCGCGAGCACCAGAAGAAGACCCCCACTCTCGAGCTGTACGACGACCAGGACGGCGAGGGCTTCCAGCGCGGCCTCTTCAAGGCCGAGTCCCAGAACCTCGCCCGCCGCCTCTCCGACACCCCCGCCAACCAGATGACGCCGCTCCACTTCGCCCAGGAGACCGTCAACGAGCTGTGCCCCTGCGGCATCAAGGTGCAGGTGCACGACAAGGACTGGATCGAGCAGAAGAAGTTCAGCGCGTTTCTGACGGTGGCGCGCGGCTCCTGCGAGCCGCCCGTGGTCCTCGAGATCTCCTACTGCGGCGGCCCCAACGACCAGAAGCCGATCCTTTTCTGCGGCAAGGGCATCACCTTCGACAGCGGCGGCCTGTGTCTGAAGAAGTGCAAGCACATGGACGTGTACAAGGCGGACATGTGCGGCGCCGCCGCCATCATCTCGGCCATCCGGGCGGCGTCCGCCCTCAGTCTCCCGTTGAACATCGAGGCCGTCATCCCGTTGTGCGAGAACATGCCGAGCGGGATGGCGATGAAGTGCGGGGACGTGGTCATGGGCATGAACGGGAAGTCGATCATGATCACGGACACGGACAACGAGGGGCGGCTGGCGCTGGCGGACGCGATGGTCTACGGACAGAACATGTACAAGCCGAGGCTGGTGATCGACGTGGCGAGCTTGACGCCGGGGGTGCGCTCGGCGCTGGGGTCGGCGGCGAGCGGCGTCTTCAGCAACAGCCAGACCATGTGGTCGCAGGTACCTAAGTTCGCTTTCTTTATCGTGTATCATAAATGTTTGATTCCAGGTGAGGAAGGCGGGGGTGATCACGGGCGACAGGGTGTGGCGTCTGCCCTTGTGGAAATTCTACTCGAAGAAGGTGACTCGGTTCAAATCGCACGACGTGAACAACAAGGGCATCGGGCAGGGTTCGTCTTGTTTGGCGGCGGCGTTCCTCAACGAATTCATTACCTGCGTCGACTGGATTCATTTCGATATCACGGGTGTGGGGTTCAGGAGTAACCATAAGGTTGTTCCTTATTTGACGAAAGGGAGGATGACGGGACGACCAACTAGGACACTGATTCAGCTTCTCTACCAGCTGTCTTGTCCCTCGGAAGGCCAAAGAGAACTATGAATTTTTTCGTAATCCTTTTTTGCTATATGGGATTTAATCCACATTACCTTTAAATTTTACTTGTAATAAATACTTAGGGGAATGTTATGACTTGAATCGCAATCTGGTCAATTGCTCAATCGGTTTTTGGCTTTTATCATAAATCTTGATGGATTTTTTCTTACTCAAAAAAAGTAAAAATAACAACATTCCGAAGATTTCCTAAGTGGACTATTACATTTTTGTTGCAAGTTTTGCTTTATTTTGGAAATTTGTCGTATACCAATTTATTGTTTATTTTATACAACCACTGTCCTGCGCTTACATTATTGTATCAATAAAGTATGAATGATCGACATTGACTCGAGATTTTATTTCGTACCTCACCCACATGAAATATCACAAATTGAATTACTAATAGTACGTCAACTTACAAAAGAAAATAAGCTATATTTTTACCGTGTAAACACCTGTGCTAGATCCACCTTATATTACCCTTTTCAATTAGCGCGCGCTTCACCGCGCATGCTTACTTTAATAATTTAATCAAACCAGTGTCGTCCCCAGTGTTGCCAATGTAGCGATTTTCTCACCAAATCTAGCGATTTCATGCAAACATTTGCGACGCAGAATAAAATGGTTATGAGAACTCTCGGAAATTTTTAATAATGATAATGAAGTAGGTAGGTTGTGGTACTGGTAGAATGAGAATCTGATATTAAAGATCAAAATGAAATGACACTTGACAATAAATTAAGAAAAAAAATGCAATTAACTCTGTTAAACAATTTGTTACATGTAAGATTTGGGTTAAAATGCACGGGCAAGTGTTGTACTAGACTACATATATATACATATATTACCGGACAACGTACTGAAAATATTTGGGATTAGAGTTAGCTATGTTGACGACAAAGGTGAGGAATACATTTTTGTAGTGATATAAAATAACCATTTTTACGAGCATTTAATTTGTTTAATGTTTTGTTATAATGTTTTGTAGGGTTTTTTCAATAAAAATTGTATACCTACGGACAAGTGTATGTACAAGTTTATTTAATGCAAAAAAATTATGTTTAACATAAATTGGTTCATTATTACATGAACAAATTTTTATTTGAAGATAATTGTCTAACAAAGTTATAATTTGAAAGATGTAACATTAAGAGAGAAGAGTAGCTGCTATGCAAACAATAGTATGGACATTATATTTAGCTTTGTTTTTTTCTTAATATACATATTTTTTTTTTAAACAAAATACTTAAAAACAATAAATTTTCGTAGACAAATATGGATTTTGCAATTAAGCTCCGCCCTTCGATCTGGCAAATGAAAAATTCATCACAAATGAGATGAGGGCGGGTGGGTGGGACTTAATTATTGGCTACTTTTTCTTAATATACAGAGTTTTCTTTCAACAACACGAGACTTAAAATATAATCGTAGCTTCAAATTAACCATTTGATATTTTAAGTATTTTATTTTTGAAAGAAGACTATGTATATTACGAAAAAATAAGTCAGTGGATAAGGCCCACCCACCCGCCCCGCTTCCATTGTGATTATTTTTTTTATTCGTCGTGAGACGAGGGGGCGGAGCAGAAGTGCAAAGTTCGTATTTATCAACAAGAAATTACTATGTGAAACATGTGTTAAGTATCGTATAAAGACAACTACACATACCATTAAGAAAATAAAGTCAAAATTAAGCCCCACCCACCCACCCTCATCTCAATTGGGATGAATTTTTCATTCGTTGTTGGATCGAGGGGCGGAGCTTAACTGCAAAATCCATATTTGTCTGAAAAAAATTATAATTTTAAACATGTTTTAGGTATTTTGTTATTAAAATATATACATTTTACAAAATTATATATCTATAAATAGATGTATGTACAAGTATATTTAATGCAAAAAAATATGTTCAACATAAATTGGTTCTTTTTACATAAATCGTATTTGGAAAACATTGTTATTGAAAGATAATTGTTTAACAATATTGTAATTTGAAAGATGTTTCAAGATTAAGGGAGAAGACTAACTGCTATGAAAACAATTGTATGGACATTATGTTTAGTTTTTTTTTTTGTTAATATACGAATTTTTTTTTTATACAACAAAATACTTAAAACATATTTAAAATGATACATTCTTGTAGACAAATATGGATTTTCAATTAAGCTCCGCCCTTCGATCTGACAAATGAAAAATTCGTCACAAATGAGACGAGGGCGGGTGGGTGGGGCTTAATAATTGGCTTCCTTTTTCTTAATATACATAGTTTTCTTTCAACAACACGATATTTAAAACATAATTCTGGCTTCAGATTAACCATTTGATATTTTAAATATTTTATTATTGAAAGAAGATTATGTATATTACGAAAAAAAAGTCAATGGATCCATACTGATTATTTTTTTATTCCTCGTGAGACGGAGGGCAGAGCATAAGTGCCAAGTTCATATTTCTCAACAAGAAATTACTATGTGAAACATGTTTTAAGTATCGTATAAAGGCAACTACACATACCATTAAGAAAATAAAGTCAAAATTAAGCCCCACCCACCCACCCTCATCTCAATTGGGATGAATTTTTCATTCATTTTGGATCGAGGGGCGGAGCTTAACTGCAAAATCCATATTTGTCTACAAAAATTTATAATTGTAAATATGTGTTAGGTATTTTGTTATTAAAATATATACATTTTACAAAATTATGTACCTATATATCGATGTGTGTACAAGTTTATTTAATGATAAAAAAAGATGTTCAATATAAATTGGTTCCTTATTACATACATCGTATTTGGAAAACATTGTTATTGAAAGATAATTGTTTAACAATATTGTAATTTGAAAGATGTTTCAAGATTAAGGGAGAAGACTAACTGCTATGAAAACAATTGTATGGACATTATGTTTAGTTTTTTTTCCCTTAATATACGAATTTTTTTGTTTACAACAAAAAACTTAAAACATATACATTTAAAATGATAAATTCTTGTAGACAAATATGAATTTTCAATTAAGCTTCACCCTTCGATCTGGCAAATGAAAAATTCATCAGAATTGAGATGAGGGCGGGTGGGTGGGGCTTAATCATTGGCTTCCTTTTTCTTAATATACATAGTTTTCTTTCAACAACACGAGACTTAAAAAACATAATTCTAGCTTCAAATTAACCAGTTGATATTTTGAGCATTTTATTATTGAAAGAAGACTATGTATATTAGGAAAAAAAAGTCAATGGATCCACATAGATTATTTTTTTATTCCTCGCGAGACGGAGGGCAGAGCATAAGTGCAAAGTTCATATTTCTCAACAAGAAATTACTATGTGAAATATGTTTTAAGTATCGTATAAAGGCAACTACACATACCATTAAGAAAAAAAGTCAAAATTAAGCCCCACCCACCCACCTTCATCTCAATTGGGATGAATTTTTCATTCGTTGTCGGATCGAGGGGCGGAGCTTAACTGCAAAATCCATATTTGTCTACAAAAATTTATCATTTTGAATATGTTTTAGGTATTTTGTTATTAAAATATATACATTTTACAAAATTATACACCTATATATGTATGTACAAGTTCATTTAATGCAAAAAAAAGATGTTCAATATAAATTGGTTCCTTATTACATACATCGTATTTGGAAAAAATTGTTATTGAAAGATAATTGTTTAACAATATTGTAATTTGAAAGATGTTTCAAGATTAAGGGAGAAGACTAACTGCTATGAAAACAATAGTGTGGCCATTATGGTTAGTCTTTTTTTCTTAATATACGATTTTTTTTACAACAAAATACTTAAAACATATTTAAAATGATAAATTCTTGTAGAGAAATATAGATTTTCAATTAAGCTCCGCCTTTCGATCTGGCAAATGAAAAATTCATCAGAAATGAGATGAGGGTGGGTGGGTGGGGCTTGATCATTGGCTTCCTTTTTCTTAATATACATAGTTGTCTTTCAACAACACGAGACTTAAAACATAATTCTAGCTTAAAATTAATCATTTGATATTTTAAGTATTTTATTATTGAAAGAAGACGATGTACATATTCAAAAATTAAGCCCCACCCACCCCCCCGAGATCAGTTTGATGAATTTTTATTCGTTATGACATCGGGGGGCGGAGCTAATTGCAAAGTCCATTGGTTTGAGGCACATCATATTGTAGAAAATAGATTATTTTGAGAAAAAATAGGGGATGAATATTCTTATTCTCTCAAAAATAAAAAGATATCGAAAGAGAAAGGGAAAACTTTACACAATAAAAAAAATTACTTAGGGAGATTTTTTACAGAAGAAACCATTCCACTAACAATCTTCTTCAATGGTCAATTCCTCTAGATCTAGAATGTCTTCTCTTCCAATTTCTTCTAGAATTCCCGTTTTCAATCTATTTTTGACAGAGATTTGACATCCCCCAGAATAAACCTTCCTTACTAATGGAATCTCAAGAATCTTTGTAAAAGAAATATCTTCTTTCTTCACCTTCTGGAATCCACAGCAATAAACTTTCTTCTTGAAGACCAAATGTCTTCATCTCTTTTGATGTTTGTTTTTGAGGTTATTTCAAAAAAGGATGTCTTTCTTTCTGAATTTTGCGGCAATGCTTCCAATCCAGTTTCAACTTTAGGAGATTCTAGAACATTTGAACATACGAGAACATAAATGTTCTTCAAAAGCAACCAACTACAAAAACATGTGTTCGTTTATTAACTCATTTACATAACAACATGGTTGCAAGCCGTGTTGAAAGAAAATTTTAAAACCTTACTCACGTGAAAATTTATGAAGAAACTTGACATTTTATGAGAATAGCGGTCTTACTTACCTCTACCACGTTGTTTACAAAGCGTATATGTTTTTATTAGCGAATATGTTCTTTTTTACACTTGCAAGACTTAGTCATGCGATACTTTGTTTTGTTAATTTTTTGTTTATATTAAAGTTTTCCACTAATTCGTCGATCGAGAAAATCGAGTCGTGATGACATGCAAAATGAGATATTTTTCTTTAGGTTAATACATGAATAAGTTAGTAGCTCCTTTCGTAAACTAGATGATGCAATAAGTGGCCGCTTAACGTCACTATTTTACTCTTTTATTAGACATTTCCATATTTTTTCCTTCTTAATGCGACACTAAATTCCAAATTAAATTTAAGGAGAATGGTACCTGTGTGGCGAAAATAAGAAAAATTGCAAAATCGCGACTCTGTTACCCTGTTTTCGTGCCACCAGTGGCATTCGTTCTAAATTTAGCCACAAATGCGTCGTCGTGTCAAACGGGCCTTAAAGTCACAAATTATAATACATGGTACTTTAGTACGAAAATAATATAAATGGTACGACTTTTTGGTGAAAACTTTAGTACTTTTTGCAGTGTTTTCTCAAAAGCACCACCCTTTGGGACACTAAAGAAAAACACACTTAGGACAATATCGTTAATTTTTGTAACACATCATCAGTTCAAAAAACGTTGCGGTGGAAAGTAGTACCACCACATTGTCACGCAAGTACCGGCAATTTTCCCTAAAAATTCGCATTATTGGAGAAAATCCTCGGAATCATTTGCATATTGTCGTTCCGCCATTGAAACCCATTCAATGAGACTCACAAAAACCAAAGGTGAAACCGGTACCTGACGTCACCAACCACATCTATAAATTTCCTGCGGCCGCTCCAGCTCACTAGTACGCCAGCTTCCTGCTATGAGTTTAGTCTACTTGTAATTCTTCGCTAGTATCGAAAGCCTGTGTCAATGAGAATACTTGAATTTGTGTTGAATTCAAAATTCCACCAAGTCGTCAGGTACCACCACCCACCCACTACACCCAAACTTTTTCTACTTTCGTTTTTGTTACAGTTTGGATAAAAACCTAAGGACCCGCAAAGGCAGCCGCAGAGGAAACTCGGGAAACCGTCTCGAACTCCAGGTTCTAACCCAGATCCATCACGTACCCTAGCTACGATGGTCAAAAGCGCCGTGTTTGAAACCGCCAGCAAAGTGGCTGACGCCAATTGGGGCCAATCCTCAAAGTAAGAATTTTTGTGGTGAATGTCCGTTTCGTGACACGATTTTTTCAGAAAACCGATTTTTGAAAGTAGGAAGGAGGAAGTGAAGAAGGAGGAGAAGAAGGAAAGTCAGTACGGAGTGTGGGGGCCTGTTTTCAAAAATAAGGAGCACTTTGCAAGTTTACATCATTTTTAATCACGGGGATGTTGTAGTTGTAGGGTTTATTACACTTATTTATCGATTTGTTGAATAAAATCACTACGTGGTGAAGGGCTGGATAATTTTTTTTCTTTTTTTCGTTACGTATTTGTGCCAGAGTTTTTCGGAGACGGTTACGAGGAGTGAGAGGAGGAAACCTGAAACAAGTGTGGTGGAAACGTGGCGGTTTTTGATTGGATAGTACCCAGAAACAAAACGAAGAAACTTCCTTGCATGTCGTCCATGTTTACGGTGTGGTTGTTTACTTCGACGAGGTGTCTGTTTTTCCAGCAGCGGTCTTTCTTGGGGAGATAATCTTTCAACCATTTTTCGATCAATCCGACTTGGTGGAGCTTCTTGATTCTAGATACATAGAGGAATTATTTTCGGGAACTTAGTAACACAAATGGTGACGTACTGGTCGTTAAAAATTTCCAAGTAGGGGGTGTCCTGTGCCATTATCATCGCTAACTGTTCGTTGTAAAATTCGTCTAGTCCTGGAACAACCAAATCAATGGAATTCGTTAATAAATTAGAACTAATAAATTATAAATTAAGACCTAGAGCTAAATCGCATCTATCGGATTCCAAGTACTGCTTCTTCATGATATACTGCAAAGTCATCTTCCAATCAATATGAACGTGCTTCCCATCTACTATGTTTTTAATCATCCATTTATAACTCCTCGGCTCTATCTTTTTCTCGTACAGCTCTCTATATTTCGGCTCCGTAGCATACTAAAACACTCTCAGTACTACCACTACACACTTTCTCCACTTTTACTTTCAAATTAGTCTCCAAATAGCTCCCTTTCGTCAGGCTCCAAGTCACGGTATCCCTGTGTCCCAGCAACTCATCTATGGTGGTTATGGGTATGTCGACTTTCGGAAAAGTCAGAAAGGCTACTAAATTTCCACAGTAGGTGGTTGCCACCACCAGTACTACCAACCACCAAGAGCCGACGATGATTCTCGCGCTGTCCGACTGAGGAAGATGCATTCCACCTGAAACATGCATTAATTAGTTGCTTATTTTTTTGTATTCAAGCGTAAACTAGTTTTTGAGCTACCTTGAATCCAAATCCGGATTTTTCCAGTTTGGTTGGTGAGCGGAATTAAAACATCTGCACTTACCTTGTTGTAGGAGGGCCCCATACATGTACCATATGCAGTTTTCGATGGATGATAAGCCGCCTTTTTTGCTTATGCCTTTGTAGTCGTAGACGGGGCTGAAGCGGTGGATGTAGTAGAGGATGGGGCCCATGGAGATTATGGCGGCGGAGAGGCACAGCCATGTCTAAATATAAACAATAAAAAAAATATTTGGGTCTATATTTTTGGACGATTAGTTTGAGTTTGGGGAGTTTAAGGCGACTAAGAGAAAACTTGTTTGCTTACACAATGAGATCCTTTTTTTTTTAAGTAGGTATACAAGGTTTCTAAAGGTCAATGACACGGTTATTTAGAATATGCAAATTTTGTCTTCAGTGTTTGTTATTAGTTTTATTTAATTCAGTTTATTTTTATTTTAAAGCGCAGATGTGACTAACTACATTACGGTTTAATATAAAATGTTTGTCACGTGATCCTAGCATGGTTAAAATTGCAATGGAATTTTAATTTCTTTGAGGTGCACCGCATATCTTCTCTTTTTAAATAAAAATGGCTCCTTTAATTTTTCAAATTATGTTCTAAGTTTCTAAAATTTTTATCTTTCCATAATTAGTGAGATAGTGACTACAATTCAATTTTTTGGCTCGGTAAAACTACTCATCAAGCCCTTTTAGTTTTTTTTTGAGTTTTCGTCAGGAATGTATGAATATTTACCAAAATTTTTGAGTTCAAAATTATTAGAGGTAAGTTAGATTTTGAATTTTTAAAGATTCGATTTTTCGGTTTTACGACTTCTAAGTTTTTCGATTTTTCTCAATTATTATTATTCCATTTTTCAATATTTGTATTTTGAAATTTTTCGATTTTACAAAATTTCAATTTGTGAGTTTTAATTAAATTTTTTATTTTTCGATTGTTAACTTTTTCAATTTCTTGATTTTTTTCACTTTTAGTTTTTTGAATTCTAGATGCAGATTTTAATTTTTCGTTTTTTCCCTATTTTTCAATTTATTTAGCTTTTCGATTTCTCGATTTTTCAGTTTTCCAGGTTTTGATTTTTCAATGTTTTGATTTTACTATTTTTTAATAATTCATTTTGCAATTTTTTTTTATTTTACAATATTTGAATTTTCAGTTTTTTGATTTTTCATTTCGATTGTTTTCAATTTATGATTTTTCAATTATCCGATTTTTACAGTTATTTTTGAATTTTTAATTTTACAATCTTGCAGTTTTTGATTTTTTAGTTTCTCATTTTTATTGTTTCAATTTTTTGATTTTTTATTTTTCAGTTTCTCTATTTGTCGTTTTTCACTTTTTTGATTTTTGGATTTCTAGCTATACGTAATTTATCTGTTTCTAAATTTTTCGGATTTTCGTTTATTCTTGTTTACACATTTTCGATTTTTTAGTTTTACAATTATGTAATTTTTGATTTTCCGATTTCTCGACTTTTAATGTTTTATATTCTCAATTTTTTATTTTTCAATTTGTCTAATTTTTTCTTTATCAGTTTCTCGAATTTTTGATTTCTAAATACATATTTAAAATTTTTGTTTTTTTTTCAGTTTATTAATTTTTTTCAAAATAGTATTTTTCAATTATCCGATTTTTCAATTTATTTATTTAAAAAAATTAAATTTTTCAAGTTCTTTATTTATCGATTTTTCCAGTTTTACAATTTTAATATTTTCCAATTATGCGATCATTTAATTTTCCGATTTTTCAATTTTCGATTTAGAATTTTTCAATTTTTGATTTCTCAATTTTTTTCTTTATTGAAAAACTGAGAAAGTGAAAACTTCTGAATGAAAAATTCAAATGGGAATCCATAAATTGCAAAGTTGTAAAACTCAAAAAAATTGAAAAGGATTAAAACAGAAATACCGAGAAATCAAAAATTGAAAAACTGAAAAGTCAGAAAATTGAATAATCGGGAAATCCAAACATCGAAAATTAAAAAAATCAAAATTTTGAAAAATCGGGAAAAACGAATCGAGAAATCGAAACATGTATAAATCGAAAAATCACAAAACTTTGAGACATTTTGACTTATTGTTATTTTGATTCAGTAACTTTTTCAATTTATGACCTTTCATATCCACTTTTTTAAATTACCTATTTTAAAATTTTTCGAATTTTAAATTTTCGATTTTTCAATTTTACAATTTTGCAATTTTCGATTTCTCAGTTTCATGATTTCTCGAATTTTAGTGTTTCACTTTCACGATTTTTAATTTTTCAATTTCTTATTTTTTGTTTTTCGGTATCTCAATTGTTCAATTTCCAAAATATTATAATTTTTTGTTTCCTGAATTATTTTTTTTTAATTTATGATTTTTCAATTATCCGATTTTTTAAGTTGTCTATTTCTAAATTTTTGGAATTTTCAATTTTTTGGTGTTTCATTTTGCAGTTTTTTAACTTTGAACTTCGAATTTTTCGGTTTTCCACATTTTCGATTTTTCATTTTACAACTCTGTAATTTTTGATTTTTCAGTTTGCCGATTTTTTAACTTTAAGTTTTTAGATTTTTAATTTTTCAGTTTCTCTATTTTTTGTTTTTCAGTTTCTGAATTTTTCTTCCAAAGTTGTAAACTGAAAAAAATTAAAAATTATTTGAAATTGAAAAATTCAAGTGAAAAAGAAAAATCCAAAATCGAAAAAATTTGAAATAAAAAATGCAAAGTGTAAAAAATGGAAAAATTGCAAATCCAAAAATTGACAAGGAAAATTGAAAAGTCTTAAAATAGAAATATCCAGAAATCGAAAAATTGAAAAATCGAAAACTTGGAAAATGGAAAAATGGAGAGATCCAAAGATCGCAAGATCGAAAAATAGGAAAAAAAGAACCGAAATATTTAAGAATCGAAAATCTCAATAATTTATTAATAAATTGAAAATGTAGGAACTTTTTTAGACGTTTTGCTTTATTGTTCTACTGATTTAGTAACTTTTTCCAATTTATTATGATCTTTCAAGTCCATGTTTTTAAATCATCTATTTTGAAATTTTTGGAACTTTAAATTTTCAGTTTTTCGATTTTTCATTTTACAAGTTTTTAATTTTTAATTTTTTATTTTTCAGTTTTCACGTTTTCGATTTTTCGTTTTACAATTCTGTAATTTTTGATTTCTTAATTTTTCGATTTTTAATTTTTCCATTTCTCTATTTTTTGGTTGCAGCTTTCGGATTTTTAAACTTAATAAAAATGGACAAATCCATATGGAAATCCATAAATTCCCAAAAATCGATAAATGTAAAGTTTAAAAAATGGAACAATTGTAAAATTCAAAAATTGAAGAATCGAAAAATTGAAAAGTTTCAAAACAAACATCGAGAAATCGAAAAATTGAAAAATCGAAAAGTCAGAAAACTGAAAAATCGGGAAATTCAAACATCGAAAGATCGAAAAATCTAAAAATCAAAACACCAAAAAATCGAAAAATTCAAGAATCGAAAATCCAAATAATCGAAAAGCCAAGTCGAAAAATCAAAAACATGAGAACTCGAAATAGAAAATTCGCAAAACTTTTTTAGAGATTCTAATTTATTGTACTTTTGATTTAGTAACTTTTTTCAATTTATGACCTTTCAAATCCATGTTTTTAAATTATCTATTTTAAGATTTTTCGATTTTTACTTCCCGAGCGTAAGCAAAGGAAGTATTGTAATCGAGTCCGTCGGCCGACTCTCTACTTTTACGTTTTCTCGATCTTTCATGACCCCTAGAAGACGAAGAAATAGGTCTCCCATTTCCGTCTGTCTGTCCGTCTGTCCGTCTGTCCGTCTGTCCGTCTGTCCGTCCGTCTGTCCGTCTGTCCGTCTGTCCGTCTGTTGTCACGGATTTTTATTAGACAGATAATCTCCGAAAGTACTCGACCGATTGTTGTAAAATTTTGTACTTATATTAAGAATATCATGTAGATGGTAAAACGCTAACCAAAATTTGTCGAATCATCCCCACCACTAAAGCGATGACGTCACTTCAAAATTGTACATAGTAAATGGGTTTTCAATTGTATAAAATAACATAGTCCTACACATGTAGTTTACAACTCTGAATCGACTTTTCACCCGAAACGTCCAGATTTTTGGAAAAAAAATCAAAATTATAAAACAACATTTTGAAATTTAATTTTTAATCTGCTAACCAGAATGCTTTGAAATGTTGCAGATGTTTTAAGGCTATAAAGAGCATCATAAATCTTTAGTCAAAAAATATTTGCTTATCCCCTCCAAAAACTTGATGACGTCAGCTCAAAAGTTTGTGGAATAAATCATATCTAAAGTGTACAAAATATGATGAGTCTGTACTTGTGAACTATCAGGTAAGTTCCCCATGAACGCGTATTTGCGAAGTGCGAATGTCGCGTATCTCCATTCGACCAATGAAATCCAAGAAAATTTTGTACGCGCGTATCCAAGGTCACTTCGCTTCGAGTTGATTTTACTTTAACTTTTACGCGTAGAAAAGAGGTGCTACGGCGGTCAAATTCGAATGGTTTGCAAACAGAACCACAAATATTTTTCCGGATCAGAATCTCTCATTGTGTGTGACAAATTTGCACTGGCCCCTTGCAATAATCGGTTTGTTACAGTAAAAATAGGTCGCACCCAAAACTGTCTTTCATTTGCTTTCTTTGCTTCCAGATACAAGGCGTACACTTTAATAATTTTTTTTCGTAATGCTATCTTCCTTACTTTATTTTTCCTTTTTCGGTATATAAAACATAATTTCGTGATGAGTTCTTGACACAGCTCTACTGCTATTTTCTTATTATATTTCCCCATTTCGAATTACATATGAAAGTAATGACAGATCTGATGACAACTTGGTTATATTAACTTATATTTTATGCTACGCCTTTACGCGTTTTACGTTTATACGCACGCAATGGGGAAGCTATGTTTAAATGCAAGCTTGCGAATGCCAACGATACGCGTACGCAGATTCGCAAAAACGCGTAGATGGGGAAGCGGCCTCACTCCATTAATATTTTTTGGATTTGCATATACAGGGTGACTCAAAAAAATTAATGAATGCGTAAATATATTTTATTGATTTAATCAGGAACTACAAAACCGAATGCTCTGAAATCTTGCAGATGTTTTAAGGTCATAAAGAGCATAATAAATGTTTAGTCAAAATATATTTGCTTATCCCCTCCAAAAACTTGATGACGTCAGCTCGAAAGTTTGCCGAATAAATCATATCTAAAATGTACAAAATATGATGAGCCTGTACTTGTCATTTATCACTCCATTCATATTTTTTGGATTTGCATATACAGAGTGACTCAAAAAAATTAATGAATGCGTAAATTTATTTTATTGATTTAATCAGGAACTACAAAACCGAATGCTTTGAAATCTTGCAGATGTTTTAAGGTTATAAAGAGCATAATAAATTTTTAGTCAAAATATATTTGGTTATCTTCTACAAAAAACTGATGACGTCAGCTCAAAAGTTTTCCGAATAAATCGTATCTAAAATGTACAAAATATGATGAGTCTGTACTTGTGATTTATCATTCCATTCATATTTTTGGATTTGCATATGCAGGGTGACTCAAAAAAATTAATGAAGGCGTGAATTTATTTTATCGATTTAATCAGGAATTACAAAACCGAATGCTTTGAAATCTTGGGAATATTTTAAAGTTATTATAAGCATGGTAAACTTTTGTTCAAAATGTATTTGTTCATCCCTCCTAAAAAAATTGATGACGTCACCCTTAAATTTTGCTGAATAAATCCTATCTAAAATGCAAACAAAGTTTGTACTTGTGATTTATCACTCCATTCATATTTTTTAGATTTTCTTAAGAGGTGGCTCAAAAAAACTAATGAAGTCAATTTATTTTATTGATTAAAGGCAACACTTATTATTAGTATTACACCCCAACCAACCCAATTTGGTAGACACAAAATTTGTTAAAGGAAAAACTCGGTTGAAACATAAGGGTAGCACGCTTATTTACATCGACTTTAACATTACAGACCTGCATTTGTTTTATGCGTTCACTTGATTCCGCGAATGTGAAATAGACATGTTTATAATCAACCAATTGTGAATTTCACCGTCAAGAATTAAAATAATACCCAATGTTTTATATAATAAGCGGAAGTCGAAGCAATAAAACCGATGGTCGTTTTGTTTACAGTTTCTCTGTTTGACTCTCACGTATGCTGTTACGCCTATCATCTTAAATTAAGAATGTTTATACATACACGATTTTCAGTTGCCTCTGATACGTATACGTGAGTAAATTGTTTCGTTATTTTATTGATTATTACAAATCAATATTCAAAACGACCCAATTCATTTTCCCGAAAATTTGAGAATATAATAATTTTATTCTTAGAATTACACTACATCTATCCCAACTGATATACGTGTCCTTGCAAAAATGTTGATGACGTCATCGCAATTTTTTTTTAAATTCCCACTACAAAAATGTAATGAGAAAAAAACACAATAGGCATGCAGTCGTCAAGTTTCCGACAGCGAGGGAAGTACTGTCTAAACTCTTTAGACCAATTTTTTAATTTTCGGTTTTCCACATTTTTGATTTTAAATTTTTCAATGTCGTAATTTTTTGTTTTACGGTTTCTCAAGTTTTCGATTAATTTTTGTTTCCTCAGTTATTTCTTTTAATTCATGATTTTTCAATTATCCGATTTTTCAAGTTGTCTGTTTCTAAATTTTTGAATTTTTAGCTTTTTCGTTATTCATTGTGAAGTTTTTTAATTTAGAATTTTTAATTTTTCAGTTTTCCACATTTTCGATTTTTCATTATACAATTCTGTAATTTTCTATTTTTAATCTTTCAATTTTTCGATTTTCAATTTTACAATTATTTGTCTATTTTTTGTTTTTCAGTTTCTGGGTTTTTCGATTTCGAGATAATTTAATCTTTTGTTTCCTCAACTATAATTTTTGTAATTCATTATTCTTCAAGTATAGGATTTTCAAGTTATCTTTTCCCAAATTTTTCGAAATTTTGATTTTTTGATTTTTCGTTTTCTCGATTTTCAACGTTCCAGTTTCTCTATTTTTAATTTATAAATTTCCCTAGTTTTCGTTTTTCAGTTTCACGTTTTTCCGATTTTTCAACATATATTTTTATTTTGTGTTTTTTAATTTTTTTTTTTCAATTTATCGATATCCAGGTTGTTAAGTTTTCGATTTCTCAATTTTTCGATTACTAGATATTTTAATTTTTTGTTACCTCAATAATTTTTTTTATTTTTTTCAATTTATGATTTATCGATATCCAATTTTTTGAGTTATCGACTTCGAAATTTTTCGAATTTAATGATTTTTAAAGTTGTCTATTTCTAAATTTTTCGAATTTTCAATTTTTCACTTTTTCAATTTGCATTTTTCTTTTATTTTAAAATTTTCAAATTGCTAAATTTTCGTTTTTTCACATTTTCGATGTTTGAATGTTTGATTTCTTAAATTCTCGATTTTTACTTTTCAGTTTCTTAATTTTATGTTTTTCGGTTTCCCAATTTTTAGATTTCTAGATATTTTAATTTTTTTTCTTTAATAATGATTTTTCAGTTAATCGATTTTTCAAGTCGTCTTTTTCAAAATTTTTTGAATTTTTAGTTTTTCGACTTTTCATTTTGCAGTTTTTATTTTTAAATTTTTCGTTTTTCAGTTTCTGGATTTTTAAACTTGATAAAATGGAAAAAATGTAAATGGAAATCCATAAATTCCAAGGTGTTTAACTGAAAAAATAAAAAATCGGAAGATTGAAAAATTCAAGATTTTGAAAAAACGAAAATCGAAAAATGTATAATTCAAAAATTGAGGAATCGAAAAATTGAAATCTCAAAACAAATACCGAGAAATTGAGAAATTGAAAAACTGAAAAGTCGAAAAACTGAAATCGAATTTTAAATTTTCGGTTTTCCACATTCTCGATTTTTCATTTCGGAATTCTGTAATTTTTGACTTTTTAATTTCTCGATTTTTAATCTTTCAGTTTTTCGTTTTTTAATTTTTCAATTTCTCTGTTTTGTTTTTCAGTTTCCGGATTTTTCGATTTCGAGATAATTCAGTTTTTTCCATTTTTAACAATTATCCGATTTTCAAGTTATCTTTTCCTAAATTTTTCAAATTTTCAATTTTTTGATTTTTTACATTTTCGATTTTTCAGTTTCATAGTTTTGCTTTTTATTTTCTGGATTTTTAACGTTTCAACTTCTCTATTTTTAATTTCTCTAGTTTTTCGTTTTTTAGTTTCACGATTTTCCGATATGTACTTTTATTTTTTGTTTTTTTAATTCTTTTCAATTTATGATTTATCGATATCCAATTTTCTGAGTTACCGATTTCGAAATTTTTCGAATTTTATTCACATTTGGATTTTTCAATTCTACAATTTTGCATTTTTTAATTTCTTAATTCCTCCACTTTTTTAATATTTCAGTTTCTCAATTCCTTTATTTTTTCGTTTTCCAGTTTCTCGATTTTTAGATTTTGTGATTTTTATTTTAAAGCCAAGATTTTCCTTATTTGTGCATAAAAATGTAATTCACACCAATTTAGAGATTTTTTCACGTTTTTTCCAGTAAACTTGAATATTTACCCTTTCGATATTTTCCAACTTTTCAATAATTGTGATAAAAATCAAGCCATATTCATAAACCACAAGTACAGGAATATCTTATTATATAAAATTTAAATAGTATTTACTATGCAAAAATTTTGCGGTGACGTCATCAGATTGTTGGTGGGGATGATTAGGCAAATTTTAGTTAACGCTTTACGATCTATGCGATATTCCTAATACAGATATAAAATTTGACAACAAACAATTCAGTAGTTTTCAGATTATCTAAAATCAACACAAACGATAGATAGACAGACAGACAGACGGAAACGGGAGACCTATTTTTCGTACTCTAGGCTAGCTATTATTAAATCTTGATGTATTAAATCAAGTTTCAATCTTTGTCTAACACGTTCAGATAATATCAAACCTTCGCTTTATCAAATACATTAACGACCTTATTTTCCTGATCTAAATATCACGTTCTCAAAACAGATCAACAAATTAAAATTCAACAATCAAACAAAAACACACAGCCCATATTCCCTCCTATTTACAACATAATTATTATAAAAGCTAGATTTATCCACTACATTGCAATTGACATTGAAACTTTAATTCCTCTACCAGACTGGTTTTTCTACTAGAAATCACGCATTCGCCTCCTGCCTAGTCCATATTCATAAGAAAATGGACTACAAACCCATTATTCAAATACTCACATCTCCCGTAAACGGTGACATAAACAACAAGGCTCGACTCAATTCCCTCGGCCTTGATACCAGAAACGTATAACTTTGAACACTAATCGCCTTAGTAAAATTAACATCTCTCTTACTCTTATCAGTAATGGTAAACGCACAGGCCCCAAAGGCCACCGTTTTATTTTTAACCATCTCGATAATCAACTCTGGAATAAAATTGGTCTCAGCGGTAGCAACCTCCGTCGACCACTCCCTGATAGAATTAGAGGAATTATTATCAGAATCTCGGCCAAACTTCACCACATCCACCGTATACGTAAAGTTCAGAGTATTAGCCAGTTCTTTAACAACGTCGAAAATCAAGCCGGTGTATTCCACGATAGCGCCGGATTCGTTGGTTTTGATGATCTGCCAAGGCGGGTTCTAGAAATTGGTACTAAAGTCAAAAATTTTCACATTTGCGAGGAAAAAGTACGTGGAAGGAAACCAGAGGCAAGTTTCGGCGCCTAAACCCATGGGCGACGTGCGGGAAGAGCTCGTTGGACATGGAGGGACCATCGCTGGGTCGCCATTTACCCACGGACATGAGTTCGGCGCTCGAATCGGAAGAGGAAGCGTTTTGCTGGTACTCTCGGCCCCAGGTGTCCCCGGCCTTCATCAACCAGGAGGTGCAGTTGTCGCATTCGCCGTACTGTAATAAGTAGGTCTACAAAGAGATGTTAGTGTTGGGGTTTTGGGTGGGTGAGGGTGGTACTTTGATGCTTTGGAGGAGGGAGGTTCGTCTGTCGAGTTTGGAGGGTCTGATTGCCTCCCATTCTTCGTCGGACACTTGGCTGGAGGTTTCGAATTCGAGGACGATGGCTTCGTCGAGGGCGCGGGTGAAGCCGGAGAGGATTTCCTCGCAGTGACATTGCAAGCCACCCTAAAATTTTTTTGGTGGTTGGTTTAGTTTTGGGGCTGGATGGCGTCGACTTTCTTGAGAAAAGACACCTGTTATTTTCGATTTATTGAGTTTCGGTTTTTATTTTGAGATGTTTCAATTTTTCAATTTATGATTTTTTGTCCAATTTTTCGGTTTTTATATTTTTTAATTTTCTGGTTTGCCAATTTTTCGATTGTTAAATTTTTCAAATTTTCGGGGTTTCGATTTTTTAAGCTTAATTTTTTAATTTCCCAATTTTTCAATTTTCTTTCTTCAGTTTGAGAATTTTGCACATTTTCGATTTCTCAATTATCCGTTTTTTTCAATGTTTCGTTTTTTTTTTTAATCTCTGGATTACTACTTAATTTCAGGTTTTGGTTTTCAAATTTTTCATTTTTAGATTTTTCAAAATTTCAGTTTGTTTTGTTCTGTTTCTTGAAAAACTGAGAATTAAAAATTGAGAACATGAAAAAATGAAAATCGAGAATTTGAAAAATTAAAAAATTTAAATTCGATAAACTGCAAAATTTTAAAATTGAATAAAACCGCATACTTGAAAAATCGAAGGACTGAAAATTTCAAAAGTTTAAAAATCGTAAAACTGAGAAATGTAGAATTAAAAACACGAAAATTATTTTGAATTATTTCGTTTTGGATTTTTATTCTGCGATTTTTCGATTTCACTTTTTTTATTAGCGATTTTTCCATTTTTCGATTTTCGATTATTCACTTTTTCAAGGTTTCGACTGTTCAAATTTTTGTCCATTTCACAATTTTCAGTTGGTTCAATTTTTAGATTTTTCAATTTATGGTTTTTCGGGTGGTCGATTTTTCAGTTTTTCACTTTTTCACTTTATTGTAAGATTTCTCAATTATCCGATTATTTAATTTTCCGAATTTTCAATTCTCGATTTTAAATTAATCAATTTTGGATTTTTTAGTTTTATGAATTTAGAATTCTCCAAAACTTCAGTTCGAAAATTTGTAAATCGGAAAATTGAAAAATTCAAGTTTTGAAAAATCAAAAATCGAAAAATTTATAATGAAAAACTAAAAAATCCCAAAACTGAAATATTGTAAAATCAAAAATTTGAAAAATTGAAAATAAAAAAACTGTTAAATGGAGAAATCGGAAGATCGAAAGATCAAAAATCGAAAAATCAAATTAGGAAAAACCGAAAAAATGAATCGAAAAATTGAATAAGCAAAAATCTAAATAATCGAAAAATGCGAAAATAATAAACTCGAAAACTCAAAAATTCGAAAAATCCAAACATGAAAATATCGAAAAATTACAGAACTCAAAAATCGTGAAACTGAGAAATCGAAAAATTGAAAAATCCAGAAACTAAGGAATTAGAATTTAATTAAGAAGAAATTAAAACATCAAAAATGAAAAATCTAAAATTTAACAAATCCAAAAATTGAAGAAATGAAAACGTGAAAAATTTTAAAACTGTAATATTGCGAAATCGAAAATTTGCAAAATCAAAAATTCGAAAAAGTGATAAATGGAAAGATCGAAAGATCGAAAAATCGAAAAATCAAATTATCGAAAAATCGAAAAAATTAATCGAAAAATTCAATAATCAAACTCTGAATAATTGAAAAATTCAAAAATAATAAAGTTGAAAAATCGAAAAATCAAAAACTCGAAAAATCGAAAAATTGAAAAAACGAAAGTCGATAAATTGCAAAATTGTAAAACTAGAAAATCGGAAAATTGAATTTAGAAAGAAAAATTGATACATCGAAAAATGTAAAACTTAAAAAATTGAAAAATTTAAAAACCCAGAAATTGTGAAATAGAAAATTTGAAAAATCGAAAAGTCGAAATAATGATAAATTGAGAAATCGAAAGATCGAATGATCGAAAAATCAAATTATCGAAAAATTAAAAAAATGAATTAATCGAAAAATTGGAGAATCAAAATCAAAATCTGAATAGTCGATAAAATTCGAGAATAATAAAATCGAAAACTCGAAAAATCAGAAACTCGAACATCGAGAAATCGAAACATGAAAAATTCGAAAAATTGCAAAACTGAAAACTGGAAAAAATGAAAAATCGAAAAACTGAAATATCGAAAAACTGCGAGAGAAATTAAAATATCGAAAAATGAAAAATCTAAAATTTAACAAAACTAACAATTGAAAAATCCAGAAATTGAAAATCGAAAAATTGAAAAATTCAAGTTCTGAAAAGTCGAAAAGTTCAAAAACTGATAAATTGACAAATCGTCAAGTGGAAAAATCGAAAATCGAAAAATCAAATTGACGAAAAATCGAAAAAATGAATCAAAAAATTTTAAAATCAAAAATCTGAATAATCGCAAAATTCGAAAATTATTAAAAAACTCGAAAAGTCGAAAATTAAAACTCAAAAGAACGATTAATCGATAAACCGAAACATGAAGAAATCTAAAAATTGCAAAACGGAAAAATCGAAAAATTGAAAAATCTAAAAATTGAAATATCGAAAAACTGAGAGATAAATTAAAACATCGAAAAATGAAAAATCAAAAATCTGAATAGTCGATAAAATTCGAGAATAATAAAATCGAAAACTCGAAAAATCAGAAACTCGAACATCGAGAAATCGAAACATGAAAAATTCGAAAAATTGCAAAACTGAAAACTGGAAAAGATGAAAAATCGAAAAATTGAAATATCGAAAAACTGCGAGAGAAATTAAATATCGAAAAATGAAAAATCTAAAATTTAACAAAACTAAAAATTGAAAAATCCAGAAATTGAAAATCGAAAAATTGAAAAATTCAAACTCTGAAAAGTCGAAAAGTCCAAAAACTGATAAATTGACAAATCGAAAAATGGAAAAATCGAAAATCGAAAAATCAAATTGACGAAAAATCGAAAAAATGAATCAAAAAATTTAAAAATCAAAAATCTGAATAATCGCAAAATTCGAAAATTATTAAAAAACTCAAAAAGTCGAAAATTCAAAAACTCAAAAGAACGATTAATCGATAAACCGAAACATGAAGAAATCTAAAAATTGCAAAACGGAAAAATCTAAAAATTGAAAAATCTAAAAATTGAAAAATCTAAAAATTGAAATATCGAAAAACTGAGAGATAAATTAAAACATCGAAAAATGAAAAATCAAAAATCTGAATAGTCGATAAAATTCGAGAAATCGAAACATGAAAAATTCGAAAAATTGCAAAACTGAAAACTGGAAAAAATGAAAAATCGAAAAATTGAAATATCGAAAAACTGCGAGAGAAATTAAAATATCGAAAAATGAAAAATCTAAAATTTAACAAAACTAAAAATTGAAAAATCCAGAAATTGAAAATCGAAAAATTGAAAAATTCAAGTTCTGAAAAGTCGAAAAGTCCAAAAACTGATAAATTGACAAATCGTAAAGTGGAAAAATCGAAAATCGAAAAATCAAATTGACGAAAAATCGAAAAAATGAATCAAAAAATTTAAAAATCAAAAATCTGAATAATTGCAAAATTCGAAAATTAATAAAAAAGTCGAAAAGTCGAAAATTCAAAAACTCAAAAGAACGATTAATCGATAAACCGAAACATGAAGAAATCTAAAAATTGCAAAACGGAAAAATCGAAAAATTGAGAAATCTAAAAATTGAAATATCGAAAAATTGAGAGATAAATTAAAACATCGAAAAATGAAAAATCTAAAATTTAACAAAACCAATAATTGAAAAATGAAGAATCAAAAACCTGATTAATCGTAGAATTCGAAAATAATAAAGGCTAAAAGTCGAAAAATAAAATCAAAAACTCGAAAAATCCATAAATTGAGAAGTCGAAACACGAAAAAATCGAAAAATTCCAAAACTAAAAACTGCGAGAGAAATTAAAACATCAAAAATCTAAAATTTAACAAAACCAAAAATTGAAAAATTGAGAAACTGAAAATCGAAAAATTAAAAAATTCAAGTTTTGAAAAATCTAAAAGTCAAATAACTGATGAATTGGTTGTTGTCCTCTAAAGGGGATGTTTATATTCTGTTGGACAATAAATCTATTTATTTTGTTATTTATTTATTTATTTATTTATTTATTTATTTGTTTATTTGTTTATTTTATTTATTTTGTTATTTATTTATTTATTAATTAATTTATTTATTTATTCATTTATTATAAAGTGAGAAATTGAAAGATCGAAAGATCAAAAAATTGAAAAATCAAATTGATGAAAAATCGAAAAAAGTTTTTATTAATTTAAAATTATTGAAAAACTGAACAAATGAATCGAAAAATTGAAGAATCAAAAATCTGAATAATCGAAAAATCGAAACAGGAAAAAATCTAAAATTTACTAATGCAAAAATTGAAAGATCGAGAAAATCGATAAACTGAAGAGTTGAAAAATCGAAAATCCCAAAAAATAAATTGCAAAACTGTATAAAACTGAAAAGACAGAATAATGGAAAAATTGAAAAATTCAAGAAAGATGGAAAATCGAAAGGTTTAGAATGAAAAATCGAAAAATGGAAACAGTTTAAAAACCAAAAATTGAAGAAATGAAAAATTCAAAACTCTAAAACGAAATATTGTGAAATCGAAAATTTGAAAAATCGAAAAGTCGAAAAACGGACCAATTGAGATATCGAAAGATCAAAAGATCGAAAAATTGAAAAATCAAATTATCGAAAAATTGAAAAATCAAATTATCGAAAAATCTTAAAAAATGAACTGAAAAATTGAAGAATTAAAAATCGAAAAATTCTAAAATTAATAATAAAGTCGAAGAGTCGAAAAATCAATAACTCGAAAAATCGATAAATCGAGAAATCGAAACATGAAAAAATCGAAAAATCCAAAAATTGAAAAATCGAAAAATCGAAGAATTGAAAAATCGAAAAATGCATAAACTGCAAAATTGTAAAGATGAAAAAAACGAAAAATTGGAGCATTGAAAAATTCAAGTTTTAAAAAATCGAAAATTGTTTTTTCAATTTGTTTTTGAATATTTTGATTTCTTTATTTTCGATTTTCCAGTTTTTCAAGGTTTCGATTTTACAGTTTTTAGTTTTGTCTACTTTGAAAAGTTTGAAATGTTTTAATTTTTCGATTTGTTAATTTTTCATATTTTCGGTTGTTCAATTTTACAGCTCGTTTGGATTTTTCGATGAAAAATTTTTCAATCTCTCATTTTTTTTTTGTTTTTTCGTATTCTAGATATTTTAATTTTTTGTTTTGTTGTTTTCATTTATTATATAAATTGTTTCAATTTATAATATTTCAATCATCCGATTTTTTAAATTATCAATTTTTATCCCAATTTTCCGATATTTAAATTTTTCAAAATTTTAATTTAGTTGTTCAGTTTCTATTGAAAAACCGAAAAATCGAAAAAAAAGAAAAATCGAGAAATTCCAAATTTATAAAACTGAACAAACGAGAAATTGAAAAATCGACACACTGAAAAATTCATGTGTTGAATAACCGAAAAATCGATATATAATTTTTTAATTTGTCGATTTCCATTTTCAGAGTTTCCATTCTTCAATATTTCGATTTTACAATTTCCAGTGTTTAAAATTTTCAATTTTCACTTTTTCGATTTCTAGATATTTTGAAAACTTGGAAGATTGTGAAAATGAAAATAACCGGAAAATTTTAAAAATGAGAAAACGAAAAAATTCAAAATTTGAAAAACCGAAAAATTAAGTTAATTATTGAAGCAAATTTTTGTGTTGGTAGTTCTGATTTATTGGCATCCATGCTAGTGTGTCAGTTCACAATTGTCAATTTTGACATAAGTACGCCTAACAAACGTATTGATTGGTTAAGACGTTGACAGTTGTCATAAATGTCACTTTGACAATCAGGTATGCCATCATAAAATTTTAAATCGATTGCCAACTTGACAAAAAAAAACACAAACAGCATGGTCACTCGGTTTATAGACGAAACAAACTCTCAAAGAAAACAAACAGAGAGTGTTCAAAACACAGGAAAAACAATGTTTTTTCTCAAGAAATTCAACATCGTAGGTACGTTTTATCTATCACTTTAAGTACTAAAAACGTTAAAGACTCACAGTACAAGTACTACTCTTCACCGTGTTGTTATACAAGAAGGACACATTGTCACCTTCAGACAGCAACTGCTTAAACCTCTTTATATCCTTATATTTAAAATTAGTATTCGAAATGACGTACAGCCACTGATTTTTCGTATCCGCGAGCTTCAAAGACTTCGCATATTCCATTATTAGTTCCACAATTTCGAAAGCTACAATCGCTAGAAAATTTCTACCCACGGTTTTGATGGACACTGAGGAAAGTATATCTTTTATGGACGCCCGTATCACGTTCATGGGAGTTCTTCTAGTTTCGAGTTTAAGAAGTGACAATGCAGCTGTATTGACTCTCAGGTTTGAAGAGTCGGTTGTCAGGGATTTGACAACACGAGTCGCTAAGTCCCTACCTGGTACCAAAGCGATATTGTTAAGAGTTAACAGGTTGAAAGTTGTACTCACTGAGGGTGTCGTCATACACCACAACTGCTGACTTCCAGTTGTAGATTTTTGTGGTTCTGAGATCTAACAAGAGTTGTGGTAACTCCTCACCTTTGGTTATTAAGGGTACTGTGATGGCTTTGTCTGGTGGTAACCTTGGACAATCTGTTTCTGTGAAACTTAGTCTATAGAAGGGTTAAATTAAAACGAAGACAATTTTTACCAGAAATGGCCATATGTAGTAGATGTTGATCTTCTGCTGCCCGAAAAAGTCGCCACGTGTCCGAGCAAGAAGCCACACTCAAAATAGCCATAATATCTACAGTTGACACTTAGAACGGTTAAGTACATGCCTCCGAACTTACCCTTTTTCAAGCTGATACTAGTCCAAGAGTAATACTGGATGTTGACACCCCCATGCTTCAAAATTTCTCTTTTAGCGAAGACCAAATACGACTCGATTGCGTGTTTTATGGGTGAATATTCGCTCCCCAGATACTCTCTATCGATAATCACAGCTTAAACAACCCCTTTGTTAAACAACCCCAATTTATATCTTCTAATCTAACATACCTAAAGTGGCGTTGGTTGTCAGAAGCGAGGGAAAATTGTCACCCCGGGTCACAGCACACACGAACGCGGCTCCCACGACAAGTTCGGGCCACATTTTCGAAAAATCATATTCGTCAAAAACACCTGTCTTTATATACGAAAAGTAATTTCTCGAGGTCCATATTAAAACTAATTTCATACCGATTGGACGTAAATCTTACATGTGCCACAGGTGTGCGGCATATGGACTGAATTCCATGTTGAAGCAACGATGAACGAAAGGTCAGTGCTTAAGAATTCATGAGGGAAATCCATCAAGGAAGTAGTTCAGCAGAACGCATCCTTGACGGGGTTGATTGACTTTTTTTGGTCAAGGCGGGGCGTGATTATTTCATTTGCTGGTCTAGATTTCGTGGGAATTGGTTTAAAGTGGGGGTTCGAAATGTTTTCTGGGATTTATGAATACAGTACTGCTTAAAAAAATAAAGTGGTTTCCTGTGAATTTGTTGTTAAAATGCAAGTTACAATTTGTTTTTTAAATTGAATAAGTGTCTTCTCTGACCCTTTTTATTTTTCGAGTTAGTGGAATAATTTTGAATGGGCTTGAAGAGATGATCTGTTTCATTGGAAATTTTCTCTGAATTCCGGCTCTGCATTTACTTGTTTTTACTGTATATTTTCAAATAGTGGGAAAAACACAACTTTATCCAGCCTTCTCTTTAATTTTTCGAATTAATAATGTACGTTCAAATTGGTTTCGTATATATAATGTTTATTTTATAAATTATGCTTCCATTAAATAAGTGAGTATATGCAACCAACCATACACATTATTAAGCCAGACGTGAAAGCAATCTGTGAACAATTTTCTAAAAGTTCCTGATTCGTTTATCGTGTTTTTTTTTTGATACTAATTTTTTGATTTTGAAAGAGTTTGTGGCTTTTCAGGGGGTTTTCCAAATATTTCACTTTTCGGTTCAATTGTTTTTATGGAAATTTTGATTTTTCGAGTCTTCACTTTAGAATTTTTTTATTTTTCAATTTTTCATTTTCTCGATACTGAAAAATCGAAGAAACGAAATACTGAAAAACAGAAAAAAATCGAGAAATTGAAGAATAAAACAGATATGAAAAAATGTAAAATTAAAAAATTGGAAAATCAAAACTTGAAAAATCGAAAAAGTGAATCTCGAAAAATTGTAAGATAGAAACGTGTGAAAAAATTTAAAAATTGAATCATTTGGAAATCATAAAAGCGAAAAAAAAATTCAAATTCAAATACCGGATATGTAATCGAAAAATTGAAACACGAAAAATAGTACACGGAAACATTGAAAATTTGAAAAATCAATAAATTGAAAAACAAAAATATCAAGAAATCGAAAAATCAAAAAACTGAATATTTGAAGTATTGTAAAATTGAAAAGTGGAAAAATCTGAGAAATTAAAAAATCGGATAATTGAAAAGCAAACATTCAAAAACCGAAAAAATGAAAAATCGGGAAACTGGTAAATCAAAACTTGAAAAATCGAAAATTGAATATCGAAAAATTCAAAAATAGAAACATTGAAAAAATTTAAAAATTGAATAATTTAGAAATCGAAAAAGTGAAAAAAAATAGAAATTGAAACACCGGATATGTAATTAAAAAATTGGAAAAATGAAACACGAAAAATAGTAAATCGAAACACTGAAAAATTGAAAAATCAAAAAATTGAAAAACCGAAAAATTTAAAGATACTTTAAAAAGCGGATACTTGAAAAATCAAAAATTTAATAATGAAAAATTAAAATACGTAGAAATTGAAAACCCGAAAAATTATAAAATCAAAAAATTGAAAAACTAAAAAAATGAAAAATAGAAAAAGCGAAAATTTAAAAAATTAAAAATCGAAAATTGAGGAATCGATAAATTGAATAATCGAAAAAATCAAATCTTGAGATCTTGAATAATTGTCTTCGAAACATCAAAAAAATCAAAAAATTGAGAAATGGAAAAATTGAAAAATCAGAAATTCAGAATTTCCAAAAATTGAAAAATCCTCCCTGACCAATCGAAAAGTTAAGAAATCGAAACAAGAAATCGACAATTCGAAAAATCTAAAAATAAAAAATTCTAGAAATCGAAAAACTTACCGAAAAATAAAAAAAATTATCCCAAAAGTTGAAAAATCGAAAATTTGAATAATCAAAAATTCCTAAAATCGAAAAGTAAAAAACGTATTATCTAGAAATTGAGAAATTGAAAAAACCGAAATTTTCAAAAATTAAAAAATCGAAAACCCGAAAAATTGAAAAGTCAAAAATTCTTTTAATTAAAAATGTGAAAATTCCAAAAATTGAAAATTAAAATCTGAGAAATCGATACATTGAATAACTGAAAAAAATTCGAACATCAAGATTTGAAATAATTGAGATCGAAACATCAAAAAATCAAAAAATTTAAAAATTGAGAAACAGGTCAATTGAAAAACCGGAAATTTTAAATTTCGAAAAATTGAAGAATCGTCCTCGAGCAACCAAAAAATTGAGAAATCGAAACAAAAAACTGACATTTCAAAAAATCGAAAAATGAAAAAATCTAGAAGTCGAAACATCAACAAATCGAAAAATCAAAAAAATAAATTCAAAAATTGAAGAATCGAAAATCTGAATAATCGAAAATTCCATAAACTGAAGCCGAATAACTGATAAACCAAAAAATGTGCATCTCTGTTTTTTTTTTGTATTTTTTATATTATTATTTATTAAATTTGACAAGTCTAATGAATGCAATTGTATGCAGCCCTTACAGACAATAAATTATTATTATTATTATTATTATAATTATTATAAATTAAAAAAATCAGAAAAGTGAAAAATTGAAAAATTGAAAAGTCGAAAAATTAAAACATCGAGGCATCGAAATATTGGAAAATCAAAAAATCAAAACGTAAATAAATCGAAAAAATAAATCAAAAATTAAAGAATTGAAAACCTGAATAATCGAAAAATCAAAAACTCGAGAAATCGAAACATGAAAAAATCGAAAAATTGAAAAATCACAAAACTGAAAGATCGAGAAAACGAAAAATTGAAAAGTTAAAAAATGAAAAAATCGAAATATCGAAAATTGGAAAATCAAAAAATTCAAAAAATAAATCGAAAAATTAAAGAATTGAAAACGGGACTAATCGGAAAACCATTAAGTCAAAAACCTGAACAAAATCGAAAACATTGAAAAACGCAAAACTTAATTACAAAAAATTGAAAGATCGAAAAATTCATACCTCGAGATCGTGAATAATTGAGATCGAAGTATACAAAAAAACAAAAAATTAAGAGAGAAGTTGAGAAATGGGAAACTTGAAAAATCGAAAATTTAAAATGTCATTTCGATAAAAGAAAAACCGTTTCGAGCAACCGAAAGATTGAGAAATTGAAACAAAAATCGACAAATCGAAAAATCTAAAAACTGAAAAATGTAGAAAAAAAATTTGATAATCGAAAAGTAAAATACATATCTAGAATTTGAAAACAACCGAAATTTTCAAAAACCAAAAAACCGAAAAATCAAAAAAAATGAAAAAATGAAAAATACAAATTCTAAAGATCAAAAAATTAAAAAATCAGATAATTTAGAGTTGGAAAAACTGAAAAATCGAGAAGTCGAAACATCAAAAATGGGAAAATTGGAAAATCGAAAAATCAAAAAATTGAAAAATCCAAAAATTTAGAATTGGAAAAACTGAAAAAATCGAGAAATCGAAACATCAAAAAATGGAGAAATTAGAAAATCGAAAATTGAGAAATCGATAACTGAATAATCGAAAAAATTCGAACATCGAGATATCAAATAAATGAGATCGACACAAAAAAATCACAAAATTGAAAAATTGAGAAATGGAAAAATTGAAAATTTCGAAAAATTGAAAAATCGTCCTCGAGCAACCGAAAAATTAAGAAACCGAAACAAAAAATACTCAAATCGAAAATCAAAAAATTGAAAAATCTGGAAGTCCAAACATCAACAAATCGAAAAATCAAAAAAATGAATCCAAAATTTGAAGAATAGAAAACCTGAAAAATCGTAAAATCGAAAACCCGAAAAGTCAAAAAATAAAAACCCTGAGAAATTAAGAAATCCAAAACTCGAAGTCGAATAACTGATAATCGAAAAATGGAAAAATCACAAAATTGAAAAATTGAGAAATGGAGAAATTGAAAAATCAAATTTAAAATTTCGAAAAATTGAAAAAAGAAAAACTGAGAAATGTAGAAATCGAAACATCAAAAATTTGATAATCGAAAAGTAAAATACATATCTAGAAGTTGACAAATTGAAAAAAAACGAAATTTTCAAATACCAAAAAATCAAAAAACTGAAAAAATGAAAAATATAACATCTAAAGATTAAAAAAAATTAGAGTTGGAGAAACTGAAAAATCGAGAAGCCAAAACATCAAAAATTCAAAAACCGAAAAATAAAAAAATTGAAAATGTGAGAAATCCAAAAATTTAGAATTGGAAAAACTGAAAAATCAAGAAGTCGAGACATCAAAAAATTAAGAAATTACCAAATCGAAAATTGAGAAAACGATAAACTGATTAATCGAAAAAAATTCGAACATCGAGATTTCAAATAATCGAGATCGACATATCAAAAAACTGAAAAAATTGGAAATGGAAAAACTGAAAAATTTAAAATCTAAAATTTCGAAAAATTGAAAAATCGTCCTCAAGCAACCGAAAAGTTGAGAAATCGAAACAAAAAATACTCAAATCGAAAATCAAAACATTGAAAAATCTAGAATTCGAAACATCAAAAAATCGAAAAATCAAAAAAATTAATCCATAATTTGAAGAATCGGGAGAGGAATCGAAACATTGAAAATTAAAAAATTGCAAACTTGAAAAATCGAAAATTTGAATGTAAAATTGCAAATGGAAAAATGAAGAAATAAATTAATGGAAAATTCAAAATCTGAAAAATCAAAAAACTCCAAATCGAAAGATCGAAAAATTAAAATATCCAGAAATTGAAAAATTCCAAAATTTAAAACTCGAATAATTCCAAATTGAAAAATTGTAAAACCAAAAATTAAAATAAAAAATGGACAAACTGAGAAAAATCGAAAAATACGTCCAAAGAAAAATTAATTCATCGGATGTAATCACTGTCGTTTTACGTATTACAACAATACATAAAATAAAAAATATTAAAATCAATACTTATAGACCTCAACAGTAGCAAAACCCAATCTTTATTTCATGTTTATTCCCCATTATTTCAAAATATTATTTCTGTATACTCATACAGGGAAAATAAAACGCCAAAAAATACTAAAACTTTTATTTCTCCTATAACATAACCACCTTAACTCGTACTAAAAACATCTCCTACAACTTTCGTTAACCGCTCCAGGAAAACCTCATCCAAATTGAGTTCCTTATGAAGCCTCACCGCCAACGAGTTGGCCTCCGGAAATCCACAATCCGTACAATACTGTATACAATCCTGAAAAAAAACCAACATAACCCACAAACTTACCCAAAAACAAACTCACAATTCCCCTCGACGGCACTTTTTCCTCAATACACAAATCCACAAAAAGTGCCAGCGCCTCAATTTTTGGAACCCCAGCAATCGTCTGCTGATTTTTATCAAGCCTGTCCATCACTTTACAAGCCTTCTCAAAATCTTTTTGCCTCACTAACAGAATCAAAATCTTTCCTAGTAAATCTCCAGTCAAACTAAAAACAAAATCCTCAAATTAAAAAATTCGACAAATATTCTTTTTTTCCTGTTTTTTAATTGACACTAATTTTTGGATTTTCAAATATTTTGCGACTTTTCAGTGAGTTTTTCAAATATTTCACTTTTCAATTTTTCGAATTTTTAATTTTTCAGGTTTACGAGTTTTCCACTGAAATGCTGAAAATTTGAAAAATGGAAGAAATGAAAAACCAAAAATTAAAAAAGGGGAATGGAAAGAGTGTGAAAGTACAAAACTGAAAAATCTAAAAATCAAAATATCAAGAAATTGAAAAATCGAAAAACTGACAAAATAAAAATCGAGAAATTGAAAAATTGAAAAAATTTAAAAATTGAATAATTTAGAAATCGAAAAAGTTAAAAAAATTTTTTTGTAATTAAAAAATCAAAAAATTGAAACACGAAAAATAGTAAATGGAAACACTGAAAAATAAAAAAATCAAAAAATTGAAAAACCGAAAAATTGAAAAAATAGATACATTAAAAAGAGGATATTTGAAAAATCAAAAATTTAATAATGGAAAATTAAAATATCTAGAAATTGAGAAATTGAAAAACCCGAAAAACTATAAAATCAAAAAATTGAAAAACTGAAAAAAATGAAAAATAGAAAATTCAAAAAATTGAAAAGTCGGAAAGTAGAAATCGAAATATCAAAAATGGAAAAATCGAAAATTTGAGAAATGGAAAAATTAAAAAATCGAAAATTTAAAATTCCGAAAAATCCTCCCCGAGCAACCGAAAAATTGCTTCAACAAACCGAAAAAACGAAAAGTCGAACAATTAAAAATCGAAAATTGAGAAATCCATAAATTGAATAATCGAAAGAACTAAAATCTCGAGATCTTGAATAATTGACATCGAAACATCAAAAAAATAAAAAAACAAAAAATTGAGAAATGGAATCAGAAATTTTGAATTTCGAAAAATTGAAAAATCGTCCCCAACCAACCGAAAAGTTAAGAAATCCAAACAAGAAATCGACAAATCGAAAAATCTAAAAATAAAAAAATCTAGAAATCGAAAAACTTATCGAAAAATCAAAAAAATTAGCACAAAAGTTGAAAATTCGAAAAATCCTAAAATCGAAAACCCGAAAAATCATAAAATTGAAAAATCGAGATATCGAAACATCGAAAATCGAAAAACCAAAAGCAAAAAATCGAAAAATTATGGAATCGAAAATGAATAATCAAAAAGTCGAAAAGTCGGAACAGCAAGAATCGAAAAATTGAAAAATCGCGAAAGTGAATTAATGAAAAATTGAAAATCGACAAATCGAAAAATTGAATTGCCCAGAAATTGCAACATAGAAATATTGAAAAATCGAAAAATAAAAAAAATGAAAAATCGAAAAAATTAAAAAATACATCAATTAACAAAGTTTATATTTGAAAATTCAAAAATTGATAATCGAAAATTAAAAACGTATCTAGAAATTGAGAAATTGAAAGAACCGAAATTTTCAAAACTCAAAAAATCGAAAAGTCAAAAATTTTTTCAATTGAAAATTTCAAAATTCAAAATCTGAGAAATCGATACATTGAAAAATTGAAAAAAATTCGAATATCGAAATCTGAAATAATTCAGATCGAATCGAAAAATCGATAAATTGAAGTCGAATAACTGATAAACCAAAAAATTTAAAAAATCACAAAAGTAAAAAATTGAAAAGTCTAAAAATTAAAAAATCGAGATATTGAAATATCGGAAAATCAAAACGTAAATAAATCGAAAAAATAAATCAAAAAATTAAGGAGTTGAAAACCTGAATAATCGAAAAATCAAAAACCCGAGAAATCGAAACATGAAAAAATCGAAAAATTGAAAAATCGCAAAATTAAATAATCAAAAAATTGAAAAATGGAGAAATCGAAAAATTCATATCTCGAGATCTTGGATAACTGAGATCGAAACATAAAAAAAACTAAAAAAATAATAAATCTAGAAATTATGAAAAATGGTCCTCGAGCAACAGAAAAATTGAGAAAACCCGAAAAGTTGAAAAATCAAAACCCTGAGAAATTGATAAATCGAAAAATTAAAACACGAAAAATAGTAAATGGAAACACTGAAAAATTGAAAAATCAAAAAATTGAAAAAACAGATACATTAAAAAGCGGATTTTTGAAAAATCAAAAATTTAATAATGGAAAATTAAAATATCTAGAAATTGAGAAATTGAAAAACCCGAAAAACTATAAAATCAAAAAATTGAAAAACCGAAAAAAATGAAAAATAGAAAAATCGAAAATTTGACAAAATTAAAAAGTCGAAAAGTAGAAATCGAAATATCAAAAATGGAAAAATCGAAAATTTGAGAAATGGAAAAATTAAAAAATCGAAAATTTAAAATTCCGAAAAATCCTCCCCGAGCAACCGAAAAATTGCTTCAACAAACCGAAAAAACGAAAAGTCGAACAATTAAAAATCGAAAATTGAGAAATCCATAAATTGAATAATCGAAAGAAATAAAATCTCGAGATCTTGAATAATTGACATCGAAACATCAAAAAAATAAAAAAACAAAAAATTGAGAAATGGAATCAGAAATTTTGAATTTCGAAAAATTGAAAAATCGTCCCCACCCAACAGAAAAGTTAAGAAATCGAAACAAGAAATCGACAATTCGAAAAATCTAAAAATAAAAAAATCTAGAAATCGAAAAACTTATCGAAAAATCAAAAAAATTAGCACAAAAGTTGAAAATTCGAAAAATCCTAAAATCGAAATCGAAAAACCAAAAGCAAAAAAATCGAAAAATTATGGAATCGAAAATGAATAATCAAAAAGTCGAAAAGTCGGAACAGCAAGAATCGAAAAATTGAAAAATCGCGAAAGTGAATTAATGAAAAATTGAAAATCGACAAATCGAAAAATTGAATTGCTCAGAAATTGCTACATAGAAATATTGAAAAATCGAAAAATAAAAAAAATGAAAAATCGAAAAAATTAAAAAATAGATAAATTAACAAAGTTTATATTTGAAAATTCAAAAATTGATAATCGAAAATTAGAAACGTATCTAGAAATTGAGAAATTGAAAGAACCGAAATTTTCAAAACTCAAAAAATCGAAAAGTCAAAAGTTTTTTCAATTGAAAATTTCAAAATTCAAAATCTGAGAAATCGAGACATTGAAAAATTGAAAAAAATTCGAACATCGAAATCTGAAATAATTCAGATCGAATCGAAAAATCGATAAATTGAAGTCGAATAACTGATAAACCAAAAAATTTAAAAAATCACAAAAGTAAAAAATTGAAAAGTCTAAAAATTACGTAAATAAATCGAAAAAATAAATCAAAAAATTAGGGAGTTGAAAACCTGAATAATCGAAAAATCAAAAACCCGAGAAATCGAAACATGAAAAAATCGAAAAATTGAAAAATCGCAAAATTAAATAATCAAAAAATTGAAAAATGGAGAAATCGAAAAATTCATATCTCGAGATCTTGGATAACTGAGATCGAAACATAAAAAAAACTAAAAAAATAATAAATCTAGAAATTATGAAAAATGGTCCTCGAGCAACAGAAAAATTGAGAAAAATCAAAACCCTGAGAAATTGAAAAATCACAAAACTGAAAGTTCGAAAAATCGAAAAATTGAAAAGTTAAAAAATTAAAAAATCGAAATATCGCAACATTGGAAAATCAAAAAATTCAAAAAATAAATCGGAAAATTAAAGAATTGAAAATGAGAATAATCGGAAAATCAAGAGAAACATGAAAAACCGAAAAATTGAAAAATCGAAAATTTAAAATTTCATTTCGATAAAAGAAATATAGTTTCGAGGAACCGAAAAATTGAGAAATTGAAACAAAAATTCGACAAATCGAAAAATTGAAAAATATATAAATCAAAACATCAACAAATTCGAAAAATCAAAATATCTAAAAATAAAAAAAAGTGACTCCAAAAGTTGAAGAATCGAAAATATGTATAATCGAAAAATCGTAAAATCGAAAACTCGAAAAGTCAAAAAATAAAAACCCTGAGAAATTAAGAAATCCAAAAATCGAAGTCGAATAACTGATAAATCGAAAAATTGAAGAAAGATTGAGGAATTGAAACAAAAAACAAATCGAAAAGTAAAATACATATCTAGAAATTGAGAAAAACCGAAATTTTCAAAAACCAAAAAATCGAAAAACCAAAAAACTGAAAAATAAAAAATTTAATTCAAAGAATTGAAAAAAAAAATCAAAAAATTTAGAGTTGGAAGTGGGTGTCATACTTTAGCCTGTGAACTCGACCTTCCTCTTCATTTATCGACCTCGAGTAGATGTCCCAGGCGATTTTTGCAAAGCTTTCGGTCAATTCGGGGGTCACCAACTGCTCGTTGTTCACCATGGTGTTTAAAATACAGTCCACTAAATTCTCACGATGTGATTGGTCAAAAACGATTAAGTCAGACCACAGCTTTGGTATGTATTCGACGGCTCCGTTGACGTCGACTTGGTTTAAAACCTCAGCCATTATTCCCACTTCAGGGACGTAAATGTGGGGCACGAGCTTAAAGTAAACGTCATTCATGAACTCTTCTAGTGGTAGATTATCGCAAAGTAGCGCGAAGTAGTGGCGGCTAAAACAGTGACTTAAGTTAAGTTAACTTAAGTCAAGTGAATTGCACTCACAAATAAACTGATTCTTTGTAGGAATCCCCAATGAGGTTATAGTTGTCACCATAATTCAACAATTTATCGATACGTCTGGCCAAAGCGACATCGTTCAAGTGGTGTCTGGCCATCTCCATAGCAGTAACAAAAAAATGAGTGTCTTTTAAATCGCGAATTTGGTGCTCTTTATCTTCCAGGTGGTTGATAATGTCGTGTAGAATGGTACTCACTGGCCCTCCTACAACGCGTTACCTATTTACACTTTCACGTCGCTTTTTACCGACAAACTCACGTTCTTTGCAAAACGTTAGAATAACGTAGTACCAAGACCCCAACGACGGCTCGATCCCCAAATTTTTAAACTCAGCGAGAGTCTGAAGGACATACTCTTTGGCCCGTTTGGGGTTCCCCATGAAGCTTAAAGCGTACAAAATGGCGTTGAGTGTTCCCAGGTTGGGTTTCAAGTTGCTGTTTTTCATTTGGGTGAGGAAATCTGCGAGCAAGGACCATCGCATGTCGAAGTTCTCTTTGATCATGTTGACTGATTGAATTAGAGAGTTGTAGGTGTTGGTGTTAAGGGGGATGTTGGATTTTTGGGCTTCCTCGAATAGCTGGACAGCTCGGTCCATTTGGCGGTACTTCGACATTCCTTGGATTATCGCGCAGTACGACTCTGGAGTTTTTGGGGTCATTTTTGTGAAAATTTGTTCCGCTAAGTCGCCGTCTCTGTGGGTAAAAACGGGTTTTTGGGGTATGTTGTTTGAAATTGCCGGGTTTGTTACGATTTTTTTTATTGGTCGCAGCTGAATCAACCAATCGCGACAAAGAATACCGGCGCCAAATTCAAATCCGCGCATTTCTTTTTTAATGGAACAGATTTTAAAATTTTTCAGTTTCGCCTTTGAATTTTCGATTTGTCGATTTGTCAATTTTTCAAATTTGAGTTCCCTTTTTTTTGAAAAATTGAGGAAATGAAAAATTAAATATCAAGAATTTGAACAATTAAAAATCTAAAAATTTTAGATCGAGAGACTGAAAAATTGTAAAATTAAAAAATCGAAAAATAAGGGAAAATCGAAAAGTTAAAAATCGAGAAACTCAAAAACTGGAAAACTGAAAAATTTTAAATTAAAAAAAGCAGCAACACTATAAGATTCAAAAATTGCAAAACTGTAATACTAAAAAATACAATTGCAAATCGAAAACTTGAAAAATCCAAAATTAGCAAAATAGTAAAAGTGAAAAATCGAAAAATTGGAAATTAAATAAAAAAAAATGAAAATCGAAAAATTAATAATCAAGAAATTGAACAATTGAAAAAACAAAAAATTATATATTTAAAAAAAATTCTAAAATGGCAAAATCTTAAAATCGGAAAAATCAAAAAACAAAAATTGCAAAAACTTCTGTTTTTCGTAATTTTATTTTTTTGACTTCAGACTTTTCTAAATTTTATTTGTTTTTTATATTGAAAAATTGATAATAAAAAAAAGAAAATTGCAAAATTGTGAAGCTGAAGAAAAATAAAAATTTCAAAATTGTAAAACTAAAAAATCGAAAAACTCTAGAATCGAAAATTCAAAATCCAAAAATTAAAAATTGAAAATTAGAAAAATTCTAAATCGGAAAATTGAAGAAACGTAAGATTAGAAACCGACAAAGAGAAATATCGATTTCTGAATTTCCCAATTATTTCATTTTTTTGTTTTCTTAATTTTGCACATTTCAGTTTGTTCTTTTGTTGAAAAACTGAGGAAATGAAAAATTAAAATTCAAGAATTTGAAAAATTAAAAATATAAAAATTTTAAATCATAAGAAAAATTGCAGTTGTAAAATTAAAAAATCGAAAAAATGAAAATCGGAAAATTGAACATTCGAAAAATCGCAAACCATAGAGTGACGTTTGTTGTAATTAAGTTAACTGAAAACCTGGAAAATCGAAAAATTGAAAAATCGAAAACCTAAAAAATTTTAAATGGTAATCTAGACCGACCGCAAATGAAAATTATTTTGAAGAAACGAAAAATACGGAAAAATCGAATCGTTAAAAATCGAGAAACCCAAAAATTGGAAAACTGAAAAATTATAAAATTGTAAAACTCAAAAATTCAATTGAAAATCGAAAAACTGAAAAATCCAAAAAAATCGGAAAACTCAAGAATTAAGAAATTGAAAGAATGAAAAGTCAATTTCTAAAAATGGAAAAATTTTAATGTTGAAAAATCGAAAAAAAAACAGAAATTTAAATTAAATAAAAAAATGTAAATCGAAAAATTAATAATCGAGAAATTGAAAAAACGAAATTTTTTTTTTAATTTCTAAAATTGCAAAATCGTAAAATCGAAAAAATTCAAAAATCGAAAAATTTCGAAATTGTGAAACTAAAAAATCCAAGTCAACAAACTGAAAACTCTAAAAATTGAAAATTAGAAAAATAAACGTAAAATTAGAAGCCGAAAAGCAGAAACGGTTTTTGAATTTCACAATTTATCTTAATTTTCCGATTTCTCCATTTTTCAATTTTTCAAATTCACAACGTTTCGATTTTTTAGTGATTCGATTTTACAATTGTATAAAAAGTCGAAAATGGGATAACGGAAACTAATTCTTTAAGTTTTTTTACTCCGTTTTTATTTTTTTTTATTTTTTGAGTTCGGGACATTTTAATTTTGCTTTATTGATTTTAAAATTTCCGATTTTTTACTTTTTTGATTTTTGAATTTTACAGTTTTGCATTTTTTTACTGTGTAATTTCTCAGTTTTTAATTGTTCATTTGCTCGATTTTTTTCGTTTTTTAATTTTTCGATTTCTGGATACTTTCTTTTTCGTATTTTCGATTTTTTTATTTTAGAATTTTTCAAAATTTGTTCTTTAGATCGAAGAAATGAAAAGTCGAGAGAACGAAAAATTGAAGACAATAAGATTAGAAAGTCGAGAAACAGAAAAATCGATTTTTGAATTTCCCCATTTTTTCATTTTCTTTGATCTTCTCAATTTTTCTGTTTTACAATTTACAGTGATTCGATTTTTCTATTTCTCGATTTTCTTAGTTTTTCGATTTCTTGGATATTTTACTTTTTCGTTTTTTAAATTTTTGATTTTTTAATTTTTCGATGCTTTTTCCATTTTTGATTTTTTTTTTAATTTACTTGAAAATCGGAAAATCGGGAAATTCAGAAATCAAAAATTGAAAAAACATCGAAAAATTGAAAAATCAAAAATTGCAAAATTGTAAAAATTTTGTAATTCTTCTATTTCTCAATTATTCAACTCACTAAACTTTCGATTGTTCAAATTCTACATTTTTAATTTTTCGATTTTTCATTTTTCAATTTTTTGACTTTTCAGTTTTCCGATTTTTCAATTTTTTTGATTTTTTAAATTTCAATTTGAATAAATTTGTTCTTTATTGTAAAATTGAAGAAATAAAAATCCAGAAAGTGAAAGATTACAATCCAAAAAAAAACAGCAATTAATTAAATTCGATAAATTACGAAATTGTGAAAATCAAGAAAAATAAAACTTGCAAAATTGTAAATCTGAAAAAACGAAAATTCAAAAAAACAAAAATTTAAAAATTGAAAATTAGAAAAATTGTAAATCGAAAAATTGAAGAAACGTAAAATTAGAAGCCAAGAAACAGAAAAATCGATTTGTGAATTTGCTAATTTTTTATTTTCTCAATTTTTCAGTTTTCCAATTTTTGTAATTTAGAATGGTTTGATTTTTCAGTGATTCTATTTTCCAATTTTTGATTGTTCAACTTGTCGATATTTTAATCTTTCACTTTTTCAATTTTGCGATTTTGAATTTTTACTTAAACAATTTTTCAATTTCTGGATTTTTCCGTTTTTTAGTTATTCGATTTCTTGAATATTTTTTTGTTTTGGTCTATTAAATTTTTGATTTTTCAATTTTTCGATGTTTTAGTTTTTCAGTTTTTTAATTTTTGATTTTTGAATTTCCAGATTTTCCAATTTTTAAATCTATACTTTTGTAGTTTTTCTATTTCTCAATTATCCGACCAAACGTTCTATTGTTCAAATTCTCAATTTTTCATTTATCAAATTTTTGATTTCTCAATTTTCTAATTTTTCAATTTTTTGTTTTTTTTTCTTAATTTCCAGCTTGAATAAATTGGATCGGTATTGTAAAACTGAAGGAATAAAAATCCAGAAAATGAGAAATTAAAATCCACAAACTGAATAATAGAAAAATCTAATAATTACTCCTAATTAATTAATTAAAATTCGATAAGTTGCGAAATGGTAAAAATGAAGAAAAATAAAACTTACAAAATTGTAAAACTGAAGAAACGAAAATTAAAAAATTCAAAAATTAAAAATCAGAAAAATTATAAATCGAAAAATTGAAGATTAGAAGCCGAGAAACAGAAACATCGATTTTTGAATTACCCAATTTTTTCATTTTTCTTAAGTTTTCTCAATTTTTCGAATTTATGTTTTGACTTTTCAGTGATTTTACAATTTTTCAGTTTCCCGTTTTTTAAGTTGTATTCTCCGACTTTTCAATTTTTAACCTCAATTTTTTTTTTTATTTTTAATGAAACAGTTTTTCGAATTTTCAATTTCTCGATTTATTCGTTTTTCCAGTTTTTCGATTTCTTGGATATTTTATTTTTTCGTCTTTTTAAGTTTTTGATTTTTGAATTTTTGATTTTTTGATTTTTGAATTTTGAATTTTTGATTTTTGAATTTTTGATTTTTGAATTTTTGATTTTTGAATTTTTGATTTTTGAATTTTTGAATTTTTGATTTTTGAATTTTTGATTTTTGAATTTTTGATTTTTGAATTTTTGATTTTTGAATTTTTGATTTTTGAATTTTTGATTTTTGAATTTTTGATTTTTGAATTTTTGATTTTTGAATTTTTGATTTTTGAATTTTTGATTTTTGAATTTTTGATTTTTGAATTTTTGATTTTTGAATTTGAATTTTTGAATTTGAATTTTTGATTTTTGAATTTTTGATTTTTGAATTTTTCTGATTTTTTTTTAATTTCAGCTTCAATAAATTTGACCTTTATTGTAAAATTGAAGAAATCAAAATCCAGGAAATGAAAAATTAAAATCCAAAAACGAATTAATTAATTAAAATTTGATAAATTGCGAAATTGTGAAAATAAAGAAAAATAAAAATTTCAAAATTGTAAAACTGAAGAAACGAAAATTCAAAAATTAAAAACGAAAAAAATTGCAAATCGAAAAATTCAAGTAACGGAAGATTAGAAGCCTAGAAACAGAAAAATTAATTTTTGAATTCCTCAACTTTTTTTATTTTTCAATTTCTCAATTTTTCAGTTTTACAATTTTTCGATTTCTAAACTTGTCGATTTTTCAATTTTTCAGTTTCCAGATTTTTAAGTTGAATTAATCAATTTTTCGATTTTTCCGTTTTTCGATTTTTTGGATATTTTTACTTTTTCGTCTTTTAAATTTTTGAATTTTCAGTTTTTCGATGTTTTAATTTTTCGGTTTCTCAATTTTTGATTTTTGAATTTCGCAACTCTCGATTTTTAAATGTACAATTTTACAGTTACTAAACTTTCGATTGTTCAAATTCTCGATTTTGAAATTTTCGATTATTTATTTTTCAATATTTTGATTTTTTTTAAATTTCAACTTGAATAAATTTGTTCTTTATTGTGAAATTGAAGAAATAAAAATCCAGAAAATGGAAAATTAAAATCCAAAAAATGAAGAATCGAAAATCACAATTTAAAATTCGATATTTAAAATTGAAAAAAAAATGAGAAATGCAAAAGTTGAGAAATCAAAAAATTGAAATCTTTAAAACTGGAAATTCAAAAAATTGCAATTCGAAAAACTAAAAAAAATGAAAATTGGAAAAATTAAAATCGTGAAACTGAAAGTTCATCAGATAAAAATATATTGATATATTGATTGGAAAATCGACAAAGTAAAAGTCGTGAAATCGAAAAGTAAAAAAACGATTTCTCAATTTTTCTATTTTTTCAATTTTTCGAATTTACAATGTTTTGACTTTTCAGTGTTTCGCATTTACAACCTTTCACCAGTTTTTCGATTTTCAAGTTTGAAATTTGTCAATTTTTTGATTTCTCAATTTCCCGGATTTTTCCAAATTTTGATTTTTATTTTCTCAATTTTTCGATTGTTCTTTCTCCGATTTTTTTATTTTACGGTTTTTTAAACTTCAGCTTGGATCAATTTGTTCTTATTATTGTAAAATTGAAAAATTAAAAATCGAGAAAAAGAAAAATTGAAAAATTCAAGAAACGAAAAACCGAAAATTTGAAAAATTTACAATTTGACAAATCGCAAAATAAAAAAATCGAAAAACTGGAAACTATAAAACTGAAAACTCAAAAAATTGCAGCTCGAGAAAGTGAAAAAATGTAAAACGTCGAAAAATTAAAAAATTTTCAACTTGGTTACCTTTTTTAAAATCACTCTCTACTTACTTCCACGTTTTCTTAACAAACTCTTTCCCCTTACTAGCCTGTCTAAACCACCTCTCTTCCACAAACTCCTCGGAAACCCCATCCTCACAATTCTGATAACAAAGCAACTCCAACAACCCCTGTTCCAGCTCCTGTGCAACCTCCACATTTTTCTCCTTCAACACCCTATACACAACCGCAGAATCCACCACCTGCCTCATCTCAATCAACTTCTCCAAATCAGCCACAGCCACCTCACTCTCCTCAGTGTACACCATAGGGGGCACAAACGCCTCAATCACCGGATCAGCCTCTCGGTGCTGAAAAAGATCAGCATGTTCTTGACGAACCCAATGAGCCGCTTTCCTCCCGGCTTCCTGGGCCATGGCGAAAATGCGCTTGCCGCTGGACGACAATGGGATGAGATACGGGTCATCATGGTACTTGTAATGGGCGGCTGTGGGGTCTCGACCCACCGTGCTCTCCAAGGCACGCAGAATGTCGGTGGGGCCACGCGGGATGCGTTTAGGGATTTCGATTTTGTCGTCGATGGTTGCGGTTGAGAGGAGGATGTTTGAGGTTATGTTAGCTTGAGGCAACCTAAAAATTTTAAGCGAGGTTAGGCTACAATAACGAAATAGGCGTAATTATTACCCTCTTCGTAATAAAGTCTTTGAGATGTTCATCATTTTGTGTGTGAAGCGTAAAAGCGGTTTAAATTTTAAGTAAAAAGTTGTCTGAAAAAGTTAGGTTATGTATGTTGGAGTTCAGTGGGTGCTTTCACTTAACCTCGATTAACTGGTTGCCTATACAATTAAAGTAGTAGAAACATTTTTCTGGTATAAAATTTATTGAAAAAAATATATACAATTTTATTCGTAGTGTTACTTTTATCGCTTATTCATCTACTTGTAAACTAAGCTTAAATAAATTAACACTATACATCTCATGCAGCCCCAAAATCTGCGGATTGTCTCTTAGTGTCTCATATAATAATTTCACAGTCAAAACATTATCGCACTTCCTCCTCTTTGAACAAGAATACGCGAAAGCCGCCTGCTGTTCAGCATTCTCCAGCGACGGTTTACTCCTCGGAATGAAAGTGTCTTCCCCATCCACCACTTCAATTTTACTCTCCTGACTCTCGTCAATCACATTGTGATAGTTCCGGATAAACGGATCAGGTACCGGCAAATTAAACCCATACTGAAACTTCCCATCCCTCACTTTGTACCCCTTCAACTTAGAAATCATCGCCATGAGAATATTCTTCACGAAGACCTGACACGCGTGCACCATCACCTCCGTCACGCTCTCCTCGGCCCCATCCAGCCCGTTCTCCCAGCTCGTCACAGCTATCCTCGTTGCCACGAACCCAGAATCCGGCATGAACAACTCGGCCGCGGCGCTGCGGTTTTCGTACTCCGCCGGGGGCAACATGGTGGGGCTCGACGGCTGGATGTAGTCGGAGTACTCGGCGCACTCGAAGGCCCCCTTGTCCGAGGTGTTCCTGGTGCTCTTGACGCGGCTGCTGGTGCGTTTGGACAGGAGGGCGAGGACGAAGTAGTTGTGGCAGCGGATTTGGTCCTCGTTGACTAGGAGTTTGCGGACCTCGGTGTCGAACTCTTTGCGGGTTATGGGGGACTTGAAGGAGAACCACTGGCGGAGGATGTCGAAGTACTGCTTGCGGAGGTCTTCGCTGAGGCAGGCTTCGAGGTTTTTGCGGGCCTCGTTGAGATCTGGGGGAGGAGTTTGTACGGGTTTGGGGGGGCGGTAGCGGCGTACTTACCCATTGTGGCGGTTTTTGTGAGAAATAAAGTTTTGTTGACATTCGTGTTTTTAGTTAACCTAAAAAATTGGGGTTATGTTTTGTGTTGAATTGACGGATTGTCATGTTTTGTGTGGTCAGGCAACCAGTAATACGAAGTTTTGTCTCAAGGTTGCACATTTAATTGTTTTTTGAATTTATTTTTAATTTTAGAATGAATCAACCAATACATCTGGTCGTGATCAATAAAGAAAATTTAAGTTGATATTTGGACATCATTTCTTACAGCCAAAAAAAAAATGAAATCATTATTTTTAAGTACACATTTGCTTAATTTGTTATTATCAAAACGCTGTGCAACCAGTAAATCATTGGACCTGCAATATGTTCAGATTCTTTTTTTTTTTTTTTTGAAAATTTGTTCCATAACCATTTTAGAATGATTTAATGCTTAAAAAATAGAAAGTACAAGTGTATTCTTAGTTGCATAAAATAAATTTATTTTATGAACTCCGTGAGTTGCACCAGCACAAGTTGTTTTTTTAATATATAGAGTTTTTTTTAACAACAGGATAGTTAAATATGTCAGTTTCTTCTTGGGAAAAGAAGACTTCGAATGTCAAGAAAAAATGGACAAAATATAAGCCCCGCCCACCCACCCCTTCTCGATTGTGATGAATGCTTTATTCATGTTCAGCTGAAGGGCGGAGTATAGTTTGCAAAATCCTCATTTCTCGACAAGAAATTATCATATGAAATATGTTTTAAAAGGGTAGAATTTTTTAGAGAAAGATTGATGTTACAATTAAACTCTGCTCTTCGATCTAACAACGAATGAAAAATTCATCACATCTGAGTTCGGGGCGGGCGGGTGGGGCTTAATCTTTGTTTTTTTTTTAATGTTGCATAGAGTTCTCTGTCAACAACAGGATAGTGAAACATGTGAAACACTTCTTTAATATTTCACCCCATTTTCAAAGTTATTTTTTTAAGTTGTGGATTTGTAAAGATTTTGACCATGATTCCAGCGGATCCATATAGAAACTGCTGACTTCGAGATTTTTATTAAAAAAAAATAAATAAAAAAATTATATTTTACAATTAAGCTTCGCTCTCGGCTTACGACGAATAAAAATATCATCACAATTGAGATAGGGTGGGTGGGCGGGGCTTATATTTTGCCTTTTTTTTTCTTAATATACATAGCCATCTTTTCACAACAAGAAACTTAAAACATGGTTAAAATGGTATGATTTTGCAATTATGGGGCGGAGTCTAATAAGTGCACAAATCGATATTTCCTTATACAAATTTTCCATTTTAAACTTGTTTTAAGTTTCTTGTTGTGGAAAGAAGTTTACACACATTAAAACGAAAAGGCAAAATGTAAGCCCGCCCACCCACCCCATCTCGATTGTAGCGATTTTTTTTATTCGCCGTGAAATAAGGAGGGCGAAACTTAACTGCAAAATACTTATTTCTTTACAAGAAATTAAAAACATGTTTTTGAGTATCGTGTTGTTCAAAGAATACTATGAATATTAAGAGAAAAAGGCAAAATATTAACCCCACCCACCCACCCCATCTCAATTGTGAAACTGATAATATAAGTTTTTACTTGTTCAACATCGACAAAACTGAACGAACTCAATTTATTGTTAAAAAAAAAAATAATAACTGAAATACTAATTGTTGATAATATTGTAAATATCAATTCAAGAAAACTGACATTTGTCTTCTCTTTAAAGAAAATCAAAAACCTGAAAAATCGGGAAACTGTAATATCGAAAGATTGGAAAATGGCAAAGTCGAAAAGCCGAAAAATCAAAAACACGAGAAATCGAAGTAAGAAAATCCATAAATCTACAAATCGAAATATGAAAATACTTACTAAAAATTCGCAAAACAGGAATGTCGTAAAATTGAGAAATCGAAAAACTGAAGAGCCAAAAATTGAAGAATCTGAAGCTTGAAAAATAGAATCATTGAAAATCGAAAAATTGACGAAATGAAAAATTGAAAAATCGAGACATTGTACATCAAATGAAAAGTCAAAAACTTGAACAATCGACAAACACAGAAATCTACACATGAAAAAAAGAAGAATCTCAAAACTTAAATGGAAAAGTTGGAAAATCCCAAAAATGAAATATCGAGAAATCGAAAAATTGAGAAATCGAAACATAGAAAGATTGAAAAATCCAGAAATTGAAATATCGAAAACTCGAAAAAATCAAGAATCGAAAATCTGAATAAACCAAAAATCATAAAGGTGAAAAGCTGAAAAGTGGAAAAGTCGAGAAGTCAAAAAATAAAAAAAAATCGAAAAACAGAGAATTCGAAGTCGAAAAATCGATAAATCCAGAAATCAAAACATGGAAAAATCGAGAAATCAAAAATTTAAAAAATGGAAAAATTGAAAAATCGCAAAACACGAACAGTCGAAAAGTAAACCAATCGGAAAATCTAAAACTGAAAAAATGGAAAAGTTGAAAAATTCCAAAACTGAAATATCGAGAAATTGAAATTTCGGAAAAACAAAAAGCCGAAAAACTGTAAAATTGCGAAGTCGAAACATAGAAAGATCGAAAAATCCAGAAATTAAAATATCGAAAAGTCGAAAAAATCACGAATCGAAAATCTGAATAATCCAAAAATCTTAAAAATAAAAAGCTGAAAAGTGGAAAAGTCGGGAAGTCAAAAAATAAAAAAAATCGAAAAACAGAGAAATTGAAGTCGAAAAATCGGTAAATCAAGAAATCGAAACATGGAAAAATCGAGAAATCAAAAATTTAAAAAATGGAATAATTGAAAAATCGCAAAACCCGAACAGTCGAAAAGTAGACAAATCGGAAAATTTAAAACTGAAAAAATGGAAAAGTTGAAAAATTCTAAAACTGAAATATCGAGAAATTGAAATTTTGGAAAAACGAAAAGCCGAAGAACTGTAAAATTGGGAAATCGAAACAGAAAGATCGAAAAATCCAGAAATTGAAATATCGAAAAGTCGAAAAAATCAAGAATCGAAAATCTGAATAAACGAAAAATCATAAAGATAAAAAGCTGAAAAATGGAAAAGTCGGGAAGCCAAAAAATAAAAAAATCGAAAAAGAGGGAAATCAAAACATGGAAAAATGGAAAATCAAAAATTTTAAAAATATCGGAAAATTGCAAATTGAATAAATGAATTAACGGAAAAGTCAAAATTCGAAAAAAAAAAAACTCAAAATTGAGAAATTGAAAGATCGAGAAATCGAAATGACAAAAAATTGAAAAATCCAATGTTTAAAATAACGAAAAATTGAAAAATGGAGAACTCGAACAGTCGAAAAGTAGACAAATTGAAACATTAAAGTCGATAAATCGAAACATTTCAAAACTTAAATATCGAGAAATTGAAATTTCGGAAAAACGAAAAATCGAAAAATGACAAATCGAAACAGAAAGATCGAAAAATCTAAAAATTAAAATTAAAAGTGGAAAAGTCGGGAAGTCAAAAAATAAAAAAATCGAAAAAGAGAGAAATCGAAGTCAAAAAATCGATAAATCAAGAAATCGAAACATAAAAAAATGGAAAAATCAAAAATTTAAAAAAACCGAAAAACTGAAAAATTCAGACATCGAAAAATTGAAAAATTGAAGAATCGAAAAACTGAAAATTCGAGACATCGAAAAATTGAAAAATCGAAAAATTCAAAAATTAAAATATCGAAAAAACGAAAAAATGAAGACTCGAAAATCTGAATAATCGAAAAATCGTAAAATCGATAAATTGAAAGAGAAAATATTAAAAAATCGTAAAACAAAAATGTCGTAAAATTGAGAAATCAAAAAACTGAAGGGCTAAAAATTGAAAACTCGAAAGACTGAAAAACAGAATCATTGAAAAATGAAAAATTGACAAAATGAAAAATTGAAAAATCTAGACATTGTAAAGTCGAATATTTAAAATATCGAATAATTGGAAGATCAAAGAAAAGTTGGAAAATCCTAAAACTGAAATATAGAGAAATCGAAAAATTGAAAAGTTGAAAAATTAGGAAATCGGAACATAGAAAGATCAAAAAATCCAAAAATTAAAATCTCGAAAAATCCAAAAAATCAAAAATCGAAAATCTGAATAATCGTAAAGGTAAAAAGCTGAAAAGTGGAAAGGTCGAGAAAACAAAAAATAAGAAATCGAAGTCGAGAAATCGATAAATCAAGAAATCGAAACATGGAAAAATGGAAAATCAAAAATTTTAAAAATGGAAAAACTGAACAGTCGCAAAATTGGAATATCGAAAAAATTAATAAATGAATTTAGTGGAAAAGTCTAAAAACCTCAAAATCGAGAAATTGAAAGATAGAGATCGAAATGACAAAAAATTGAAAAATCGAATATTTAAAATATCGAAAAATTGAAAAATCAGAAACCTGAACAGTCGAAAAGCAGTCAAATCGAAATATTAAAATCGATAAATCGAAAAATTCCAAAATTTAAATATCGAGAAATTGAAATTCTGGACAAACGAAAAATCGAAAAACTGTAAAATTGATAAATCGAAACATAGAAAGATCGAAAAATCCAAAAATTAAAATTAAAAGTGGAAAAGTCGAAGAATCGAATTCGAAAAATTGATAAATCGAGTAATCGAACCCTGAAAAAATCGAAGAATCGCAAAACTGAAATATAGAAAAACTGAGAAATCGAAAAATTGAAGAATCGAAAAACTGAAAAATCGAGACATCGAAAAATTGAAAGATTGAAAAATTCAAAAATTAAAATAGCGAAAAATCGAAAAGATGAGGAATCACAAAAAATTTAATAATCGAAAAATCCTAAAGAGTCGAAAAGTCCAGAAGTAGAACAATAAAAAAATCGAAAAAGCGACAACCGAAGTCGAAAAATCGATAAATTGAAAGATGGAAAATGAAAAAATCGAAAAACTGAAAAATCTAAAGATTGAAAAATAGAATAACTGAAAATCGAAAAATTGACGAAATGAAAAAGTGAAAAATCAAGACATTGTAAAGTCGAATATTTAAAATACCCAATAATAGAAAAATTTTAAAAATGGAAAAACTGAAGAATCGCAAAGCTGGAATATCGAAAAAATTAAAAAATGAGTTTAGTGGAAATGTCAAAAATCGAAAAATAAAAAACTCAAAATCGAGAAATTGAAAGATGGAGAAATCAAAATGACAAAAAATTAAAAAATCGAATACTTGAAATATCCAAAAATTGAAAAATCAAAGAAAAGTTGGAAAATCCCAAAATTGAAATATCGAGAAATCGAAAAATTGAGAAATCGAAACAAAATCAAACAATCCAAAAAATTAAATATCGAAAAATCGAAAAAATCAAAAATCGAAAATCTGAATATTCGAAAAATCGTGAAGGTGAAAAGCTGAAAAGCGGAAAAATCGAGAAGTCAAGAAATAAAAAAAAAATCGAAAAAGAGAAAATTAGAAGTCAAAAGATCGATAAATCAAAAAATCGAAACATGGAAAAATCGAAAAATCAAAAATTTAAAAAATGGAAAAACTGAAAAATCGAAAATTTGAACTGTCGAAAAGTAGACGAATTGAAACATTAAAATCGATAAATTAAAACTGAGAAATTCTAATACCTAAATAAGTAAATATCGAGAAATTGAAATTTTGGAAAAACGAAAAGTCGAAAAACTGGCATATTCAGAAATCGAAACATAAAAGACCGAAAATTCCAAAAACTAAAATACCGAAAAATTCAAGAAAAGAAGATTCGAAAATATGAATAATCGAACAATCGTAAGTGGAAAATTTGAAAAATCAAAAAATCGAAAAAGCGAATTCGAGAAAAATTGAAGAATTGAAAAACTGAAAAATCAAGATATCGAAAATTGAGGGATCGAAAAATCCTAAAAGACGAGAAGGCGAGAAGTCCAAAAGTAGAACAATAAAAAAAATCGAAAAAGCGACAACCAAAGTCGAAAAATCGATAAATTGAAAGATGGAAAATCAAAAAATCGAAAAATCAAAAATTGAAAAATGGCAAAATTGGAATAAGTTGAAGATGGGAATACTGCACATTAAAAAAGTGAAGAAATGAGTTATTGGACAACCTGAAAAAACGAAAAATTAAAATATGTATCCAGAAATTGAAAAATTGTAAAACTGAAAATAAAAGTGAAAAATGGAACAACTGAGACAAATCGGAAAACTAACCAATCGGAAAATCTGAAGCATCTTTAAAATTTGGCAATCAGGCAACCGGTAATACGTAATTTGTGACTCAAGATTTTTATTTTAAAACTGTTTCTATTTTAATCCTAGTTTTTAAAATAACTTTTTTATTTGTTAAAATGGAAAATAATGAAGTGAAAAAACTGCTACCTTATTAGAATTTAAGTACATTTAAAACAGAGAATAACCTTTGAAATTTGGCAGTTTTTGCTAATGACTCATTTCACACGAAAACACGTTCTATTCAGCAGCACATCGACCAAATTCAAATGAAAAGCTCTCGCTCGACACCGCTTATATACCACTTTTCCACCCATTGAGTCATGCTACCAGAAGAATACGTAGTACTTGTTATATATCTCACGAAAAAAATGTCACATGCAGGACCGGTCCCAGTTCATTAACTCGTATACTAAATCTGGTGCCATTAATAACATTTTTTGCAACAAACGTGATACGACTTTATTGTTGTCTTTGGTATGTGCAATACTGTTACGTCGACACTTGCTTAGAAGGTTGGACTGGGGTACCATTACGACCACGTGTAGGTGTGCTAATAATGGAACAATTCATACAAAATATTTAGAAATGGAAAGTTCGGTGCATTATCATGCAAATTATGCACGTTTTGTTATGCAGTTTTTACAAATTGTACATAGTAGTACTATAACTGTCTTTGATAAAAATGTCGAGATTGAGGTAACCAGGGTCGATGGTGTAATTTTTATGTAAAAAAATGTTTTCGTGGAAAATCAGGTTATTATTTTGACAATGACATAATTGTGATTAGGAAAATTGTCCTCAACGGGCTCTAAACGACCGGTACTACCTTGGTACAAGATTAACAAGGGTGTACCAATCGAGAAAAAAATTATTGATAAAATAAAAGAATACAACAATGGGTCCATTTAACGAGTTTTTCCAGCTTCAACCATCGTTATCACAACGAGGTACCGCCCTAACCTAGACCTTCAAACAAGTACGAAAGTGGACCGCACGTGGGGCATTCAGTTGTGCAACAAATTTGTATAAAAATCGCCAATTTATCGAGAACTGTATCAGTTTGCATCAAACCAAAACACTAAAACCACAATGGCATTCAAAGTAAGTACCCGACTAACTGAACTTACAAAAAAATTATCAAGTACTACCGCTAAAGCGCAAAATAAATTGAAACGTAACAACAATAAATTAGTGAAAGTGCCTCGACTGTCTGTTAATTCTTGTTAAATTAATTCGCAGTTCGTCGTCTTCGCCGCCGCCTTGGCTTGCGCCAACGCTGGACTCCTCGGCGCCCCTGTGGCCTACTCCGCCGCCCCCGCCGTCAGCACCGCCTACTTGCAGCACGCTGCCCCCGTCGTAGCCGCCGCCCCCGTGGCCTACGCCAGCCCCGCCATCGGCGCCTCCCACCAGAGCGTCGTCCGCTCCCCATTGGGCAACCAAGCCGTCTCCCAGTACACCAAATCCGTAGACACCCCCTTCTCTAGCGTGCGCAAATTCGACACCCGCATCACCAACGACGGTTTCGCTGTCGCCGCCCACGCCGCTCCCGTCGTGTCCACCTACGCCGCCCACGCTCCAGTCGTCTCCACCTACGCCGCCCACGCTCCAGTCGTCTCCAGCTACGCCGCCCACGCTCCAATCGTCTCTAGCTATGCTGCCCATGCCCCAGTAGTCTCCAGCTACGCCGCCCATGCCCCAGTAGTCTCCGCCTACGCCGCCCACGCCCCCGTCGCCGCCGTCGGATACTCGCCCTCCGCCGTTGTGTCTCATGCTACCTTCAACGGTTTGGGAGCCTCCTACGCTTGGTAAATGTGCACGTGGGATGAGTAGGGATGTTTGTACAGGTTGAATTATTTATTGTTGAATAAAGTAATTTAAATTATTTTGGTTTCTTATTTTATTATTTTCAAAAACAAAACACTCCTGGAGATTCTTTCAAATTACTTCAAAAACAAAACAAGGAATGAGAAAAACTGGAAAATCAAAAAGTCGGAAAATTGAAAAGTGGAAATTGAAAATGGAAAATCAAGAAATGAATTACTGGTAAATTCAAAAATTTACACCAAAAACTCGAAAAATCGGAAAATTGAAAAGTCAAAGAAAGGAAAAATTGAGAAATCGAAATATAGAAAGATCGAAAAATACAAAAATTAAAATATCGAAAAATGGATAAAAAGAAGATTCGAGAAATTGAAAAATCGGAAATCGTACAGACGAAAAATTGAAAACTCAAGAAATTGAGGAATCGAAGTCAAAAAACCGAAAAATTCCAAAACTGAAATACCGAAAATTGGAGAAATCCTGAATAGTCGAAAAATACAGAAATCAAAATCTAAAAAAATTGACAAATTTCAAAACCTGACATTTAAAAAATTGAAAAATTTTAAAGAACCCGAAAAATTGGAAAATGGAAAAATCGAAAAATTGAAAAATTGAGAAATCAAAACCTAGAAAGATCCAAAAACTAAAATATTGAAAAATCTAAAAAAAAAACGAATGAAAAAAATTGAAAATCTGAATAGTTGAAAAACCGTAAAATCGAAAAGCCAAAAAATCAATAACTCAAATCGAAAAATTGGAAATCGAAAAAGTGAACAATCGAAAAATATAAAAATCGAAACCTAAAAAGATCGACAAATCGAAAAATCTAAACTAAAAAAATTGAAAAATTAACAAATTCCGAAGCTGAAATGCTGAGAACTCTGAAAATCGAAAATCGAAGTAAAAAAAATTGAAACATGGAAAGATCGAAAAATTCAAAAAGTAATAAAAAAAAAAATCGAAAAATTGAAGATTCGAAAAATTGAGTAACCGAAAAATCGAAAAATCATAAAATCGAAAAGCCGAAAAATCAAAAACTCAAATCCAAAAACCGAAGAATTTGAAAACTGAAAAATCGAGGCATCAAAAAGCCGAAAAATCGTAAAAGGGGAAAGTATAAATCGAAAAATTGAAAAATTGAAAACTTGAATAATCGAAAAATATAAAAATCGAAACCTAAGAAGATCGACAAATCGAAAAATCTAAAATTAAAAAAATTTCATAAATTGAAAAATTCCAAAGGTGAAATATCGAAAACTCGATAAATTCGAACATCGAAAAGTCGAAAAATTGAAAAACTGATTAATCGAAACAAAAAATTACAATAATAAAAAATCTAAAAAACCTAAAAAAAGGAGAATGGAAAAATTGAAGAGTCGCAAATCTGAATAATCGAAAAACCATAAAATTGAAAAGCCGAAAAATCAAACCGAATAACTGAAGAATTTAAAAATCCGAAAATCGAGGTATTAAAAAGTCCAAAAATCGTAAAAACGGAAAGTAAAACTCGAGAAATCGAAAAACTGAAAAATCGAAAACATGAATAACCGAAAAATATAGACATCGAAACCTAAAAAGATCGACAAAATCGAAAAATCTAAAACTAAAAAAAATTAAAACATTAAAAAATCCTAAAGCTGAAATGACGAGAACTCGAAAAATCGGAAAATTGAAGTCAAAAAAAAATGAGAAATCGATACATGGATAGATCGAAAAAATTCAAAAATTAAAATATGGAAAAGTCGAAAAATAGAAAGATTCGAAAAATCGTTAAGTCGAAAAGCTGAAAAATCGAAAAGCCGAGAAATCGATAAATCGAAGTCGAAAAATCGAAAAATCTAAAACTCACAAAATTGAAAAATTGAAAAATTCCAAAGTTGAAATATCGAAAACTCGATAAATTGGAAAATCGAAAAGTCGAAAAATTGAAAAACTGATTAATCGAAGCATTGAATGATTGGGAAATCCAAAAATTAAAAAATTTAAAAAAACGAGAATGGAAACATCGAAGAGTCGAAAATCTGAATAATCGAAAAACCGTAAAATCGAAAAGCCGAAAAATCAAATCGAAAAACTGAAGAATTTAAAAATTTGAAAAATCGAGTTATCAAAAAGTCGAAAAATCGTAAAATTGGAAAGTAAAATTCGAGAAATCGAAAAATTGAAAAATCGATGCCATGAATAACCGAAAAATATAGAAATACAAACCTAAAAAGATCGACAAAATAGAAAAATCTAAAACTAAGAAAATTTTAAAAATTCAAAAATCCTAAAGCTGAAATGTCGAGAACTTGAAAAATCGGGAAATCGAAATCAAAAAAGGAATTGAGAAATCGAAACATGGAAAGATCGAAAAATTCAAAAATTAAAATATGGAAAAATTTAAACAGAAGATTCGAAAAATCGAAAAATCGTCAACTTGAAAACCCGAAAAAACGTAAAACTGAAATATCGATCGAAAACCTGAATAGTGGAAAAATACAGAAATCGAAATTTAAAAATATCGAGAAATCGAAAAATCCGAAACTAAAAAAATTGAAACATTCCAAATCTGAAATGTTCAGAACTCGAAAAACGGGAAAATCGAAGTCAAAAAAAAAAAGAGAAATCGAAACATGGGAAGATCCAAAAATCATTAAATCTCAAAACTGAAATATCGATCGAAAACCTGAATAGTCGAAAAATACAGAAACCAAAATTCAAAAAAAATCAACAAATCAAAAATTCTAACATTTACAAAATTGAAAAATTGAAAAATTCCAAAGTTGTAATATCGAAAACTAGAAAAAGTTGGAAAATCAAAAAGTCGAAAAATTGAAAAATTGATTAATTGAAACATAGAGGTTGAAAAATCGAAAAATTAAAATAACCAAAAATCTAAAAAAAGGAGAATGGAAAAATTGAAGAGTCGAAAATTTGAATAATCAAAAAATCGTAAAATCGAGAAACCGAAAAATCAAAAAGTCAAATTGAAAAACCGAAAATCGAAAAATTGAAGAATTTAAAAATTGAAGAATGGAGGAATCAAAAAGCCAAAAAATCGTAAAGGCGGAAAGTAAAATCGAAAAATAAAAAAAATGAAAAATCGAAAACCTGAACAATCGAAAAATATAGAAATCGAAACTCAAAAAATTTGACCAATTGATAAATTAAATAATAAAATAAAATAATTAATTAAATAAAAGTAAAAAAATTGAAAAATTCTAAAGTTGAAATGTTGAGAACTAGAAAAATCGGAAAATCGAAAATTCGAGAAATCGAAGTCGAAAAATTGAAAAATCCCAAAACTGAAATTTCGATCGAAAACCTAAATATGTAGTAAAAAAATACAGAAATTGAAATTTGAAACAATCGATAAATCGAAAACCTAAAACTTACAAAATTGAAAAACTGAAAAGTTCCAAAGCTGAAATATCGAGAACTCAATTTTTCGAGTGGGAAATGGATAAGTTGAAAAATTGGAAAAATTGATTAATCGAAACAAAGAAACTTAAGATATCAAAAAATATAGAGAAAGGAGAATGGAAAAATAGAAGAATCGAAAATTTGAATAATCGAAAAAACAAAAATCGAAAAGCCGAAAAATCATAAAGTCAAACCGAAAAACTGAAGAATTTAAAAACCAAAAAACTGAAGAATTTAAAAACCAAAAAATCGTGGCATCAAAAAGCCGAAAAATTGGTAAAACGGAAAATAAAAATCGACAAATCCAAAAATCTAAAACTAAAAAAATTGAAAAATTCCAAATCTGAAATGTCGAGAACTCCAAAGATCGGAAAATCGAAGTTAAAAAAATGGAGAAATCGGAACATGGAAAGATCGAAAAATTTAAACATCAAAATATGGAAAAATCGAAAAATAGAAGATTCGAAAAATTGAAGAATCAAAAAATCGAAAAATCGTCAAGTCGAAAAGCCAAAAAATCGAAAACTCTAGAAATCGAAAAATTCAAAGCTTAAATATCAAGGACTGGAAAATTGGAAAATCCAAAAGTAGAAAAATTGAAAAATTGCTAATCGAAACAAAAATATTGGAAAATCCAAAAAAATGAAAATATCGAAAAATCTAAAAAAAAGAATGGAAAAATTGCAAGGTCAAAAATAAAAATCGTAAAATCGAAAAACCGAAGAATCAAAAACTCAAATCGAAAAACTTAAAAATTGAGGCATCAAAAAGCCGAAAAATTGTAAAAGCGGAAAGTAAAAATCGAGAAATCTAAAAATTTGAAAACTCAAAAATCTGAACAATCGAAAAATATGCATAGAAATCGAAATCTAAAATTGTCGACAAATTGAAAAATCTGAAACTAAAAGAACTGAAAAATTGAAAAATTTCAAAGCCAAAAAATCGAAGCGAAAAAGGACAAATCGAAAAAAAAGTTGAAAACTGAAATCGGAAAACTGTAAATATAAAAACTGAAGAATTTAAAATCTGAAAACCGAGGCATCGAAAAGCCCAAAAATCGTAAAAGCAAATCGAAAAATCTAACACCAAAAAAATTGAAAAATTCCAAATCTGAAATGTCGAGAACTCCAAAGATCGGAAAATCGAAGTCAAAAAAAAATGGAGAAATCGGAACATGGAAAGATCGAAAAATTTAAACATCAAAATATGGAAAAATCGAAAAATAGAAGATTCGAAAAATTGAAGAATCAAAAAATCGAAAAATCGTCAAGTCGAAAAGCCAAAAAATCGAAAACTCTAGAAATCGAAAAATTCAAAGCTTAAATATCAAGGACTGGAAAATTGGAAAATCCAAAAGTAGAAAAATTGAAAAATTGATAATCGAAACAAAAATATTGGAAAACCCAAAAAAATGAAAATATCGAAAAATCCAAAAAAAAATGAATGGAAAAATTGCAAGGTCAAAAATAAAAATCGTAAAATCGTAAAACCGAAGAATCAAAAGCTCAAATCGAAAAACTTAAAAATTGAGGCATCAAAAAGCCGAAAAATTGTAAAAGCGGAAAGTAAAAATCGAGAAATCTAAAAATTTGAAAACTCAAAAATCTGAACAATCGAAAAATATGCATAGAAATCGAAATCTAAAATTGTCGACAAATTGAAAAATCTGAAAGTAAAAAAACTGAAAAATTGAAAAATTTCAAAGCCAAAATATTGAGCATATCGAAAAAAAGTCGAAAACTGAAATCGGAAAACTGTAAATATAAAAACTGAAGAATTTAAAATCTGAAAACCGAGGCATCGAAAAGCCCAAAAATCGTAAAAGCAAATCGAAAAATCTAACACCAAAAAACTGAAAAGTTCCAAAGTTGAAATGTCGAGAACACGAAAAATCGGAAAATTTAAGTCAAAAAAATAATTGAGAAATCGAAACATGGAAAGATAAAAAAATTCAAAAATTACAATATCGAAAAATCGGAAACTTGAAGAATCGAAAATCTAAAAGTCGTTAAGTCAAAACTGAAATAAAATATCGATCGAAAACCTAAGTAGTAAAAAATAAAGAAATTGAAATTTAAAAAAATCGACAAATGGAAAAACCTAAAACTTACAGAATTGAAAAGTTGAAAAATTCCAAAACTGAAATATCGAGAACTCGAAAAACTGGAATATGTAAAAGTCGAAAAATTGAAAAATTGATTAATCAAAACAGAAAGATTGGAAAATCCAAAAATTAAAATATCGAAAGATCTAAAGAAAAGAGACTGGAAAAATTGAATTGTCGAAAATTTGAAAAACCGAAAATTCGTAAATTCAAAAAGTCAAAAAATCAAAAATTGAAGTCGAAAAACTGAAAATCGAAAACTGAAGACCTTAAAAACTGAAAAATCGAAGCATCAAAAAGCCGAAAAATCGTAAAAGTGGAAAGTTAAAATCGAGACATCAAAAATTGAAAAATCGAAAACTGAACAATCGAAAAATATAGAAAGTGAAACCTAAAAAAAATCGACGAATAGAAAAATTTAAAACTAAAAATCTTGAAAAATTTCAAAGCTGAAATTTTGAGAACTCGAAAAATCGGAAAATCGAAAATTCGGGAAATCGAGGAATCGAAGTCGAAAAACTGAAAAATCGCAAAAGTGAAATTTCTAGACAAAGAATCCTCGAGATTTTTTCACATTACTTCAAAAACAAGACAAGGGATTACCGAGATTCTTTCAAAGTAGTTCAAAAACAAAGTGTAAGGGGTTCCCGAAATTCGTTCAAATTACTTCAAAAACGAAATAAATAAAAAAATCGGGAATTTTCCATAAGTGCTCGAATCCAAATTGTAGGTATATACTTTTCTTGGGGATTGGTATCAAAGCTTGTTATTATTACTATTGTTTACAGAAGGTGATTATAAAAACATTGTTCATCAAGCTGGCTTTGAAATGTCGTGAATTTTGCCGCCTTTTTGAAAACGTCGACTACTTCTTCGCCTGCCACAAAGAGCTTCACCATAACCTAACTTTCTTAGGTTTTTTGTAAAGCTATAACTGCCCATTCACAATGGACATAAGGCATAACAAGTACATAAAGCTTACATAAATACATAAAGTTGAAACGATGGAAAACGTGTACCCCTGTTCACAGTGGACGAACGTAATTCTTATGCTTATGAACGTTTTATGTAATCCTTGTGTGCGTACACAAAGTTGAAACAAGTTCAACTTTGTGCACGAATTATGTCAAAATTATGTTAAAATCTAGGGACTTTTGAATGCTGCTATTGAATTCCCTTTGACAGTTGGCACTTGGCACTTCACACCTTTGATTATATTATATAAATTATAATCAAAGCTTCACACTGCGAGTCTGTTCTGTGCTGCGAGTTGTCAAGTTCGAATATCGTATGAAATTGTAGGTTAGATATTTTGATTGACTCAGTTTGAGGTTAGCCGTTTCTATGTTTAGCCAGGAGTTATTCCGTTCTGCGTTTGCGCAGTTTAACAATTCTTACAGAGTTCACTCTGTCCACTGTGAACGTAGATAAGCATAAGCCAGACACAAACCAAAAACGTAAATTATGTTATGCGCTCGTTCTTATGTCTTATGTCCATTGTGAATGGGCAGTTATGCGCTCGTTCTTATGTCTTATGTCCATTGTGAATGGGCAGTTAGAAACAGATACTATAAAACTCTTTGGCTTTTTGGGTGTATTTGGTGACTGATAGGTAGGCAACCAATTCGACTCGAACAATAGTTATGCTACCTATCTCAATGAAACGGCAAATTTAGAAGTAATGTGGGTAATAGTGGAATTTTTTTCTATTATTACATTAGAAGAATTGTCCTGGAGCTCTTCAGGGCTCCGTTCTAGGCTCTCCACTTTCAAGATTTATCTTACCGAACTTATAAAGTACAAAAACACCAAAAATTCTCTTCGATTTTTTTATTCTTTCATAAATAATTAGTCTAAACTATATACAAACAGTCAGTCCCATTTACCAGGCGTAGCTGGCTCCCAAACCGCTGAAGGTGGCGTGGGAAACGACGGCGGCGGGGGAGTAGGCGACGGCGGCGGCTTTGGTGGCTACGACTGGGGCATGAGCGGCGTAGGTGGCGACTGGGGCATGAGCGGCGTAGGTGGCGACTGGGGCATGAGCGGCGTAGGCAGCGACTGGGGCATGAGCGGCGTAGGTGGAGACTACGGGGGCGGCGTGAGCGACGGCGACGGGGGCGTGGGCTACGGTGAGGGCATCATTGGTGATGCGGGTGTCGAATTTGCGCACGCTGGAGAAGGCGCTGTCAACAGCCTTGGAGTAATGAGACACAGCCTGGTTGCCGCCAAGGGAGCGGACGACGCTCTGGTGGGAGGCGCCGATGGCGGGGGCGTGGACGGCGACGGGGGCGGCGGAGTGGTAGGCCACTGGGGCGGCGGCGTGGTAGGCGACTGGGGCGGCGGCTTGGTAGGCGACGGGGGCGGCGGCTACGACGGGGGAGGCCTGGTGGATGTAGGCGCTGCTCACGGCAGGGGCGGCGGAGTAGGCCACGGGGGCGCCGATCAGACCGGCGTTGGCGTAAGCCAAGATGGCGGCGGCGACGGCGAGCTGTAAAATTGTCATCTTATTAATTATGGGGGTGGTTTTTTTTTTTAAGTTAGATCAGAGTGAGAGAGAAATGACATATAGGTCTGAAGAATGTCGCAATACTGCCGAAACAGGTGGCAATGGAGTGAATTTGTGGTGTGGGGTTGTCCTGCACTTACTTTGAACATTGTGTGTTTGTTATTGGGGTTTTGGCGAGGAACTGATGCTGTGATCTATGTTTCGGTCATTTTTATACTGAATCGAAATTACACAAGCTACACACGCCTCAGGTTCAGTGGTCCACTTTCGCTTTCGGTGAAGGTCTGGGTTAGGGCGGCACCTCTTCGTCTCCTGTGATTATGTTATTTAATATTAATGTGGTATTCAATTAACTTTCGACTTTTTCTTTGTGGTTGAAATGGATTTTCGTAGATGCGGCATCCTTGTAAAATTTTAGATGATTAATACGATAATTAATATGATTATCGTTATTAGTTTCACTATTGACAGAAATCCCGCAAAGTTGAAGGTAACGTAATCTTTGTGTTAAATTTTTTCATATTCTAAAAAAGATGTTTTGGTGTAGGATGGAATCCATGGTTTGCATCGTCTCCGGAAAAGTTTAAGGTAAAGCTGTGAATAATTTCGGCCAATAAATATTCGAGACGACACAATCATTTATCAAATCTGAATACGCGTTATTTAATTTTGGAGTGTTACGAGTAAGTTGCTGGTTTACTCAGCTTTTGCATTCAAACGTTACGGTAAGTGCATTGACATAATCCAAGTAAAGTTCGATTCATGAATTTTCATGTGAAAGATTCGTAAAATATTGATTGCCAAACTCTGGTTGAAAGAATGTAAATTTTTAAAAACGTGCTTCGAAGACTTAATGGTGCTGAGGTACCAAGCGCTGTGCTAAATCAAATGAAAGATTTACATTTTCTGGTATTGTGTAAGATTTTGAGGATCATGACTGCAATACAAAAATTTTGTTTTTCCTGATTTTTTATATTTTGGAGGTGTTTGGGTTAATTTAGTCACTTTTGCATTATTGAACGTTTGAAATAGCGTGCGATAAATTAAGCGAGGTTAAAAATGTGAAAGAATCTTGAGGTCGGTTGGTGTTTTTTTTAAGAATGTGGAAGGATCTTAGACGACTCTGGTGTCTTTTACTTCTACGAAGCATTGTAATTGGGTCCATCGGGCGACTGGCTACTTTCATAGGCCGGTGCGATTTTTATTAAATAGATAATATCCGAATTTATGGGTCCGATTGTTGTCAAAATTTGTATGTAAATATGTTAGGAATATCATGTAGATGGTAGAACGCTAATCAGAATTTTGGTCCGAGACATGGAGATTTTTGGAAAAAATCAAAATTGTGTAACCATTTTTTGATTTTTCGATTTCTGGATTTTTCAATTTTTCAACATTCGATTTCTCAATTTTCTGATTACTCGATTTTTCGATATTTTGGTTTTGGGAATTCTGAATTTTTTCTCTTTTTTTATTTTTAAATTTTTCCATTTTTTTTTATTTTTCGATTTCTCGAATTTTTGATTTTTTGAATTCTTGATTTCTCGATGAATCGATTTTTCGATTTTCGTTTTTCTGATTTCTGACTTTTCGATGCTTTCGATTTTTCTATTTTTCAGGTTTTCGATTTGTAGATTTTTTGACATTTCGTTTTTTCAATTTTCCAATTTATTCTTGTTTTTCTATATTTTTAATTTTAAATGTTTCAATTTCTTGATCTTTTGCTTTTTCGACTTTTCGGTTTTAGATTTTTCAGTTTTGGAATTATTCGATTTTGAAAATTTTTGATTTTTCGATTTTTCCATATTTATCGAGATTTTTCGATGGTTCAATTTCCCGATTTTTCGATTTTTCAATTTATCAATTTTTTAAACTACAAATTTTTCATTTTTTTTTTCAATTTATCGTTTCGGCTATTTCGAGTTCATGATTTGTGGATCTTTTCACGTTTCAATTTTTCTATGCTTCAATTTTTCAATTATTTGATTTTTCGATTTTTTGTTTTTTTTAAATTTAGGTTTTCAGTATTTCCGACTTTTCGACGCCTCGGTTTTTCCATTTTTTAAATTTTTCGACTGTTCGATTTCGCGATTTTTCAGTTTTTTGTTTCTTAATCTTTAGATGTTTCCCTTTAGGATGTTTCAATTTTGCGATTTTTCGATTTATCAATTTTTCGATAGTTAAATTTTTAGATTTTTTAATATTTCGATTCTTCAATTGTTCGATTTTTCGTTTTCCTGATTTTTCAATCTTTTGATTCTTCAATTTTTCGATATTTTAAATTTTAGATTTTTTGATTTCTTTATTTCTGAGTTTTTCAATTTTTCGAATTATTTAATTTTTGGTTTTTGCAATTTTTTGATGTTCGATTTTTTGATCTTTTGATTTTTCCACTTATCGGTTTTAGATTTTTCAGTTTTTCTCAATTTTTTGATTTTCCGATTATTCAATTGTTCGTTTTTTTGATGTTTCGATTTTTCGATTTCTCAATTTTTCGATTGCTCAATTTCCTATTTTTTCGATTTTCCAATTTTTAATTTTACGTTTGAGCTATTTCGATTTTTCGTATTCCCGTTTTCTTGGTTTTCAATTTTTAAATTTTACATATTTCGAATTTAGAATTTGCCAAATTTCTCATTTTTCGATTTCTCGACATCTCAATTTTCAATTCAGGGAAACTCCCAGTTTCTGGATTTTTCAATTTTCGAATTTGCAATTTTGAGATTCTTCAATTTTTTGATTTTTTGATGTATCGAATTCTCGATTTCTTGATTAATCGATTTTCTGATTTTTTGACTTTTCGATGCTTGGATTTCTCGATTTTTCAGTTTTTCAATTCTGCAATTTTTCGCTTTTTTATTTTTCTGTTTTCCAGGTTTTCCATTTTTCATTTTGTGATTTTTTAGATTTTCGATTTTTCTATATTTCAATTTTGAAATTTTTCAAAATTTCGATTTTCCACTTTTTAGATTCCTAAATTTTCCACTCTTTCGACTTTTCGATTTTTGGTTTGCTCAATTTCGCAATTTGTCGAGTTTTCAAATTTTATTTTTTATGAGATATCGATTTTTTTAAATTATAAGTTTTTCAATTTTTTTTTTAAGTTTTCGTTTGACCTATTTCGATTTCTCGATTTGTCGATCTTTTCACGTTGTCTCAATTTTTCAGTAATTTAATTTTTTTGATTTTAGATGTTAGGACTTTTCAAGGTTTCGATTTTTCGATTTTTTGAATTTCAGGTTTTCCATATTTCTGATTTCTCGACTTTTTGCCACTTTAAACATTTTTTGACTTTCCGATTTCGCGATTTTTCAATTTTTGATTTCTCGATTTTTCGATGTTAGATTTTTCAATTGTTCAATTTCCTGATTTTTTGATTTTTCAATCTTTCGATTTATCGATCTTTTGAATTTTAAATTTTTCAAAATTTTTGTTTTTAATTTTTCGTTTAGTCTATTTCGATTTCAGGGCTTCTCGATCTTTTCATGTTTCAATTTTTCGATGTTTCACATTTTCAATTATTTCATTTCACAATTTTTCGATTTTAGATTTTTGGATTTTCGAGTTTTTTGATGTTTCGATTTTTCACTTTCGAGTTTTTAAATTTTGAGTTTTTCGAATTCTCGATTTCTCAATTTCTCAATTTTTCGATTTCTCGTTTTTCTGATTTTCAACTTTTAAATTTTACATATTTCGAACTTACAATTTGTAGAATTTCCCATGTTCGGATTTCTCGACAATTCTTCAATTCTGCGAAATTTTCAATTTCTGGATTTTTCACTTTCTTGAATTTTCAATTTTAGATTCAATTTATCGATTTTTCGATTTTTCCATTTTCCAAGTTTTCAATTTTTGGAGTTTCTAAATTTTCGATTTGTTGATTGTTCAAATTCTCGATTTCTTGATTAATCGATTTCCCGATTTTTGACTTTTCGATGTTTCGATTTTTCGATTTTTTCGTTTTTCTATTCTCCAATCTTTCGCTTTTTCATTTTTCTATTTTCCAGGTTTTCAATTGTTCATTTTTTGAATTTTTTGAACTTTCTGGTTTTTTCAATTTTTTCGTTGTTTCGATTTCTTGACCTTTTGATTTTTCCAAAAATTGTTCGATTTTTAAAATGTTTGATATTCCGATTTTTAAAATTTTTTTAGATTTTTGGATTTTCCAGTTTTCGATGTTTCCATTTCGATTTTTCTAATTTTCGGTTCCCCGATATTTTGATTTCTCGTTTTTTTGATTTTCAACTTTTAAATTTAACATATTTAGAGTTTACAATTTGTCGAATTTCTCATTTTCCGATTCTTCAATTTTGGGACATTTTCAGTTTCTGGATTTTTCAATTTTTCGAATTTTAGATTTTTCCATTTTTCCACTTTTCAACTTTTGGCGATTCTAAGTTTTCCATTTCCAGATTTTTCGACTTTTCGTGCTTCGATTTCTGGATTTTTCAGTTTTTCAATTCTTCAATTTTCGCTTTTTTATTTTTCGATGTTTCATTTTTTTGGTTTATTAGATTTTCGATTTTTCTATATTTCAGTTATCAAATTTTTCATCCAATATTTCTATTCGTCATTTTTTTTATTTTTCCACTTTTCTACATATACTTCGATTTTAGATTTTAGGAATTTCCAGTTTTCAAGGTTTCGATTTTTTGATTTTTTAAATTTTACGTTTTCCATCTGTCCGATTTCTTGATCCGATTTCTAGACAACTCGGTTTTTCCACTTGCAAAATTTTTTGACTTTCCGAAGTCGCGATTTTTCAATTTTTTTGATTTACCAATTTTTCGATTGATTTATCAATTTTTTGGAATATCTCGATTACCCGATGTCTCGATGTTTTCATGTTTCGTTTTTTCGATGTTTCAATTTTTCGATGATTCGACTTTTCGATTTCTCAATTTTTCGATTTTTTAAATTTTAGATTTTTCGAATTCTCGATTTTTTGATGTTTCAATTTCTCGTTTTTTTGATTCTCAATTTTTAAATTTTACATATTTTGAATTGATTATAATTTGACAAATTTCCGATTTTCCGATTTCTCGCCATCTCGAGTTTTGTTTAAAAATTTAATTTTTATAAAGTAATATAAATTTTTCTTTTTGTTGAAAAACTGAGAAAATGGAAAATTAAAAATTAAGAACTTGAAATATTAAAACTTAGGAACCTTAAAAAAAATCGAACAATTGCAA